CAGCTAAGTGGTACTCTCTACGTGTTGCTAAAGTCAGTCATGGGTCTGAGGATAAGTAGTCTCCTTAGGTGCATCATGAACTTAGGCATTTCCATTCCTGGAGGTGCTTCTTTATATCGATCAAATCCCTCGTTTGATTCCATTCTGTAATCAGTTTTGGCTGGGGTATCAGAAAGATCGCCTTGGTGCCAAACCTTCTTTTGTGACACCTGTGCGAAGGACGGTGGTGGTTTTTGGATAACAGACCTCAAGTTACCATTTGCGTCGATGTGAAATGTTGCGGACAGGGACACGGAAATGAGCACTAATATCAATAGTGACTGGCTTATTGCAACTTCGTTGTTCTTTGGATAACGGGAAGGCAAATCTCCTGCAGCAGGCTGCATTGAACCTTCACTGGGAGGGGCGTATCCATTTCTTCTGACATTCTTTTCTTGAGGTTTAAACGTTCCTGTCAAAGGCACTGAGGCTGAACATGCTTGCTCTTGTTGATTTGCTGATTCTTTTAGAGTAATGGTGTTGTTATCGAGGTCAATCATAGCTCTGTTTACTTGGAGGAAATCGCGACCAAGGATGGCGTCATAAGAGTTAAAAAAAGACGCCAAGGAAGGAAACATTACGATCTACATAGATGAAACAGATGGCGAGATTAAAGTGAAATCAATTGAAGGCGTAAAACCGCCCAAGCCTTACCGTGATGCAGTTGAAGCGCTGAAGAACATCAGAACAGCCGGAAGTGAAGCAGTGGAACTTGAGCCAGACGTGCAGCATGGAATAGAAGAGTTCATGCACAGAGTCACTCAAATCAATCCACAGCGTGACTTTCACAGCTTGCTTAAGAAGAAGTCTGATGTATTCGCTCTTCCAGGGAAGATAAAAAGATTCAACGAGAATCGTAAAAAAGCACAAGAGATTCCGGGTATTGTCAAAGAGTTCTGCCTGTATGTGGAGCGCATTCTAACCGACATCCTTGAAGCTTTGACAGGGGAAGAGGACTCAGCGACAAAGAAAGAAGATGGCAGCGGTGAAGAAGGAGATGGTCAGAAATGAGGCGAGGGACGAAATCAGTTAGCCAAAGAGTGATCCATGCAAATTAGACTGGAGTAGCTAAAAGAAATGAGACAGATGAACAAAGAATCAAGTGTTATCATGAAACTAAAGACCACTGAGTATCTTGGAGAGAATAGAGCAGAAATAGGTTGTTGTCGAGAAAAAATAAGGCTTCTTATTCAAAAAAATATGTTGACTGGTGGTATATCATTTCATGTTCGAAACATAACATTGGTCGATCTTGATTTGGATTGCTCATTTTTCTTTCTTGGAGGCATCCTAAAGTTGCAATTTCCCCCGTATTTTTTTTTAATAAGTTTTTTTCTTCATTAACTTTCGTGTTTAGAAGCCAAATTTGTTTCCTTGTATTGATTACTAGAAATTTGAATTGACTAAAGGGTTACAATATGTGTATCATGGGTTACAATGTGTGTATCATTACTTTTTACTTCGGACGTTATCCCTTCCCGTTAGAATTTCAGCAATGAAATATCAAATGGGTATTTTGTGTTTCGCTCGTCAACAACTTGTTACGCTTTGGTACGCGATTGGATTAAACACAGCCATGCGACTGAATACTACGCTGAAGCAGGAGTTACAGTTTGCCTAACCTGCCGGGTAACTGTAACTCAGTGAAATGTTTCACAACTGCTTGGCCGTGGATGTCTGGGTACGAGAGTTCAGTTAGTCACACCCAAGTCTAAAGGATGAACCGTCAATTCTTGAGGCAAGAGAAGGACTTGTTCATTTCCACCCCACTATTTTCAGATCGTAAACAAATAGTTACGACTTTCGCCTAGAAATTGTAACGGAGTTAAAATCCTAGGATGAGCTCTGTATATGAAAACAACGCTAATGTTTTCTTTTCATTTATTGCCCCGGGCTTAGTGGTTGAAGATTTCGTCAAATTTAACTAAAAGTCCAAAAACAATCAATGGAGCCAAAAGTTATGAACACACTATTACTTTAACGGAGTATCCGCCATCACCTTGCGTGACATAATACGTAACTTGCGTGATGCTCAGACAGCTGTGACAACATTCAGCGGAGTTGCGTATGAGCATATGTACTGTTGTGTCTTTGCTCGTTGCAGTTACGAACTCGAGGTAGGGCACTAATTCAAAGCTTTCCTTTCGAGTTCCTAGGCGGTAAAATCGATATAGTTTTCAACAGATCCCATCATGGCGATGCAGGACGTTATAAATAAGGTTAAGGGGACAGCTCTTGGAGTTGCGGAGTACTTGACGCCTGTTTTGAAGGTGCGTTACAAAATTTTCTACTTAATCGAAAATCCAGCTGTGCAATTTTGTTTTTTTTCGCTTATTTTCAATCAATTTAGAGAATTAACCATCTCTTCTGTCAATATAGGAGTCAAAGTTTCAAGAAACGGGCGTTATTACTCCGGAAGAAGTACGTATGTAGGTTTTTTAGCTGCGTAATCCATGTAAATATAGTGGAATTTGTACTCCACAAGCGATCGTTTAATCCATTTGCGCTTAGATTTGAGCTTCTAAATGTTATAGTAAAGTTCGGATATAGCGCGCGCTGTCATTGGTTGAAACAGCGCGCTATATGAGAGGAAAGAACATAGAGCAAGAGCGCTAAAGCTGTCATGCCAACTGCCAAATTGTACTATATATGTCCGACCATTTCCCGGACTTCTCTCTAGCTTTTTTTCACTCATTGAAAGTGAAATTTCGGAACAAACGAGCCGGCAAACCACACTAAAGTTGAAAGATATTGTGAAACTCAACAAGTGTGGAGGAACACTCGACTACATCTCGTGTTTCTACCTACACTTCTTTCATGCTCTAGCCGCTTCCTGCGTGCTTTACAACAGAACAGAGCACAGTCAAGGCTTCTCCGTTAGTAAAATAGACTAACCAATTTTTATTCCATGACCGAACAATGTCTTTCACTTTTGAGTGCTTAGAGCGATGCTTATACGAAGGAAACCAAAACAACAATTAACTGTCTACTGTAGATCCCAATCAATCATTAATGAAGAAAACAATTACAAAAAAAGATAGTTTACCTTTGAGAGGAACGCTTTGTTTTAGGACAGTGTGGGATGATGTGGATATCTTCTTTTCAAAGTTATCGCCATGTAAAGATATGCACATGTAACTTCTCCCTAAAATATCCATATATTATCTAGCAAAAAGTCCATGAGGATAATCAAACTTATCAGGTAGAAGTTGTTGTCTTGATCTAACACCAAATTCTCATCACTTATTCACAAGGAAATGTGAAGTAGTTTAAGGGGAGAATTAATGACCAGATCTCGGCAGTTAGAAAGATTAAAGGGGCTGCAATGTGAAATCCAAGCTTGTCCACAAGCTACAGACTGCAATAGGAGGTCTTCTAAGCAGCAGTAGACTGCCAATAACTAGCTTTTAATAAAACCCTTGGTTCAAACCATTTACTGTATCATTATTAGTGATACAAGTAATTCAATTTGTTGCATATCTACTTATTTTTTTTATGTGTGATTTACAGTTTGTGGCAGCAGGAGACCACTTAGTACATCACTGTCCAACATGGAAATGGTTTGTGTCTGTCTTGTTTTGTTGAGATTATATGATCTACAGAGGTTTTTCACTTTCACTCCAAGGAGTGATACAGAAGTTACTTCTCTCAACAATATCAATGTAATATCTGGCAAACAGTTGATGAAAATATAGACAAATATCAATTGATAGGAGATACTGTTGAGATCAACACCCAGTTGACTGGACTGTAGCAACTGTTTGAAAGGCTGATGCAGAATCAGCAACCTGTTCAATCTCCTATTGTTATTAAGTAAATTTCTCTGGCAAAATTATGATTTATATTCCAAATTGATTCTGTCTTTTCTTTCCTAGGGATTCAGGACCTGATGATACTAAAATAAAGAACTACCTTCCAAAAGACAAGCAGTTTTTGTATACAAAGAATGGTAAGCATGTTTTCCAATATTTGTAAAATCAGTACACCTTGCTTACATTCCATGAGTCATTCTTTATTTCTGAAATGATTTGCCTTTAGTTCCTTGCTACAAGCGATGCAAGGAAATGGAACACCAAGAGGAAAATGAAGCTATTGTTGAACCAGATGAAGACGGAGGCTGGGTAGACACCCACCATCACCTCGATCCAAGTGGGGAGCAAGCTGTCACTGGTACTCAGGAGTCGTTTGCAAGAGATGACACTTGAATCTGACAAGGCAAGTGCTAATTTATGAAGGAAGTTACTTTCTAAAGAAACTGTGTTGCTAGTACATTGTTGGGAGGTATAACATGATAACTTGGTTTTCTCAGTTGGGTTGATGTTGAATAAAATAAGCAATAAATTGGTCACTGTAGGTTTTCTAAAGCTTCCTTTTCAAGCATTAGCCCTTTGTTGGAGAAAAGGGCTAACGGTTTGCAACAAGTTAATGAAGGGCTTAGTGTTTGCTCTGACAAAGGGCTGCCTCTTGAAGCATCAGCTCTAGCAACTCTATGTGGCCAATGTTCATTATCAACTCAGTTGATAAAACCAATGAAATTATATGCTAATCAGTTTGTGCTGATGGCATGCTAAGGGTGCACTCACAGGAGTGATGAGAAACCATGACCCATTAAAAGCAGTAACAACAGCAAATTGTCTTTTAGGGCACAAAAGATGTAACACCAGTAGATAATGATGATGATGAAGAAGATGATGATGAGGAGGCAGTGGATATGGAAGGTAAGTGTAATTGTACTGATCATTTTGTTCAGACTTGCAACATTATGAAACTACAGATGGTACCAGTTAACCCTTTAAATCCTAGAAATGATGAACATGAAACTTCTCCCCATAATATCCATACATTATTCAGCAAACAGGTAATGAAAATATTCAAACTTATCAGGTAGAAGCTGCTATCTTGATCTAGCACCAAGTTCTTATAACTAATTGACAAAGAAATGTGTAGCAGCCACAGGGGAGAATTAGCAATCAGATTTTGGGAGTTAAAGGGTTATTAAAAAGATATTAAGTGCATTGACAGAACTGAAAATAATTTAATTCTGTCCAGTTCATAGTTACATCACCTTTTCAATTTATACTTTGAAAATGATACACTACTAGTCAGTTTCATTACAACTACTATGCAGTACTACTTGTAATACTGCTTAACCAGCAATGATACAAATGCTTTATTCCCCATTTCCTTTTTTTCATGCAGACCTCAATTTGTGATGAGGTACAGTATATTCCAAAAAGTGCAAATGATGAACATTCACGATGAGTAGCAATATATGTCAGTTGTAGTTAATCACCCCATGCTTCAGAAACAAAGACATGATCCAGTAATAAAGCAAGTCACCAGGCCTGTTGCTTTTTTCAAAAACTTAACCTTGTCTTTTTGCAGGCTACCTTGTCAATTAAACCAACTTCTAAGGCTGAGTCAGAGGCGGAGGGAGCCACAGATGCAAATGCCTCTGGTGGAATTCTACAAACAAGAACTTACGACATGTACATTACATATGACAAATATTATCAGACGCCACGACTGTGGCTGTTTGGTTACAATGAGGTAAGAGTTTGTTGAATCTCATTACATTGAGAGTGACTGAAATCCCAGAATTGCAGGCAGATCTGAAAAGAAATAAAACATTCTTCTGTACTCTTTTGTCATGAGAGCCAAGACTTTGGTATCTGTATCTACTGGGCCTCTCCATTATGACATGGGTCAGTGTAAAACTTCATGCCACAGGGTGCCAAGATTTCTGATGTACATATTCATTTAGAACTAACCATATGAATTTTAATGCTACATGTATAAAGGTTTTGCCTTTCAACTGACCTGGAAAAAAACAGAATACTTTATTCTTTGTAGGGATTAGCTCAAATTGTTAACAAAAAGGGTCACTGCATATCAATTTTTCCAGTTTTTTAAAGGTCTGGTACAGGTATTGGGAGTATAATGCGACCAGCCAGTCCATAATTTTTGGAATGAGCACTATTGAGACAATCATGTAGCTTTTTGGATGTTTTATTTTACAGAACCGAGAACCCCTTGCAGTAGAAGAGATGTATGAGGATATGAGTCAGGTAAAGTTTTAGCAGTTTTCAGAGTAGAGTTTTGTTGGTTGATTTTTGCATCATGAACATAATGTGTGCTTTGAATTGTAGGACCATGCAAAAAAAAACAGTGACATTGGAGGCTCATCCTCATTTGCCAATGACCATGGCATCTGTTCATCCTTGTAGGTGAGTTGCTACAACTGTCTTCTTACACCTAATCCTTACCTTGATTCTCTCAAATACTTTGCACTTTCTCTATATCACTACACCTACGGGAATTTGTTGCTCATCCCTTTCTGCTGTACACACAATCTGATAAAAATCTGAATTTCAAGGATGGGATACCCTGAAAATAGATACTTGGTATCAACTGCTGTCAACTTCAGTCTCCTTTGCATTTTCACTTTCGTTCACTTACATAACGTTCTTCCTGAAATTTATTAAGTTATAGAATGTATATAATGAGGTGAAGGTAGTTAATGGTCACTCCTAAAAACGGCAGGCAGACACCTATCCAAAACGGACACTAATACCTAAGTGCAAGTGCTGAATTTTTGGAGAAAGGTCTCTTACAATCAGAAATTTCTGCCTTGAGAGACCGACTTTAAGTTTGTTAATACTTCAAAGAACAAAGCACAATGATCCTTTAGTAGATCATGTGTAAACCACTTAATCTAGAGTCCAGTTTGAAAATTGCTGAATTAAAAATACATCGCCACGTTATTTTAGTTCACTGAGCCAAAAAAAAAAAAGGACACTGCTGGTTGGTGCAAATCCGTAGTCACGGGTCTTTTTTTCAACTCATTAGACATGCTGACGTAATGAAGAAGATCATACAGACAGTCGCTGATGGCGGAGGAGAGCTTGGAGTTCATATGTATCCTTTGAATGTCATGGTAATGCGCGTGATTCCGTGGAATTAAAGCGTTATCACGCGTTTCTTAGTACGTGATCACACAAGATGGTATGATCCAAACCAAGCTCATACATGTTCTAAACTAGGAAAAATAAGCACACAGAAGCAAAGAGATGGACTTTTTCTATGCCACTTTTTTATTTGTGGCCGTTACTTTTGTAGTGGTGAGGACATATGTTTATGACCAATCATCTAGCATTATTCATGTAACGTGACTTTCTTAGACCAATCCGAGATTAGAACAATCATATTTGAAACTGAGCTGAAATTTCCCAAGTGAACAGAAGGTGATAGAGACGTGAGACAGATTTAAACACAGGAAAAGGTGATTTTTCGTCTTGTCACGAGCGTGGGACAAAGAAAAATTCTTAGTCCTAGTGAGGAATCGAACCTTAGACCTTCGCATTCCGCGCACCGATGCTCTACCACTGAGCCACAGAGACATGTTTTGCAAATTGAAAACATCTGTGATCTGTTCAAAGAAACAAAATTCGTCCTGCGAACTCAGTCAGCCTTGTCTTTGGAATGAGTTGAAGACACGAGAAGAAGCCCTATTTAGATTTTACGTTTTCCTTGACTTTTTTTCCCCAGTTATCTACTCATCTTTCTCAAATTTGTCCAGGCTGTGATACCCACAATAGAGTACGACTATATGAGACACTTCACCATGTGATCTTGAACCAAATCAACTGAATTGAACCCTTTAACCCTTTAAACCCTAAGAGAGATCAGCATCTATTTTCTCCTAACAATAATACAGCTGAATCGTTCATTAAGATCATGAGAAAAAAGAAAATGCTCACCAACTAAAGAAATTTTGATTGTTAAACAAATTCTCCTTGTCAGTACCAAACGAAATGCACAGAGAAGAGTTGGAAGAATATAAATACTGATGTTAGGGTGTAAAGGGTTGAACTCCTGTGAGTAACCAAGACAAAATTACTCTTTAGATGACACTGAAGAAAAATATCAATCAGGGGATCATTAGTTGATTTCATACCAAATTCTCCAAACTAACATCATAAGAACTGTATGGCAGACAGTAAGGAGAATTATTAATGAAGTATTGAGAGTGAAAGGGTTAAGATTCCTGAAGTAGTGCCTATTTTCAATAGCTTTGGTAGTGGTTTCGTAGCAGTAAAGAAATAATTATGAAATATTGCCTCGTTTACAAAAATTAATTTTATTATTGATTCCTCTTAATGTGCGTTTTGCTTTCCATTGTAGGAAAGATTACACTAAAGTATTTTATGAAGCAAAAAGTAAAATAGTGTACTACAGTGTATACACTGGTGCTGCAGGTGCAAATGAAACCAACACTGGCATTGCGTGAGCTGAGGGTTGCTGGTTTGTAGGCTTGGGGGCAGCCGTCACTGGGGTTGCGTGAGCTGAGGTTGGCAGGGATGTAGGCGTAGTGGCAGCCATCACTTGAGTTGCGTGAGCTGAGGGTTGCTGGGATGCAGGCATAGTGTGAGCTGGCACTGGAGCTGCATGACCTGAGGGTTGCTGGGATGCAGGCATAGTGGTGGCCATCCCTTGAGTTGTGTGACCTGAGGGTTGCTGAGATGCAGGTGTAGTGTGAGCTGGCACTGGAGCTGCATGACCTGAGGGTTGCTGGGATGCAGGCGTAGTATGAGCTGGCACTGGAGCTGTATGACCTGAGGGTTGCTGGGATGCAGGCATAGTGGCGGCCATTCCTTGAGTTGTGTGACCTGAGGGTTGCTGGGATTCAGGCGTAGTGTGAGCTGGCACTGGAGCTGCATGACCTGAGGGTTGCTGGGATGCAGGCATAGTGGCGGCCATCCCTTGAGTTGTGTGACCTGAGGGTTGCTGGGATGCAGGCGTAGTTTGAGCTGGCACTGGAGCTGCATGACCTGAATGTTGCTGGTTTCCAGGTGCAGTGGTAGCCATCAATGGAGTTGCGTGAGCTGAGGGTTGCTGGGATGCAGGCGAAGTGGGAGCTGGTACTGGAGCTGCATGACCTGAGGGTTGCTGGGGTGCACACGTAGTGGCAACCGAGGGTTGCTGGGATGCAGGCGTGAGCTGATACTGATGGTGGTTGAACAGGGTGCTGTTGAGAAGTCGGATTGCATGCGTCATTGGTTAAGGCATTTAAGGATCTTTTCCTCTTTTGATGATACATGCTCCACCAGCTTCTTATTTGTTGCTCCTTAAGTACCTCCACTCCTCTCTCTCTCATGCATGCAATTACATCTTTTGGGTCAGCCCGCATGCCACCGGTAGCTTGCCTGTTGTAAAACAACATCATAATCTCTTTCTGGGCTAAGCTGAACACAGTTTTCTTGCCAGAGTTTTTCTTTAATGCAAACCCACTGGGTGGTGAAGGGAAAGAGGATGGCCGGGGAACATTATCTAGGGTTGGAGCCAGCACTGTTTCAGGAGCATGATTGATAAATCGGATGGTGTAGACATCTTGTGGCTGAATGGAAACAGCTGACTGCCTTTCCAGAGGCTCTGGAAGCTCTGATGAAATAGAAGACCCCGTCGCACCAGCCAAGCAGGATTCTCTTGAAGCCAGCTTTTTTACTTGCACCTTGGTCTTCTTTACCATTTTCCCTACACCAGCCAGTGATTGAGCTACCAATCCACTTGCATACTCTCCATCCATAGGAAATGCAAAACTGCCAAACAGAGAAATGTCCTTCAAAGTTCCCATTTTCTTAGGGGCCTTGCTTCTGTTGATGTTCAGCTTCAAACATGACATATTTTTCATACTCTGAAAAAAAGTGTAAATAACAGAATGATAAGATATGTGCTACTTTTTTTGATAGAGAGACAGCAAAAGAGGAAGAGCACTTTGCCTGAATAAATCAATCGGTATAAAATAACTGGGTACAATAACTGTAAAAAGGTAAAGGAGCAAATAAATCTAACAGAAAAGGTAAAAAAAAGACCAAAGTAGTTTGCTGAATAAATCACAGGTATCTAAAAGTACAAAAAGGAATTTTTTAACAAAGTCTACCAAATCATGCTAAAGAAAAATGCATTGAAATCAGTTGCAGAACTAAAAATAATGTAAAATTAACTTCAGTAATGTTCTTTCTGTTTCATGACTGAATACTTGGGCAATCAAAATCAAAATTTACCATTTCATATCACACACTATTGTGGTCTAAATGGCAAATTAATAGACCGTTGCCTGTTATCAACAGGTCTTAGGAAAAAGTTTATTCCATCTTTTCTCATACTGAAAACAAAACAACAATTTTTCAAATATATTTACCTGCACAAGATCTCCAAGTTCTTCTCCTGTCTCCAGATCATTTCCTAAGCGAACATAGCGCACAATCTTGTGGCTGATGTGGGCAAAGTGGGTGTCAAGAGCTGTTTTGCCTTCACCTGCCTCGAAATTGTTGTACTGCTGGAGTCGCACATTAAACACCTCGTTTACTTCAGAAAGATAGCACAGCACTGCAGTGTTATGGTAATGAGGACCATTGTCTGTAGAAAAAAAGGAATACAAAATTATCCAAGATCCAAATTAATAAAATAAATATCTGCCAAAAAAGAAACACAGCTCAACACTTTCAAAATCTATATGCAAATTATGATTGAGTTTTTTAGAGCCAAGCAGTAAAGAACTGAAAATTAATATATAAAGAATGGCAAACAGAGCTTTTTACTCAAAGATTTTTTATTTGGCTGCTGATAAACAAAACTAGATCAACACCAACAAGGAATACATGTACCCTAACTGCAGAATAAGTAAAGGGGTAAAACAAGGGGTAAAACGTTATCCAATTGAAAGGCTCAGAGTAAGAACGACCCCTTGATTTTTCGGCCATTTTTGAAAGTGTTCAGAAGTAGTTGAATTTTGGCATGTGGACTTAGTTTTACTCGATATACACTGTTTTGGTTTTTTTTTTCGCTGGTTTGCGCTTCGTTTTCGAGAAATAACGTATGCAAAAAAACCTTGAATTTCGTAGCGGCTTTCATTGAATGAAGCCGAAACAAAAGAAGCCTTTTGTTTCATCAAAACAATACAGCCCCCGAGAACTTGCATATTCATAACCAGCTTAAAGAAAGAGCATGTTTTTTGTTTTGAGTTTAAAACACCGTTTAGCAAACGTAAAATATCCTTGAACAAACTCGCGCTACGGCAGAACTGAAGACAAAACCAAAGATACGTTGACATAGCCAAAAGTTTATACGAAAACGCTCCTGTCGAACGCTTTCGCGAAGGAGTGCCGCAGTTTTATTTCACGATAAAATTTAAGCCGCGTAATCGAATGTTCTCGTAGCACAGTCGGTTAGGCATTGGACTCGCAGTCAGACGGTCGGTACGGCTCTTTTTTAACAAATGTCTTTTTTTCGCTCACCCTTTTTTTTCCCTTCTCTTTTTCAACTCGGGAAGAGGCAAAGCCATTTTCGAGAGTTTGATACGTTGACATCGCCAAAAGTTTATGCGAAAACGTTCCTTTCGAACGCTAACGTGAAGGACTGCCGCAGCTTTATTTCGCGATAAAATGTAAGCTGTGTCAACGAATGTTCTCGTAGCACAGTTGGTTAGGCATTGGACTCGCCGTCAGCCGGTCGGTAAAGTTCTCTTTTTAACAAATGTCGTTTTTTTTTCGCTCACTCATTTTTTGTCCTTCTCTTTTTCAACTCGGAAAAGGCAAAGCCATTTTGAGAGTTTGGTACGTTGACATCGCCAAAAGTTTATACGAAAACGCTCCTGTCGAACGCTAACGTGAAGGACCGCAGTTTTATTTCACGATAAAATTTGAACTGTGTAGCTAACTGTCTAGCTCAGTCGGTTAGGCACTGAACTCGCAGTCAGACGGACGGGTTTAAGTTATTTTTTTAAAAAATGCCTTTTTTTCGCTCACTCTTTCTTATGAAAATTGTAAGTTATTGTAAGTTTACCAATCATCCCATGATTTTTTACATTACAAATGAAACAATTTCAGGAAAGTTCAGAACAAATTTGCAGTACTACATACAAGTAAAAATTTTGACTTGTATGTAGTTGTTACACAAACAAACCTAAAAATACAGTTGGTAAAATCTGGATATGAAAGGTATCTTACAGTATTGTTTTTATTGACCATCCGTGTACAGACATACATGTATGTGAACAAGTGCAGGTTTGGTATTTACTATAAATTGTAAAATAATAAACTTAAAACATACACATACCAGAAAAGAGGTATACAGAGTATCCAGGAAAGACCCTTTCCAGCCAGGAAAAGCAGATATCCAGTGCACTCCGAGTAAAGAAAGCGTCCTGCTTCGTGTCCTCCGACCACAGGTCAAACACCTCACTACTGCGTTGGTTCTCAGTAAGTACTGGTTAATCAGGCCTTTTACAGCGTCTTGCCAGCCGTCTCCTCTCCATCAACCAGTACACTTCTACACGAAGAAGCTCTAGAGACATCATCCCTGTGTAGAAACTCAGTCAGTTCTTCCAGCACTTGAGGACTCACACACTGATGGGTAAACTTGAATTTCTCCACAGGCACACCTCCACGGCCAAACAGTATGCAGTGTACCCTTGCAGCTGTTACGGTTTTAGAGGAGCACTGAAAATACTTCTGAAGAACAGAATATGGGTAGTCCATGGCAACGATGGACAGTAGCCTTCGCTTTTCATCAGCATAGCATCGAAGTCTGCCAAGTTGCTTTGCTGCATCAACACGAGAGCTGAAAATTTCTGGAGTGTTTCCATTGAGAGAAATTCTGCTTTTCCTTAAAGTGTCCCCGATCAAAACCTTTTGTTTTTGGCTAGTAGCATTCTTTCTGATGGCTTTGTTTGCCTCTTTGTCCTTGCAAGCTTTATACTCTGCTGCGAGTCTGGAGAGAAATGAGTTTTCACCGTGTGACATAGCACTGTTGGAAGCAGCAGATTCAGTTCCAAATGAAGCCTGCCACTTTCCAGATCTAACCAGAACGCAAATAAACATGGGAACATCACTTTCATTGAAGTGGACATATTTATCAGCCAGTGATGTCAAGCTATCGATGGTCTTGCTTCTCATAGTCTGTTGGGTTCTTAACTCAGCTTCTTTGTATGGCCGGCGCGGAATTTCCGGCACTTGAACACTTTTCGGTGAAGTCTCGATGGCTTTTGACGACAACGGGCAATTCTCCATGCTTTCAATGTCAACTGGATCAGGATATTCCACTGATTCCACTGAACTTGAGACATTTTCTTCGTGACACCTGAGCGTTTCTTCAAGCGTTGGCACCGAAGACGGCACTAGCTGGTTGAAATTTACCTCCTGGAGAAAAGAAGGAGATGGAAATTATTCTAAGGTATATTCGATGGCTATCGTATCACAATAAAAGAAAATTATGAGAGGCACAGTAGTGCAAAAGGAAAATCACACATTGAGAATCAGTCGGCAAATTTGACGCTTGTAAACATAAGCTCACCTCATATCTCCGGCACTTGAGTTCAAGAGCAATTCTTTCTCGACATGGAAGGCAAATCTCTCTCTTTCTGGTTTTGTTTTTCGATGTATCCACACCACAAAATTCAAGCTCTTCTGGACTAGCAATCCGCAAACTAGCCGCTGAAATATCACCATGATGCCACGTGCTGTGTTTCGAACAAACACACTTCGCTTCGAACCCCATAAGGGCTCCAAAAAGAGGGAAACGTAAACGAGATAGATGAATTGAAAACTATATACACTATATACACTATTTACAATATTTACAGAAAAGGTAGACTTCATAAACGATGCTATTTTGACGAAGGATCGCACACTGCACAATGGTCAATATGGCGACTGAATTGTACGAGTCTCGGAAAACCGAGTTCCGCAAATGCAAATTAGCCGAGAGACAGAGCAATAGAAACCCTACCATAAAAGGAAAACACATCGTAACAAATCGGTTTTTTCCGTGCAAATATCGTGAAAATACCGTTTTCCACCAATCAGAGCATCGGAAATTAATAAGATAAGCCAATCAAGGAGACTACTTATGCGCAAGCCCTGCGCCTCGCCTCTTTCTTTGTTAGGCGAACCATTGCTTAAAAATAAGAACTCGTGGTGAAACTGTATACCCTGCATAGGATTGAAATTTGCGAAAACCATGGCCACTTTGATAGTACATACTCGTCTTGTCCAAATGTTCTGAGGGAGGGGTATGACACTACGTTCATCCGGCCCAGGACTACGTCGGATACCACGATTCTAGGAAAGTGCAGTAGATCGTATCGTTTGCGAATTGTCGAAAAGAGTGAGCCTCTTTGCACAACCCGTTTGCTGCTCATTAGAACGAAATTTCAATCATGACACTTTCTTGCTGTTGTTGCCAGGTATGTAGACAATGTTAGAATTATCGCTTTTCATAGCTGGGTGATTGGTCACTTCTATTTGGTCTTGTAAATCAGGAAAATTTGGAACACGCTTTGGGTCAATCTCAAAGCGGAAGTACTTGTAATGCATCGACGCAAACCGTTTCCCTCATAAGATGAAATATGTTTACAATTCGTTTCCTTTCTCCTTAAAGTTCATGTGTTGTTGCTCGTCTTGTTCGTCTGGTTCTTGAGGAAGAAACCGTACGTGCCCTTGTAAGTTCGAAAGATTGTTAGAATCTGAAAGAGTTTTATGAACCACGAATTTACATTTGATTGTGAATCTTTCGGTTTAAAATTAGGAACGTTAAGTTGGTTTCTTGTCACAAAGCTAGAGATGAGAGTAGTTGTTGAATATTTGGCCCCATTATCCGAAATTTTAGTGTGACTGTACCTTTGCACTACGCTGTATCGTGTTTCTGTAACTCGATTGCACTCTCTCTCAGACAAACTTCTACTCCCCCTAACCCCCCCCCATAAACCAAAAATTTATCCCAATAAATCATGGAGGTTTCTAGATGGTCGAGTGGTTATCGTAAGCGCGCAACGAGTGCTAGAGAGCCAGATTTGTACTGTCAGCTTTCATTGTATAAATTTACCCTTTGCAGTACAAGATCTTTTATCTTTTTTTACTTTTGTTCATGTTCCTAGCTGCTGATTGAGCGGTTTTGTTTTTATTTTCAGGTTAGCGATGAGGAGGAGCCTCTTCTTTCAGGAGACAAAAAGGTAAACTATATGTTGAGGAAACTCGATGGTCGAGTGGTAATCGTAGGCGCGCAACGAGCGCTAGAGAGCCAGATTTTAAAATGTCAATTTTCATTGTATAAATTAACCCTTTGCGGTACAAGATTTTTTATCTTTTTTACTTTTGTTCATGTTCCTAGCTGCTGATTGAACGGTTTTGTTTTTATTTTCAGGTTAGCGATGAGAAGGAGCCTCTTCTTTCAAACAGAGACAAAAAGGTAAACTATATGTTGAGGAAACTCGAAATTGACGCTTACAACCTCGCTGAATGGGAAACGTTGATATAATTACAAATTCTTCAGGAATGTTGGTATTCTGAGGAGATAGTTAGTATATAGATAGGTAGTAGTAGATAGATAGGTAGTTATCTCCCACAAAGATCGTTCGTGCGGGTATCCCCTCCATACCTTGACCACGGAAGGTTCTTGTAAAGGTATTTAGTTTAGGGTACCGTCAATGAACGAAAAAAGGGATTGTGTGACCTATTAATTTTGTGTGACTCTTACCATTTTGGCAGACTTTTCTCCACCTTTTAGATGCATACATTTTTTTTACTTTTTGTTATTATTTTTGTTGTTGTTTTTTTTTTCTGTTAATGTTTTGTTTTGTTTTGTTTTTGTCCGTGTATTACTCAGAAATATGATAAGCCATTCGAAGATCCCGTGAGAAGCTGCACACCCCATGGCCAAGAAACGCTCCCTACTGGATATTCCGACTTCGATAACCAAAGCGTCAAGGGAATGAAAGGTGATCGTGCACCAGGTGAGAATGTCGTACCCGCTGTTGAAACCAAACCAAACCGTCGCAAGAAACGTCCAGAAGCTGGGTCGAGCGCAAGTGGAACGAATTCAGTCGAGCAGGCTGCTAATTTTGGCGAAAAGGGAACCAAGCCTGAGAAGAAAAAAGTAGAGACTAACGACGAGCTAAGCAAAGTTCTCGACTTCAAAAAGTTCGACATTTCCGAGTTGGATTGCATTTTCGCGGATTTTAAAACAACGTTGGATCCATTCGTCCAAAATCGCAGGGACATGGCCAAAGCAGAGGAATCCTTTAAGAAAGCTGTTACCACGCTGGAACAAATCAGTCCACATGCGCAGTTCAGTGAATATGTGCACGCCCTGAAGACGCGACTCACATCAGAGGGAATCGTAGTCAAGATAAAAGAGGGAGCTCTGGCCATTTACACAGAGGGAAAAAAGACAGTACAAGGAATTCTTGACGCAGTAGCTGCTGTAAATGCCATACTTAAACTGTCGAAGGAATTAAAAGCTATGCCGATGATTATCGCAAGAGGAAGTGACGATGCAGTCGAGAGAGCTGAAGGAATGGATCTGCCAGGAATCTTGAAACGAGAGTTTAAGAGCGTGTGGGATTTGGGAAAGATCCCAAGGCTCATAAAGGCCTTCAGCAACAACGTCCAACAAGTGAGGAGAGCTCCTGACATGGTGCGCGATTGCTACAGCCAAGCCAAGAAGATCATCCTTGAAATTTATCATGCTTTTGCCGATGAAGAGGAACAGAAGAAAATTGAAGGGGAGCTGAACGAGGGCGACGACACTTCAAAAGAAAAAGATAAAAGCGAAAGCAATGAGGCGGAAGAAGCAAATGGAGGAAGCACCTCAAAGAAGAAGACTGACAAGAAGGAAGTAAGTAAAGCTGACAAAAGTAAGTCCAACAAGGAAAAGGACAAAGAGGAGTTTCACAAGAAGTTGAAGTTTGATTCAGTGGGTCTTGATGACATTGATAATATGTTTTCTTCCCTCGCAACTGCCATCAATCCGTTCGTGGAAACGCGTGAGAGCCTGCAAGCCGCCAAAGAATCTTTCGAGAATATTGTTAAGAAGATCCTTAACTTTGACGCAAAGAAGGAACTTAAAGAGTACATCAAAGAGTTAAAAAAAGACGCCAAGGAAGGAAACATTACGATCTACATCGATGAAACAGATGGCGAGATTAAAGTGAAATCAATTGAAGGCGTAAAACCGCCCAAGCCTTACCGTGATGCAGTTGAAGCGCTGAAGAACATCAGAACAGCCGGAAGTGAAGCAGTGGAACTTGAGCCAGACGTGCAGCATGGAATAGAGGAGTTCATGCACAGAATCACTCAAATCAATCCACAGCGTGACTTTCACAGCTTGCTTAAGAAGAAGTCTGATGTATTCGCTCTTCCAGGGAAGATAAAAAGATTCAACGAGAATCGTAAAAAAGCACAAGAGATTCCGGGTATTGTCAAAGAGTTCTGCCTGTATGTGGAGCGCATTCTAACCGACATCCTTGAAGCTTTGACAGGGGAAGAGGACTCAGCGACAAAGAAAGAAGAGGGCAGCGGTGAAGAAGGAGATAAAAGTCCGACAGATGAGAATCAACCAAAGAAATACGAGTCGCATCATAAGCCATTGGAAGGTCCCGTGAGAAGCTGCACACCCCATGGCCAAGAAACGCTCCCTAATGGATATTCCGACTTCGATAACCAAAGCAGTGGAACGGGAATGAAATGGAATGATCGTGCACCAGATGAGAATGTCCGACGGATGAGAATCGATGTTGAAACCAAACCAAACCGTCGAAGCAAGGAAAACGTCCAGAAGCTGGGTCGAGCGTCAAGTGGAAACAAATTCAGTCGGTCTAAAAGGCTGCTAATTCAGTCGAGCAGGCTGCTAAAAGGGGAACCAAGCCTGAGAAGAAAAAAGTAGAGCCTAACGACGAGCTAAGCAAAGTTCTCGACTTCAAAAAGTTCGACATTTCCGAGTTGGATTGCATTTTCGCGGATTTTAAAACAACGTTGGATCCATTCGTCCAAAATCGCGAGGACATGGCCAGAGCAGAGGAATCCTTTAAGAAAGCTGTTACCACGCTGGAACAAGTCAGTCCGCATGCGCAGTTCAGTGAATATGTGCACGCCCTGAAGACGCGACTCACATCAGAGGGAATCGTAGTCAAGATAAAAGAGGGAGCTCTGGCCATTTACACAGAGGGAAAAAAGACAGTACAAGAAATTCTTGATGCAGTAGCTGCTGTAAATGCCATACTCAAACTGTCGAAGGAATTAAAAGCTATGCCGATGATTATCGCAAGAGGAAGTGACGATGCAGTCGAGAGAGCTGAAGGAATGGATCTGCCAGGAATCTTGAAACGAGAGTTTAAGAGCGTGTGGGATTTGGGAAAGATCCCAAGGCTCATAAAGGCCTTCAGCAACAACGTCCAACAAGTGAGGAGAGCTCCTGACATGGTGCGCGATTGCTACAGCCAAGCCAAGAAGATCATCCTTGAAATTTATCATGCTTTTGCCGATGAAGAGGAACAGAAGAAAATTGAAGGGGAGCTGAACGAGGGCGACGACACTTCAAAAGAAAAAGATAAAAGCGAAAGCAATGAGGCGGAAGAAGCAAATGGAGGAAGCACCTCAAAGAAGAAGACTGACAAGAAGGAAGTAAGTAAAGCTGACAAAAGTAAGTCCAACAAGGAAAAGGACAAAGAGGAGTTTCACAAGAAGTTGAAGTTTGATTCATTGGGTCTTGATGACATTGATAATATGTTTTCTTCCCTCGCAACTGCCATCAATCCGTTCGTGGAAACGCGTGAGAGCCTGCAAGCCGCCAAAGAATCTTTCGAGAATATTGTTAAGAAGATCCTTAACTTTGAAGCAAAGAAGGAACTTAAAGAGTACATCAAAGAGTTAAAAAAAGACGCCAAGGAAGGAAACATTACGATCTACATCGATGAAACAGATGGCGAGATTAAAGTGAAATCAATTGAAGGCGTAAAACCGCCCAAGCCTTACCGTGATGCAGTTGAAGCGCTGAAGAACATCAGAACAGCCGGAAGTGAAGCAGTGGAACTTGAGCCAGACGTGCAGCATGGAATAGAAGAGTTCATGCACAGAATCACTCAAATCAATCCACAGCGTGACTTTCACAGCTTGCTTAAGAAGAAGTCTGATGTATTCGCTCTTCCAGGGAAGATAAAAAGATTCAACGAGAATCGTAAAAAAGCACAAGAGATTCCGGGTATTGTCAAAGAGTTCTGCCTGTATGTGGAGCGCATTCTAACCGACATCCTTGAAGCTTTGACAGGGGAAGAAGACTCAGCGACAAAGAAAGAAGAGGGCAGCGGTGAAGAAGGAGATGGTCAGAAATGAGGCGAGGGACGAAATCAGTTAGCCAAAGAGTGATCCATGCAAATTAGACTGGAGTAGCTAAAAGAAATGAGACAGATGAACAAAGAATCAAGTGTTATCATGAAACTAAAGACCACTGAGTATCTTGCAGAGAATAGAGCAGAAATAGGTTGTTGTCGAGAAAAAATAAGGCTTCTTATTCAAAAAAATATGTTGACTGGTGGTATATCATTTCATGTTCGAAACATAACATTTGTCGATCTTGATTTGGATTGCTCATTTTTCTTTCTTGGAGGCATCCTAAAGTTGTAATTTCCCCCCGTATTTATTTAATAAGTTTTTTCTTCATTAACTTTCGTGTTTAGAAGCCAAATTTATTTCCTTGTATTGATTACTAGAAATTTGAATTGATTAAAGGGTTACAATATGTGTATCATGGGTTACAATGTGTGTATCATTACTTTTTACTTCGGACGTTATCCCTTCCCGTTAGAATTTCAGCAATGAAATATCAAATGGGTATTTTGTGTTTCGCTCGTCAACAACTTGTTACGCTTTGGTACGCGATTGGATTAAACACAGTCATGCGACTGAATACTACGCTGAAGCAGGAGTTACAGTTTGCCTAACCTGCCGGGTAACTGTAACTCAGTGAAATGTTTCACAACTGCTTGGCCGTGGATGTCTGGGTACGAGAGTTCAGTTAGTCACACCCAAGTCTAAAGGATGAACCGTCAATTCTTAGGGCGAGAGAAGGACTTGTTCATTTCCACCCCACTATTTTCAGATCGTAAACAAATAGTTACGACTTTCGCCTAGAAATTGTAAGGGAGTTAAAATCCTAGGATGAGCTCTGTATATGAAAACAACGCTAATGTTTTCTTTTCATTTATTGCCCCGGGCTTAGTGGTTGAAGATCTCGTCAAATTTAACTAAAAGTCCAAAAACAATCAATGGAGCCAAAAGTTATGAACACACTATTACTTTAACGGAGTATCCGCCATCACCTTGCGTGACATAATACGTAACTTGCGTGATGCTCAGACAGCAGTGACAACATTCAGCGGAGTTGCGTATGAGCATATGTACTGTTGTGTCTTTGCTCGTTGCAGTTACGAACTCGAGGTAGGGCACTAATTCAAAGCTTTCCTTTCGAGTTCCTAGGCGGTAAAATCGATATAGTTTTCAACAGATCCCATCATGGCGATGCAGGACGTTATAAATAAGGTTAAGGGGACAGCTCTTGGAGTTGCGGAGTACTTGACGCCTGTTTTGAAGGTGCGTTACAAAATTTTCTACTTAATCGAAAATCCAGCTGTGCAATTTTGTTTTTTTTTCGCTTATTTTCAATCAATTTAGAGAATTAACCATCTCTTCTGTCAATATAGGAGTCAAAGTTTCAAGAAACGGGCGTTATTACTCCGGAAGAAGTACGTATGTAGGTTTTTTAGCTGCGTAATCCATGTAAATATAGTGGAATTTGTACTCCACAAGCGATCGTTTAATCCATTTGCGCTTAGATTTGAGCTTCCAAATGTTATAGTAAAGTTCGGATATAGCGCGCGCTGTCATTGGTTGAAACAGCGCGCTATATGAGAGGAAACAACATATAGCAAGAGCGCTAAAGCTGTCATGCCAACTGCCAAATTGTACTATATATGTCCCACCATTTCCCGGACTTCTCTCTAGCTTTTTTTCACTCATTGAAAGTGAAATTTCGGAACAAACGAGCCGGCAAACCACACTAAAGTTGAAAGATATTGTGAAACTCAACAAGTGTGGAGGAACACTCGACTACATCTCGTGTTTCTACCTACACTTCTTTCATGCTCTAGCCGCTTCCTGCGTGCTTTACAACAGAACAGAGCACAGTCAAGGCTTCTCCGTTAGTAAAATAGACTAACCAATTTTTATTACATGACCGAACAATGTCTTTCACTTTTGAGTGCTTAGAGCGATGCTTATACGAAGGAAACCAAAACAACAATTAATTGTCTACTGTAGATCTCAATCAATCATTAATGAAGAAAACAATTACAAAAAAAGATAGTTTACCTTTGAGAGGAACGCTTTGTTTTAGGACAGTGTGGGATGATGTGGATATCTTCTTTTCAAAGTTATCGCCATGTAAAGATATGCACATGTAACTTCTCCCTAAAATATCCATATATTATCTAGCAAAAAAGTCCATGAGGATAATCAAACTTATCAGGTAGAAGTTGTTGTCTTGATCTAACACCAAATTCTCATCACTTATTCACAAGGAAATGTGAAGTAGTTTAAGGGGAGAATTAATAACCAGATCTTGGCAGTTAGAAAGATTAAAGGGGCCGCAATGTGAAATCCAAGCTTGTCCACAAGCTACAGACTGCAATAGGAGGTCTTCTAAGCAGCAGTAGACTGCAAATAAATAACTAGCTTTTAATAAAACCCTTGGTTCAAACCATTTACTGTATCATTATTAGTGATACAAGTAATTCAATTTGTTGCATATCTACTTATTTGTTTTTATGTGTGATTTACAGTTTGTGGCAGCAGGAGACCACTTAGTACATCACTGTCCAACATGGAAATGGTTTGTGTCTGTCTTGTTTCGTTGAGACTATATGATCTACAGAGGTTTTTCACTTTCACTCCAAGGAGTGACACAGAAGTTACTTCTCTCAACAATATCAATGTAATATCTGGCAAACAGATGAAAATATAGACAAATATCAATTGATAGGAGATACTGTTGAGATCAACATCTAGTTGACTGGACTGTAGGAACTGTTCGAAAGGCTAATGCAGAATCAGCAACCTGTTCAATCTCCTATTGTTATTAAGTAAATTTCTCTGGCAAAATTATGATTTATATTCCAAATTGATTCTGTCTTTTCTTTCCTAGGGATTCAGGACCTGATGATACTAAAATAAAGAACTATCTTCCAAAAGACAAGCAGTTTTTGTATACAAAGAATGGTAAGCATGTTTTCCAATATTTGTAAAATCAGTACACCTTGCTTACATTCCATGAGTCATTCTTTATTTCTGAAATGATTTGCCTTTAGTTCCTTGCTACAAGCGATGCAAGGAAATGGAACACCAAGAGGAAAATGAAGCAATTGTCGAACCAGACGAAGACGGAGGCTGGGTAGACACCCACCATCACCTCGATCCAAGTGGGGAGCAAGCTGTCACTGGTACTCAGGAGTCGTTTGCAGAGATGACACTTGAATCTGACAAGGCAAGTGGTAATTTATGAAGGAAGTTACTTTCTAAAGAAACTTTGGTGCTACTACATTGTTGGGAGGTATAACATGATAACTTGGTTTTCTCAGTTGGGTTGATGTTGAATAAAATAAGCAATAAATTGGTCACTGTAGGTTTTCTAAAGCTGCCTTTTCAAGCATTAGCCCTTTGTTGGAGAAAAGGGCAAACGGTTTGCAACAAGTTAATGAAGGGCTTAGTGTTTGCTCTGACAAAGGGCTGCCTCTTGAAGCATCAGCTCTAGCAACTCTATGTGGCCAATGTTCATTATCAACTCAGTTGATAAAACCAATTAAATTATATGCTAATCAGTTTGTGCTGATGGCATGCTAAGGGTGCACTCACAGGAGTGATGAGAAACCATGACCCATTAAAAGCAGTAACAACAGCAAATTGTCTTTTAGGGCACAAAAGATGTAACACAGGTAGATAATGATGATGATGAAGAAGATGACGATGAGGAGGCAGTGGACATGGAAGGTAAGTGTAATTGTACTGATCATTTTGTTCAGACTTGCAACATTACGAAACTACAGATGGTACCAGTTAACCCTTTAAATCCTAGAAGTGATGAACATGAAACTTCTCCCCATAATATCCATACATTATTCAGCAAACAGGTAATGAAAATATTCGAACTTATCAGGTAGAAGCTGCTATCTTGATCTAGCACCAAGTTCTTATAACTAATTGATAAGGAAATGTGTAGCAGCCACAGGGGAGAATCAGCCACAGGGGAGAATTAGCAATCAGATTTTGGGAGTTGAAGGGTTATTAAAAAGATATTAAGTGCATTGACAGAACTGAAAATAATTTAATTCTGTCCAGTTCATAGTTACATCACCTTTTCAATTTATACTTTGAAAATGATACACTACTAGTCAGTTTCATTACAACTACTATGCAGTACTACTTGTAATACTGCTTCACCAGCAATGATACAAATGATTTATTCCCCATTTCCTTTTTTTCATGTAGACCTCAATTTTTCAAATGTTAAATACCTGTCACTTCATTGCTGTTACTGTACATTTCATCACTGAAAAATGTTTCTGTTTCAAATTTTTAGCTTTTGAAGAAAGTGGAATGCTTGAAAGTGATGAGGTACAGTATATTCCATGGCAAAAAAAGTGCAAACGATGAACATTCACGATGAGTAGCAATATATGTCAGTTGTAGTTAATCACCCCATGCTTCAGAAACAAGGACATGATCCAGGCCTGTTGCTTTTTTCAAAAACTTTACCTTGTCTTTTTGCAGGCTACCTTGTCAATTCAACCAACTTCTAAGGCTGAGTCAGGGGCGGAGGGAGCCACAGATGCAAATGCCTCTGGTGGAATTCTACAAACAAGAACTTACGACATGTACATTACATATGACAAATATTATCAGACACCACGACTGTGGCTGTTTGGTTACAATGAGGTAAGAGTTTGTTGAATCTCATTACATTGAGAGTGACTGAAATCCCAGAATTGCAGGCAGATCTGAAAAGAAATAAAACATTCTTCTGTACTCTTTTGTCATGAGAGCCAAGACTTTGGTATCTGTATCTACTGTGCCTCTCCATTATGACATGGGTCAGTGTAAAACTTCATGCCACAGGGTGCCAAGATTTCTGATGTACATATTCATTTAGAACTAACCATATGAATTTTAATGCTACATGTATAAAGGTTTTGCCTTTCAACTGACCTGGAAAAAAAAAGAAAACTTTATTCTTTGTAAGGATTAGCTCAAATTGTTAACAGAAAGGGTCACTGCATATCAATTTTTCCAGTTTTTTAAAGGTCTGGTACAGGTATTGGGAGTATAATGCGACCAACCAGTCCATAATTTTTGGAATGGGCACTATTGAGACAATCATGAAGCTTTTTGGATGTTTTATTTTGCAGAACCGAGAACCCCTTGCAGTAGAAGAGATGTATGAGGATATGAGTCAGGTAAAGTTTTAGCAGTTTTCAGAGTAGAGTTTTGTTGGTTGATTTTTGCATCATGAACATAATGTGTGCTCTGAATTGTAGGACCATGCAAAAAAAAAACAGTGACATTGGAGGCTCATCCTCATTTGCCAATGACCATGGCATCTGTTCATCCTTGTAGGTGAGTTGCTACAACTGTCTTCTTACGCCTAATCCTTACCTTGATTCTCCCAAATACTTTGCACTTTCTCTATATCAATTTGTTGCTCATCCCTTTCTGCTGTACACACAATCTGATTAAAATCTGAATTTCAAGGATGGGATACCCTGAAAATAGATACTTGGTATCAACTGCTGTCAACTTCAGTCTCCTTTGCATTTTCACTTTCGTTCACTTACATAACGTTCTTCCTAAAACTTATTAAGTTATAGAATGTATATAATGAGGTGAAGGTAGTTAATGGTCACTCCTAAAAACGGCAGGCAGACACCTATCCAAAATGGACATTAATACCTAAGTGCAAGTGCTGAATTTTGGAGAAAGGTCTCTTACAATCAGAAATTTCTGCCTTGAGAGACCCACTTTAAGTTTGTTAATACTTCAAAGAACAAAGCATAACGATCTTTTAGTAGATCATATGTAAACCACCTAACCTAGAGTCCAATTTGAAAATTGCTGTGTTAAAAATACATCGCCGCGTTATTTTAGTTCACTGAGCCAAAAGAAAGGACACTGTGGTTGGTGCAAATCCGTAGTCACGGGTTTATTTTTTCCAACTCATTAGACATGCTGACGTAATGAAGAAGATCATACAGACAGTCGCTGATGGTGGAGGAGAGCTTGGAGTTCATATGTATCCTTTGAATGTCATGGTAATGCACGTGATTCCGTGGAATTAAAAGCTCATACATGTTCTAAACTAGGCAAAATGAGCACACAGAAGCAAAGAGATGGACTTTTTCTATGCCACTTTTTTATTTGTGGCTGTTACTTTTGTGACATAAGTTTATGACCAATCATCTAGCATTATTCATGTAACGTGACTTTCTTAGACCAATCCGAGATTAGAACAATCATATTTGTAACTGAGCTGAAATTTCCCAAGTGAACAGGTGATAGAGATGTGAGACAGATCAAAACACAGGGAAAGATGATTTTTCGTCTTGTCACGAGCGTGGGACAAAGAAAAATTCTTAATCCTAATGAGGAATCGAACCTCAGACCTTCGCATTCCGCGCTCCGATGCTCTACCACTGAGTCACAGAGACATGTTTTGCAAATTGATAACATCCGTGATCTGTTCAAAGAAACAAAATTCATCCTGCGAACTCAGTCAGCCTTGTCTTTGGAATGAGTTGAAGACACGAGAAGAAGCCCTATTTAGATTTTACGTTTTCCTTGACTTTTTTCCCCAGGTATCTACTCATCTTTCTCAAATTTGTCCAGGCTGTGATACCCACAATAGAGTACGACTATACGAGACACTTCACCATGTGATCTTGAACCAAATCAACTGACTTGAACCCTTTAACCCTTTAAACCCTAAGAGAGATCAGCATCTATTTTCTCCTAACAATAGTACAGCTGAATCGTTCATTAAGATCATGAGAAAAAAGAAAATGCTCACCAACTAAAGAAATTTTGATTGTTAAACAAATTCTCCTTGTCAGTACCAAACGAAATGCACAGAGAAGAGTTGGAAGAATATAAATACTGATGTTAGGGTGTAAAGGGTTGAACTCCTATGAGTAACCAAGACAAAATTACTACTTAGATGACACAGAAGAAAAATATCAATCAGGGGATCATTAGTTGATTTCATACCAAATTCTCCAAACTAACATCATAAGAACTGTATGGCAGACAGTAAGGAGAATTACTAATGAAGTATTGAGAGTGAAAGGGTTAAGATTTCTGAAGTAGAGCATATTTTCAATAGCTTTGGTAGAGGTTTCGTGGCAGTAAAGAAATAATTATGAAATATTGCCTCGTTTACAAAAATTAATTTTATTATTGATTCCTCTTAATGTGCGTTTTGCTTTCCACTTTAGGAAAGATTACGCGAAAGTATTTTATAAAGCAAAAAGTAAAATAGTGTACTTGTTACAAGAACTTCAACTCCTGAAGGTTACATACTAATCTTCGTAAATTAGTATGAGCAAAATCTGTTGGAGCAGTGAAACATGAATAAGCCTCCTTTGAATAGTTGCATGCAGGAATAGGTCCTATTTAAAAACTGAGATATAATCAGACACACAGGTTCCGAAGAAGGTCACATATTTTGAAATAAAAGTTATAGAAATATTACAGTTGTTGTCTTGTGTTCTAACTTCGTTTGTTCTTTATATAATTTATGCAAGATTATAGGAAAATAATGTGAATTGAAGCATCTTAAATTAGAATATCTCTCAGTGACTGGTCAATTTTGCGGGCTTTATTTCACTGTGCAGCCCATTAAATATAAAAGAATTTTTTTAATTAACTCTTCCCCCTCTATTTGAACCCAGAGATATAAAAAAATATATGTCTTCCTTCGTTTTCTCGATTCGTAATTTAAGTTACGGAACCTGTTTTCTTTTTTTCCAGCAGAAAAAATTCAGTCCGTAAGTTAATTACAATCGTGAAAACGGACCTCGAACTCGGTTAGTAAAACTGATATTGATAAAGATGGTAATTAAAATAGTAATAGAGATGGTTAACTGGAGGGCTATTCTTTCTTCTAACGCCAAGTAAAGAATCCAATATTTCCCAGTTCGTCCCTTAATTGTGCTTCTTGGCTCTCACTCAGAGAGAGGGGTGAACGAGCAGGCCCTAGGTCTAAGCCAAGGAATCTCATTATGGCTTTGCCGACGCCAGCATGGCCTCCTGGGAACGTAAACAGACCACGATTAACATTTACCTTCTACTTACAACCACATTACGTGGAGAAAGTATTTCTCTTGGCTACTTAACCCTTTCACCCCCTACGAGTCCCTGGTATCTAATTTCTCCTCACAATATCACCCCTGAATCACATACTGAGGTCAGGAGAATAATGGAAATGATCACCAACAAAAGAAGCTCTCGATTGTTCATCAAATTTTCCTTATCAGCAGTTTTGGAAATGTTTAGAGAACAGTAATGAGAATATACATACTGAAATTAAAGTGTAAATGGTTGAGAGGAAACACTTACCGTACTTACAGTATAACTTCACCATTGCTTGAGACCGATACTAGACGTAAAAAGGTAAAAAAGATCAGTCTCCAGGTATTATTTTTGGAGGGGGTTGATCCGTTGACATACATATTTTTAGACCTAAAACCCAACTAAACTAAGAAATATTTCAACATGCAATCCTGTCGTGGCAGGAATTTTGGATACTGGGACGTACACCGATGTACAATCGCTATTTTTCATTCCAAGTTTCCAGCCAATTCAAGGATGACCTTGTTTTTTTATACTTTTAACCTTGTTTTTTTATACTTTTAAGTCAATCTAAGGGTGATTAGTAAGTAACTTCTACATACAGTGGAGTAATTTTCAATTGCGATTCGAACATTGCCGGGATTGTATTAGTTTTACTTTACTTCGCACTGAGCTCCCACTGCTCTCCCAACTAATCAGATCAGTGCTAGACTAAAATCAACTGCGACTTGGTAAACTGCAAAAAGCGCGGGAAAACGCGAGCGAAAACGCCCTTGATTTAAGTTCGAGTTCTCATTGGCTCCTTGAAATATTATTCTTTGCTGTGATTGGCTGTTGAGATAGCTTACTCTTACGACAACCTATCAACAAGCCATCTATCAGGCAAGCAAGTAACGAATTCGATCTGACAAAGGGCTGACGCTCTAAACGTCAGCTTTAAAACTTTTAACGGTGGCCAATTACGTTATAAACTCAATTGATAATACCAAATTACCCTGTTATACTATCCCGCCGACGCAGCCCCACAGTCTCTTTAGAAACTTACCCTCTTTGTCGAGCAAGCAGCTGAGGGTATTACTTATCAGATTTAAGGGTTTTTGGATTAAACGCTGGCTCACCAAGGTCGGAAAGTTGTTGTCGAGTCTCGAAATCTACATGGAAATACGGGAACGATATGAAGAGAACCGACCTGCTCCGATCTCGCTGTTTCCATATCGCCTTTGTCAAAAGCATCCATGATCCGACAGTGGAGCTTGCCAGCAAAGTTATACGTTCTAATGCAACATAAGAAATTACACAACGTTTGTGAACAAATTTGTACACCAGATTCCTCAAGATTTTCATGAGTCTCCCAGAATTGTATTTTTTTTAGTCGTAGCCCAGAAAAATGTCTCCTCCAGGAGTAATTTCCGTTGCACTCCATTTTTCCTTCGGTAGTGCCTTGTTAGTTTGCGGTTAGTTATACTCTAGTTCCTGATTTCCTTGCAGTTAGGTTTACTCTGGATTGCTCGCAATTAACCTGCAGACCACTTTCTTGAAAGACAAATAATTTATAGTTAAGTTCACATGGCAACCAGGTGGACAATCAGACATGGCTTAATGTTACTCTGGTTTAAAGATTTCATGAATGTAACCGAGAAGTTACAATTCATAGACTCAATGAATTGTAACTGCTCGGTTGCATTCATTAAATCTTTAAATTAGAGTAGCATCAAACCATATCTGAGAGAAAAAATTGTCCTTCATTTTGAACCAAATACCTATTACGCGAAAGATTAACGAAGGAAAGAGATTTTATAAACGATTCCTTACCCTCCAACTGAAGCACAAGCTCCCATGGCTAAGGCACTTATAAGAATCTAGAAATAAAAAATCAAACATGACCATAACTTAGTCCAGGAGCTTTACCCTTCAACTCCTAACTGTGACTGGCTTCTAAATCTGCCTTTAACCCTTTAACTCCCAAGATCTCACTAGTAATTCTCCATACTGTCTGCCATACAGTTCTTGTGATGTTAGTTTGGAGAATTTGGTATTGGATCAAACTTATGATCCTATAATTGATATTTTTCTTTATTCTCATTACTTGTCTGCTTGACATTGTATTTATATTGTCAGGAGAAATTCTGTCTTGGTCACTCATGGGAATTAAAGGGTTAGTCGAATGTAAAGGAAATGATCGTGAATTTTGGACGCTCCAGATTCTCCTTCTCAGTAACAAAGGAAATGTAAACAGAATCTGTATATTGATTTTAGGGAGTAAAGGGTTAAAAGACACTTTCTCTTTGAACAGGTGAACAGTTAAATCACCTCATCACCGCCAAACATAATCGAAAATCTTTGATCTTCGAGGATAAGACAGCGGCCCAGGTCAAACATATCACCACTTGTGAACTTCACACCCGCTAAGGTCGGAATCTTGGGAATGGCAGCTTTTAGAAAATCTTCCATCAGAACTATGACAACGAAATGAATTCAGTTTAGACGTTTGATTACTGGTGGGTGACGTTCGTTCGTTCGTTCGTTCGTTCGTTCGTTCGTTCGTTCGTTTCGTCGTTCGTTCGTTCGTTCGTTCGTTCGTTTCGTCGTTCATTCGTCTCGTCGTTCGTTCGTTTCGTCGTTCGTTCGTTCGTTCGTTTCGTCGCTCGTTCGTCTCGTCGTTCGCTTTCATGTTATCTCTAATACATACATGGAATATGAGTCCAAGCTGGTATATGATAATAAAATAGTGGTGTATTTGGTGCACAATCTGCTACAAGACGAACATACTCTACTAGATCATCTGAAAAAAGAACAGAATATTGCAGAATTATATTAACTTACTCTGCTGTATTTGTCATCACTGGCTTTAAAATTCAGAGCAACCGTTCTGTTCCTAAATCACCGTTCAAAAGACGCAAAAAACCAAAAGTATTGTAGTTCACGTGCCAAGGGCGTGGCCCTTGCTCGCTTCACTTATTGTTGGTACACTCCAGGGGCACTCACGTCACCTACCACTCGCGTTCACATAATTACAGGCAGCACAAGCTAACACAATGAACCTTCGTACATGAAATAACATGTTCATGTTGCACAATAATTAAAACACAAGGATTTATTCTCCCCTCTTTGTTTGTTCCCTAAAAAAATCTTGTGACTTTTTTAGGCTGGTGAGCAGGCATTTAGTTCATTTTAAGCTCCCTGCAAATTCTCATCCATAATTCAAAGACAAAGACAGAAATGAGGTAAGTACCACTTTTAAGCCGATCAAGAGTTCAATCCAAAACGTATTTTTCCCGTGCTGAGCTTTTTCTCCATTTTCGCGCCTTGCGTTGAAGAGATCTAGATAAACTGATTTAAACTTGGCTTGCAGAGAAATTGTAACAAGGAACACCACACTTCTTTAAATAAATTATGGAAGCTATAGATTTGGAAAATATTGATAGTGAAGCGAAATATTTCAGGTAAAATTAAGACACGCACCTACAGACTTGGGAGTGAAGAAACTCGTGGCCATCAGAGCGATTGCTGTCGCTCTGTTGTTTTCAGAATGTCTCGCCTAAAAGAGATCTACAAAAATCAATTCTAAGTCTTTATGAGTAAACCTAACATGTCCCAAGCAACAAATGCGGCCTACCAGCTCTTGTGAGTCTTTTAAGTTTGAGGTTCCAACATGTATTATTATGTGTTCAAATCTGGAAAGAAGGAATTGCCTCTGTTCATTGACAAATTGAAACTCAGTTATATTATTTATGCAGAGATGCAGCACATGCTACAGATCAAATTTTAGATGATCTCTTCAGTCAGGGTTGGCAAGAGGGAGGGTTGCAAGGGAAGAGAAATGTTTTGAAGTGCCCACGAACCACTGACAGCCTGGAAAACAATGCTAAAATGTCCCTTGTCATGCTTATACTGATTTATAGATAGAATGGTATGTAATCATATGGAACCTTTTAGACAGTTCAGCATATCTATAAGAGTGGAGCTCATTTTCCAAGCTGTTATAATTGTTGATATTTTTTGATTAGTTATAAAAAAGGTGGGTGAAGGAAACAGCAAGTGACTATACTACACGGAGTGTGCATTGATGGTTTTTTTAATTCTAAGCAGCATTGAAATGTATTTAATTCTCTATTAAAACATCACTGATTCACCTGTCTTTTCCTACTTCAATCCACTTCTCAGCAAGTCCCTTCCTCTCCTCCACTGTCAATAAAGTGCTTTCCCCAGTTGTCCCAGCAACTTTAAGACAACAAAACAGACAGTTTGACAATTAACAATATCACTAAATAAATGCATGTTTGCACAAACAAATGGTGAAATTAGACTTGGATCAATGAAAATGATTTATTAAATTATAAGTGCAAATCATTACCATACCCCGTTCACAAGAGATGTAGTTTAAACACAAGAGGGCTGTCTCAAACCCACCCCATAGATCACCCAAGCAAAACAGTCATCTTACACTGCTTACCCTGTGAGAGGATGTGTTGATGATATGGTTCAAACATTTCAGATTTAACCCCTGACTCCCATGAATGACCAAGACAGAATTTCTCCTTACTATATCAATACAATATCAACCAGACATTAAGTGTTGAGAATAAAGAAAAGTATCAATTTGTGGATAATTAGTTGATCCAACACCAAATTCTCTGAACTAACATTATCACAATTTTATGGTTGACACTAAGGTGAATTGCAAATTTGATTTGGCAGTTAAAGGGTTAAGGTCTTGCTTCATTCATAGGCAAGAATGACTCAAACTGAAACGGAAAAGTCAAGAGACCAAATGGGGCTCAGACTGAGAGGAACTAGATGTGGATATTGAAAGGGGAGGCTCATTCAACCTAGCAGTGTGTAGAGTCTAGAATTTTTATCCTAAAAAATATGCAGTGATGATGATAGTTTGAGCAAGGACAAAAAGGTTTAAGTTTGCACTCAGGCCAACTGGCCCATCCAGGTGGAGCTTAACCTGCTTTCTGTAGCATGAAGCATCTCAGGAATTTCATCAGGCTTTCCTAACAATTTTTCAGTACTCATTTATAATAACTGAGATAAACATATTTATACTGCTTCACCAATCGAAATGTATACATTGTCCTGCATGGTCACACAACTTCAGATCAGCACAGAGGAAATTTGAAAAAATAGTTTTGTTCCAGGAATTAAAACAACAACTTAACAATTTTAACTGTGACATCAAGATTGCAGAGAGGCAAAGATGCAATCAATGCATGTTCAATTTATCAGATTATCCCTGCGTTATCCTGGCTTACGGTAATTGCTCATGATACTGGGTTTTCTTATTAAAACTAATACATACCAAATAAACCTTTTACATTCTCATTTTGTAAGTGCTGTGCATATGCCTCTATCACACTTAAATTCAGCTCCCTGAATCCAATTAAATAAAATGGATAAATAGGTTAAATAAATAAATAATCAAAATAATTCAATCAAAATAGAAATGGAAGAAAAGTAAGCATATCAAATTGGAAGAACCAAAACTAACATAACTGTGAGGTATTGGGCCAGTGGTTGTCTAACATGCATGCACATTGAAAGGCAGCCTGACTGGGAGAGCCTTCATGTTGTCATCAGTTCCTCAATATTCAGCAATAGCATAGCATATATCAGACACGATACCGACCACAAACTTGATCTCTAGACCATGAGGGTAGTGATGCTTTCAGCTGAAGACCCATCACTAAGAATTGTCTTTGTTGATTCTGTCCATGAAACAAAAGAGTACAAAATACTTACCCACCATCATCAAATGGTGTGAGTGTTGCTGCTATCAACCCTTTAATCTACAAGTTAGAGCAAAATACATCTATTTAATAACACTCTAAACACTGAATACAGTTCCACAATAAAAAAAAGTGCATCATCCTTATGAGGATCAGGTAAGTTGTTGGAAGGATGGTGCAGCAGAAAGGGAGTATTAAATTACCAGTAGATAAAGACAGTTGTAATGGATAAGATAAGATGGGTATGTTCACACTTATAGAAACAGAAATTGTGCCTGTGACAATAACCCCCCCCCTACACACACACTCACTGACCCTTCTCCACTGTAGGCCTTTAATAAAATATCTTAAATAAAAATACTATCATAAAAATGTCGTGCAAGGGGTCATACTGAGGTGTTACAATTCACTTGGCCCCCTTTCTGGAACCCTTAAAAGTCAATAAGTCTTGTGGAGATTATTTGGGTATACACACTGCCAGTAATCAAAAATATCTACTTTAACACCTTTTGGATGGTAAAACAAGTCTTGCACCCAATGTGGGTAGGGAAGGGAAGAGAAAATTCCACGTGGTAACACAACTCTATAAATACCAGCAAAAAATCCTTCTTAATAAGGAGAAAAAGTTAAAAATCCTTGATAAAAATGTAATATATCTCGACTCACTACGTCAATGATCATTTAATTTAAGATGGGGGTAGGGGGGGGGGGGAAGGGGGAAGGGGAAGGGGGTGTGGGTTAATCTACCTGTGCCTCAATCGAATTTTTCAGTGCGTATCTCTAGTGAGAACTTAAGGATTTGGGTTTGATGGGCTGGATTATTTGATGAGAAATAAGTTTCTTGATTTGTTTCATGGCTGCCAAAATCTCGCCAAAAAATATCCCAGGGATAGGGGGCAGGAGACCGGCGATGTCGCAGGAAGGTCCTGCATAAATCGGGCAAACCTCTAAGAACCTAACAACTGCGGAAATATCAAAATGCGAAAAAACTTCAAAACGTTTATCTGTGCCTGTGCTCTACAATTATTGTATCTAAAATATGAAGTTATTGACTTGATGGCACGATTGCTGTAAGGAAGGAAGTATGGATGAATTACGAAGACTGTTGCAGCAAAACACATGATAAATATTACTCTAAGAAGCAACATTACCATTAGTATACAAAACTTACCCTTTTCATGCTGTCATATACCATACCCTGCTTCAATGCCTCACAAAAGAAAACTGTCTCTTTTAATGAACTCAGGTCGCCGCTGTAACTACTGTGCAGCTTCGCATGAGGGGGGTGAGTGCAAACTGTAAATAGTCTCAAGGGAGGAGTCCTAAGAATCCCTTTCAAAAAATCTGGAATGGACAAAGGAGTGGATGTGGGAATACGTGGTCCGTGTGACATCACGTGCCTGCAATTTTTAATATTTTGTTTCGCATTTTGCTGAAATAAGCATCATGATAAATAAATGGGATGAAGTTAAAAACAGCGCACAACTCAGGCACTTTCTTTTGGAGCATATGCGATTCTGTGTTCCTTCTTTCGCGCTTAAGCAGGTCATTGGCGACCTCTATTGGCAAAAGTGTTGAACGTCACGGAAGTTAACCCCACCTCAAAATAACGGAAACGGAGCGTATTTTCATAAGTAGTAGCCTTTTCCGGGCATTCAGGTGTCCCAGCGGATTTGGACCCCCCTAGAATTGGACACCCCGGTCCAAATCCGCTAGCGGATATGGACCCCCCCGGTCCATATCCGCTAGCGGATTTGGACCCCTTTAACAAAACTGAGTAAAAACATTACCATACATAACTTCCTAATAGAAATAATAAAAATTTAGAAAGTAGGCTTTCAAAGAAAGTTTTTTTTTTCAGAAAGTAGGTTTTTATTTTAAAACATTCTCGTAGACGTGATCTTTTTCAGCATTGCGTCTCAATTTAAGATTTTCGTTTAATTAACCTGCAGCTTAAGTCTGTTGTTTACCTCTGGAATGAAAATGAATTCTTCAGAATTGGAATAAGAAAGGATTTGGTATGAGTTTCAATAGTTCGAAAATTTAATTCATGCGTAGGCTATTCTACCAACTCAAATAAATGTCAGAAATGAAACGATATCTGCCCTTTCTTCGTCAATTATAGTACGCAATCTTGTGTTGAAATTTTAACGGACATCGCCTAAAAGCTCGCAGTTGGAACAAGTTACGAAAAAGAAATGTTTAGTTGGGGGTCCAAATCCGCGAAGGGGGGTCCAAATCCGCTGTGACACAGGCACTAAAACTGAGCGCAGTGCGACAATAGCGGCGAGCAAAAAGTCGAGGGAGGATTGGGTGAAGTCGCGTTACGTAACGCGAATCGACCCAAGCCTCCTTGCACGCGACCTAAACCCTCTAAGACTTTGCACGACTGACTAAGGATACGAATTATGATCCACTCGTGCTAATACTATCTTTCACACGTATGTAATTTATCCTTATCTGCATTAGTATTGGTATCATTATTATTATTATTATTATTATTATTATTATTGTCAGTTTTGTCATCATGATAATTATTATTATTATTATTATTATTGTTATTATTATTTAGTTATACTATCATTCATTATTATTTTGCCTTTCAGAGGCAGGTTTTTTTATGCTAATTTTCAACAATAGTCATGAATTTGTTAATAATAGTGAATTCAAAAACGCTCCTAACAACAAATTGTCTATCAGCAATATTCAAATTATTATAAAAGTATCTTTGTACAACTTATTTTCAATCTAAAAAAAGAGGCAGTTGAAGAATATCCTACAACTTTGACGTTAGCCGTCGTGAAAATCTAATGTTTTTTTTGTGCCATTCAACACAAACTAAGGAAATCGTGCGCAAAGATATGTTACATGTCGTTTGAGTGGTTACCGAGGTTACAAACACATAAATATATCTGTACATGAATAGTAAATCTATGCGTGCAGACTATACATTAAAGATGAGACACGTATTTTGCACCTGCAAACTGCACAAAGCTTTCAGTACAATACAGCTACTTTTGATCACCACAGGTAAATTTTTTTTTTTTATATTAAAACAACACAACTAAATCATCTCGCGTAATGCACCGCAATGCACCGAAAGTTCTAAAAATTTGAAGAAGGTGCTTAGAGGAGGAAGATAAGTTGAAACTCCCTTGAACGGAAAATATCCTTCATTCTTTTTCGTTTTTCGGATGAAGCACGCAAATTTTTACTCGTGATCATCACGTGAGAAAGGATGGCTTCATTGTGTCAGGAGTCAAGATAGACAACTGTGCTCACAACCTCTTCGCTGCAGGAAACATGGAACTCAGACAGGGGATAATCAATCAGCTAGAAAAGAGTTTTTTCCCTTTTGAAAAGCTACTCACTCTGTATTTTTTGGGGTGTAATCTCCCTTGCGGGAACGCAATTCCTTTTCAACTGTGACCCCCCTTTGCTACACTTATCCTCCATTATTAGGTCGTGTATAGTAATGGCAATGTTTCTCTTTTGATATTAAAACAACCAATAAATACTCAAGTTCCTCGATTCATCTCAACATTCTAGGGAAGAAAATTTACTCCCACAGAGAGGGATAATACACCCACGACTCGAGCCGCAGGTGTTTCGGTAATGGATTTCATAAGTTCATAACGAATCAATACTTACGTGAGCTTTAATGGGGTTTAGTTACGTAGAAATTATCTTTTTTTGTTATCGCCATTATTATACTTTTTTATAACTATTTTCTCTATTTTACTCCTAAAAGGTTTGTTTCACACACCAATTAAAATTTAATGCATTTTTTAATCCCATAAAGCAGCTGCTAGAGAGACACTGAGAGCTGTGACTTAAGCCTTTACGACAAACTTGTCTTTTAAGTGACATTCACTTGGGAAGAAGAAAAGGGAAGAAAATCTTCTACTATAAAATTGTACAGAAAGTATATCGTTTACAAGGATAATTTAAATGTCATTTGTCTGACGATGGAGGCCACAAACACATAAGTGTATCCGTGCATGAAAGTAATTTTATGCGCGCGGACTGAGTGGCTAATTAAAAGTGAGAAATTTATTTTACATCTGCAAACTGCACAAAGCTTTGAGGAAAAACTACTAATTTTCGTAGTTTGCAGAAAGTTTGAGCTCAAAGCATCAAATTTTATAAAATGATAAATAAAACACAGTGTACCCAATTTTTGACAAATGCAAAGAAGGTGGGAAGAAGGGAGTAAGATAAATGGAAGACTTGAGGGGAAACACTCGTCACTCTTTTTTTCCTTATGGATGAGGGACACAAATTTGTATTCTTTTTTGCATCTTATAAGCAAAGATGGCTTCCCTGTTCCAGAAGTCAAGATAGTTTTCTAGAAAATGCACTCAGACTCAGAAATTCTTCAAATTGAATTCACCTTATCCTTAATTCGTCATTAGTATGTCGCCTTCAAGGTATTTTTGATAAAAGAACTTCTATATTGTTATCTTTCACTTTTGGAGAACCACAGGTAAGCCAAGCTCGATTTACGAGAACATCTTCACTGTGAAGCTGTTTCGCCAAAGGATTTGTTTGATGAAAACGGGTAATTGGATATCGATCTTGAGCTATTTTTTGGGTCTGTAGGAACATACGAGAGAATTGAATACGTGAGCCAAGAGTTGCTGTGCTCACAGTCACGTCGCCTCAGGGAAGTCCACGGGGGGTTAACAACTATTCAGAAAGCTTTATAGTCATGAACGAATGTTTAAACCAGCTTCAGTTTAGTTTGGTTACTGTTGTTAAACGGAGGAAAAACCCACCGGGAAAGACCCTGAAGAACTATTAAGTATCTCTAACACGTAAGTTGTATGACGCTGCATTCCAAAACATGTGATTTGAGATATGAAAAATTGTCTTTTAAAGTGCAGAAAAAATTAACCATGCTTCGCAGTTGTACTCTGTAACCTTAATTATTCCATCTCACCTTTGGTCCATGGCATTAAACCACGGTCTTAATTCCAAAGTTCTGTCTTTCCATTTCTCTCTACATACTATATTTATAATTCAGGAGCTGTGATCAACGCACGGTTTCCTTAGTTCGTCCTACTTGCAAGTTTTGGAGCACAACATCTCAACTAAAGAGAGGTTTTCCATTCGATTGAAAACATTTTTTCGGTCATTATTCCTGAGACATATGCCATTCAAAAAAGATTTTCTAACCTTCATTTATCAAGTTAATCAAAACTAAATTGTTTTGGTAACGCGCAAAATACAAAGGTCACTGATAATAGAGAAAGAAACGTAAATCCTTAGCTTTGGGGCGATTTTGGTCAAATGTGATTATTCGAATGAAGAGTTAGTATCTTTAAATTTACTTCTCTTGAGATGGTTTATTGTAAGTTGTTGTAGATGTTTGCTTTTTTATAACGTAAAATAGATCTGTAAACAACTGAATGTGAATATCATCGGACAGCCTGATAAAGATTCCATGTTCCAGCCTCTCTTCTTCATTTTTATTTGCTTGTTTATTATCGAGGAAACGACTTTTCATTGTCAACAATTTTTAACGAAGAAGATTAATCCTCTATTTAGTAAAACAAAAACCGAAAACAAAATACAACAACGAAGATTATGAAGAACAGAATCTGGGCCAAACTTCTCATCTCATCATCAATCCACCGTATTTTCAAAATCCCCAAATTTAAGTCGTTTAATTCTATGCAAAACCCAAACTCCGTTTAATTTTCTAGAGTTTTTCTTCTTCTTTTTCTTCTTCTTCTTTCTGTTCTCTAAAGAACTCATCAAAATAAGTTACACTAAGAATATTGGGATAAAAATAAGATGATAATTAAAGAAAGTTTATTTCTTCTTGTCAAGATCAGCAATCGTGTTTGCCACGAATGGCTTGGCGACAATTCAAAGCCCACATTACAGTACTGGTAATGGCGTCTGTCGCACTCCGACATCTTACCAGCCAGCAGTGTGGGACTGATCTTCACTCAATCTACCAAATGATGCTTCAAGGCCACACCTTTAAGACCTTGAAGACCCAACCAGGTACAACAGAATGCACACAGGCGTGCCGCGCTGAATCAGATGCCAAAGCTTTAACGTCTTGTTCGAAGGGATATGTGAGTTAAATAACAGAACTAAAGGAGGCTAGACCGGACGATTTTGTCAAAGACTTGGAACGATATTACGTGAAAAGCTCAACAAGAGGTAAGAAAACTAATTAAAAGTAAACTATTCATGAGAAACGAGTTTCTGCCTCAGAGCACATCTAGCGTGGATTATGCTAAACCTGTCATTCGTATGATATCAATGATGTCTTCTCCATAGTTCTCCATGGTTTAGTCGTGTAAAAAGGCTAACAAGGTCGGAGATGACTCGCGCGAGCCAGCAAAAGGCTCAGGTCAAGTAAAATTGTTATGGAACGTTCGATTACGATGGAAAATTACTCTGTTCAAAGCTGGATAACCACAATTCCGTTCTCTGAAATAAAAAACAGGACCTCAATTTCGTAATTGAAAAGGCACATGAAAAAAATCAAATTATTTAGTTTTATGTTGCAGGACCAAGGTAGGAAACGTTGTGAACGAAAAACACGAAAAATGGAATTCGTGCATTCTTTTCCTCAAGTGTGTTTCCAAAACCCTGATGTCAGGCAGGCTGGGAGCCTGGGTCGAATCTCAAAGTTTTCCCCAACATCTGATTAGCTGCAAAAACAAAACAACACTGAAACACAAATTGCCCGGAGACCCTTTTGTTTATTATCTTCCACGCCAAAAACGGTTCGTTAAATGTATTTGTTTCATTCACACTCAGTCCCTTTAGGTTCCGTTCCTGAGCTGCCAGCCGATTCGTGTAAAGAAATCAAGGCGAGTGAGGGTGGACAAGCGGTCAGCGGTAATTACTGGTTGGATTCCCCCAGAACTGGAAATTCTATTTTAGCTCGCTGTGACATGAAAACAGAGGGTAGGGACCGACAAAATAATTTCTTATCCCGCATGTGCGTAGCGAATATTGACAGAAAAAAAACCTGCAATCTCTATTGATTATTTGTTATCTTTTTGGTTTAGTTGCAGACTATTGCATAAGTGTCAGAACACTGCAGCATGTGTAAACAGGCATTTGAATTACACGTGTGCGTGCACCTCATCAGGATGGACTTTACCCTACTGTGAAAAAGGTAGGATCTAAGTAACCAAATCTTAGTAGGGTTTTTAGTACATGTCAATTGTGTTTATTCTCTTTCCTATGACCTTTTAGATATCAATGAATGCAAAGTAGGCATCCACGATTGCCATAGCAACGCTGAATGCCAAAACACTAATGGCTCCTACATCTGTAGCTGTAAACCAGGATTTCAAGGAGACGGGAAACAGAGTTGCAATGGTGAGAAAAACCTTCATGGCTAGGAACACATAAATCCAAAAATTTGGTTTCTTTCTTGAAAAGGAAATCCCCAGAAGAGAAAATTCCTATTTTTCGAAATTGATAGCTGCGAAGATTCAGTGCATTTGCGCCTGGAAATTATGTTAAGAGTTGCTCTGTTTCCTTAGATACTGACGAATGTAGTGAAGGCCTTCATGACTGCCATAGCAACGCCAAATGCAAAAATACAGAAGGCTCGCATACTTGTACCTGTAAACCAGGATTTTCCGGGGATGGAAAAATTATTTGCAACGGTGAGAACATAAATAGTGATATAAGTTTCAGATGATTTTTTGTTTAAATGTGGATGGAAATAAAAGCTTTCGAAGCTGTCTGTGTTTTGGACACTCGATAAAGTGAAAGTAGTATAACTGCAGAAATGACCAGCGGTGCCATGAGCTAGTCTTTCATCGCCTCAAAGCGAAAATTAAACTGTTAGTAACGTAAGCTATCGATACCAAGCTAAAGCTTTTCGCTTGTAGGGAAAAATGCGTCATTCTTGTCAACATTCAAGATCAATTCTCGTAAAAAACTTGACCGCTACACGTATTATGAGTTTCTTTTTCTTTGTAAAAGTATTGACCACGATTTTCAATTTATTCATAGGCCATAAATAGTGATGTGTGAAATAATTACTCTTAATATTCCTAGACAATCAAACTTTTCCACTTTTTATTTTGTTTGGGGTGCATTTCTATGAAGCCAGATTTATAGAAATTATTTCGTCAGGAAATAACGATTTTCTTCGCATTCCGCGTCCTTTTTGTAATGTGGTGTCACAAGAACATCAAGGTTATAGATTGAGCTGTGGGTCAATCAAAGTTTTTTTTTTGAAGGAGTCTTAGAAAGCAGGGTCATTTATGTTTTAAATGATAAGAGTGATTGGAAGGCTTTGGCAGCTGCACAGTGTAAAACACATATCTCTGAACTGGGATTGCCTCGCAGTTTTTTTCATCCTCACCGTCATTCCACATTAGAGACTAAAAATTCACATATCTCTGAACTGGGATTGCCTCAATGTTGTACTTCAAGGATTTTTTGGAGAAACCATTTTTTCTTTCTCTGGGCTTTCTCATTTTTTTTTTTTTTTGTTTTTTCATCCTCACCGTCATTCCACATTAGAGACTTCATGAATAATTCAGACTTGTTATTATTTTTCTCTTTTAGATATTAATGAGTGTACAGAAGGCTCTGATGACTGTCATAGCAAAGCCGAATGCAAAAATACGATTGGCAATCACCAGTGTACTTGCAAACAAGGATTTTATGGAGATGGAAGGACAAGCTGCACAGGTCAAAAAGAATTTGGAAAGTCAAAGATCCATGTCCAAAGCATTGACTTGTTCTTTCTCTTTTTTGTTTTTCATCATTCAATGAATGAATAATTCAGACTTGATATTATTTTTCTCTTTCAGCAACTTCTTTGTCAGCACAATCCCAGTTAAATTCCAAGGATTTTATGGTGTCTGATTTGACGTCAGACCATAAAGCAATTTGATTTGAATGAGGACTCAGTGTTGATATGTCAGGATTCAATGCATTTGCACCCGGGAGTTATGTTAAGAGTTACTCTGGTTCCTTAGATATTGACGAATGTAAAGAAGGCCTCCATGATTGTCATAGCGTTACTATGACAATCATGGAGGAAGGAAAACTGCAAAGGCCAGAAAGAATTTGGAGAAGTAAAAGATCCATGTCCAAAGCACTGACCTGTTTTCTCTGAGCTCTTCTCTCCCAATGAAAGTATGTACTTTCTTTGTGAGTGCATTCGTTGAATTCCCAGTGTCTGATATGTCAGACTCAAAATTTGAACCATAAATCTAAGTATCGTTCTTAACTTGAAGAATATTATATTTAAGCGAAGAAATGGTCCTCTTTATTGGGTGAGCAACAACTAAACAGTTTACCATTGATACGAAATTGTTTTTTCACCGTTGACGCCGTTCCATCCCTATCTCTAATCGCGTGAGTTTCCGACTTATTATTTCATAAATATCTCTGATATTTAGATATCAACGAATGTACGGAAGGATCTCACGGTTGCCATCGTGACGCCACTTGTCAGAATACTGCAGGCTCGTATAGGTGTACCTGCAACTCACAATACATCGGGGACGGACTGAATTGCGAGCCTAAAGGTGGGTAGGACTATTATAAATGTGCCAAGAGTCTAGTATCAATAGCTCACGATCAGCTTTAATGCTGAACAAAGACACAGTTTTCCACTGACTCTGCGAGCTGCAGGCATAAGGTTCCTTCATAGTATATCTTTGAGGGTCGCTGTTAGGGAATGTTCAGTTGCCTTTATTACGACTTTCTTTTGTTCCTAAGGCTTTAATTCTGGACAATAGCCTCTGGAATTTAGTGCAAGCCAGCTAATGAAAGTGGCAAGCAAGTTTCAGAATTTTCTTTCATTTTGAGTTGATTGGCTTTTTTTTCTACCTAGAATGTAGCAACTACAAGACTTTAACTTCTGCTCGAAGATTGAAAGGTTCTACGTCAAACAAACCATATGTATGCGACAATTCACTGACTTGGGGCTGGTATCGTATTACTGGAGCCGCAGGTAGAAAAATGCCCACTTCATGTGTGCCTTTTCAAAGATGTGGCGGCCAGAGACCAGGCTGGCTCAGTGGTGGTCATCCCAACAAAGCTGATGGCAGAGTGTCCAGGAAGGTCTGGTTTCGCTCGAGTGACAATTGTTACAGAGTATCGACGACTATCACAGTTAGAAACTGCGGTTCGTTCTATGTTTACTACTTAAAGGGTTTTTCACATGGCTCAAACTGCCATCGTTACTGTAGCTCTTACTAAATCACTCTTGCATTCTGGGTAACTTGCAGTAGCAAGGCATCCTGGGTGATTGGCTGGGGTTGTCTCAGGCCAAGTAGAAGTAAGTTAAATAACTTTGCCATGGTTAATCATTGTTATTAATTCTAATACATTTAATCCACACTCGCACTTACGCAAGCAGTGAGCGTTCTCGTGGTTTTTTAATCTGACTAGGTGTTTAATGCTTAGAGACCAACTCTGAAACATAGATTAGAATTTATCATAATCGCTCAATTATATAGATCGTCCTAAAATGACGTCCTGGCGGCCATATTGGTTACCAAAACAATAACATTGCGATCTTAAACCAATTGCTCTGCAGCAAAGTATGCCTGGCTGCCAAAGTATGTTCAGTTTAGTTCGGTGTAGTTGGGTGATATATGAGTTATGTTATATTCAGTATGTAAAAGGAAAAAGACGTTATCGTTATGTACTGTAAGTGATGTACATGCCTAAAAAAGTTTACAAACGACAAGGAAAACGCAAGTACCGTAAGAGTTAGGAGTTAATTTTAGCGTTTTAATTACTGCAAATATTGCAAGTATATTAGAAATTTCAATTTTTTGCTAATATTAGTAATGTAATGGCAGTATAGTTTTGTTCCCTGGATGTATTATTGATAGGTCCACATATAGCCTGTTTATCATGAAGATCACATTTATATAAAAACAACGCCACTAAGGTTCACGTCAGACGTTGAGGAACGCAGAGAAATTTACATTACGCCCTATCTTGCTTTCAATGCGATGTAAGTAAGAGGCTTTGTTTTCACTCATTTTGCTTTCATCAAAACTAAAACAAAATTGTCTAACGTGATTGGTTATCACCGGCCCCATTTAAGCACTAATAGGACAGCGTATGCGTCTTGATTGTAATTGGACAGTGGAAAAGGACTGTTAAAGGAACAGTTAATATGTCATGTCTGTGAAAGTGCTGTTTTATTACATCTATTTTGAAAACACTGGTGATCCTTGCAATCTAATTGGCTCTCATCGGTGTGTTTTATTCACGAATCGCACCATTTAATGCTCTAAATCGCATCTTTTTCCACAACAACCAATTTTATTTCGAGGCTAGTTTAACGAAACCAATTAAATTGCAGGGAGATGAAACAAATTTTTGCAACTTTTTACAAACCAGCTCAATACTGGATCATTAAAATGTTTGTACAGACTAAAAAAAAACCTGCATCTGAGCGACTGAATTTTGTGATTTTGAAAGAGATGTAATAAAGTGGTAATTGAACTTCGTGTCGTTCAATTTTGGTCTGGAATCATACTTGAGTAACGCCCAACAAAGGGAAAACAACTGGCAAAAAGTCTGATTTCCAAATACGGTTATGAAAGTATGAACCAGAGGCCCTGAAGAAAATTCTCGAGAAGTTTTTGGCAACAGTTCTTACGAAAAGCGGGGAAGATTACGAGCGTGATAGCTTTCGTTTAATGGTTGCTGCTGTCAACCGATTCCTAACAGAGAAAAGTACAAACACCTAATTATTCTTGGGAGAAGATTTAAAAGTTTGAAGCTAGTTCTTACGGGAAAAGCCCGACAACTCAGGCAACTAGGCGAAGGCAAGCTGGTGCTGAACCTGTGAGTCACAATAAGAAATAAAAACAACTAGAAAGGAAAGCAGAATCATATTTTTGCTTGTGTATTATTAATTAGTAATTACATGCTTTTTCTCGCGCTATTTGGGATGAATCAGCACGGGTAAAATTTTTTAAAGCCTCACAAAATTGCACGAGCCTGTTCTGTACGCACAATATTGTGATTCAATGAGATGTAAATGGGAGGCACCGTATTCCCTAATTTGGTTATTTTTTTCCTAATTTTTTGGTAGTTTATGGTCTGTTTTTCCACTCTGTACACGAATTCGCCGACTTTTTCATACTAAATTTTTGTCTTTTAAATATTCGTTTAACAGATTTAAGGCGTTAACCAGATTCATACGTTTAAAAAAAGCTGTTTTTCTGAGATATTTTCGCCACCGACGCTTGTCGGCGAAAGAAGGAAAACTTTGGTTTTTTTCCCCTAAAAAAACTTACCCTAAAAATGACACTAACATTTCCGTGCGCCTTTTGAGATATAATAGCATGGTCAAGTTTCAGGTAATAGTACTTATGAATTGTTGAGATTCTTAATTATTAATTGCCCCCGCAGGGTTTTTGGCCCCAGAGGGCCAAAAACCCGAGGAGGCACCTTAGGAAACGTTTTTCCCGCAAATGGTCATGGGCTGCCAGTAAAAAGACACGCGCGCGAGGACTTTTAGGATCGGCGTCTTTGACACGAGATTTGTCCTAGTATAGAGGAAGACTGGAGAAGAGAGAATGGTTTTTTCGGTTGATCGTAACCAAAAGATTTGATCGCTTGCATAAGGTATCAACGTTTTTCCCGCAAATGGTCATAACTACACAACTGTAAACAACAAGCCCAACTCAAAAAAAAAAAAGAAAATGGTACTGTAGGGCGGGGGCAGCTCTAGTGAGAACTATTATTAATATTTTAATTAGCTTTTGATTAGGTTTCAATACTCCGACTTCATACCACGACTTCATATCACCTTCAACTGACAAAAAGATTCCATGTTGTCCTGCGTCTGCTCAGTTACAGATTTTGCAGATGACCTCAAAATCTGGTAAGGACAACAACGTGGCACATAAGGCACAGCAAAGTGTGTCATTGATGCTCCTACCATATTTTGATCCATTACCGTACAGACCCACAACAACATAGAATCGATTTTTTTATATGATAACAAAAAACATAATGTTGTTACTGGTGACGTCATCTATGCGTACGTGCTCGACAGATCATAAGCAAGAGCCGGTTAAAACGCATGTGGAATTCAGCATGATGGCTAATGTCCACCTCTGTTGTTATCATCTCTTTCAACTTGAAGCGGGCAATAAATCTATTTCATAGAATTCTACAAATGATATTCCGAGTTCCATATAATGCACATGCAACCCCCTTTGAGGATCAGCTGGGTCATTGAAGATAAGGTTCGTTAAGGGAATAAAGAGATTGTCGACTGATAATCTAGGTTACGTGAAAATTTAAAAATTGAAAAAAACCTAGAAAAATTTGTCTGTGCTGTACAATTACTGCATCTCCAATATGGACTTGATGGCACGAATGCCATAAGAAAGTCATGTGGAGACATTGTGGAGCAAAACGGCAGGAGAACATATACTCTTAGAGGCAACATTCAATTAACATGCAAAATAACCTTTTTCATGTCATCTTGTACCATGCACCTCCAGTGTGCCTCGCAAAAACAAATACTTATCTCTCTTAATAAACTCGGGTCGCCACTTTCATTACTGTACAGCTTCGCGTGTAGAAACGGTAGGGAAACTGGAGGACTGCAAAAGATCCTGTCAAAAAATTTAGAATGGGGTGGATAGGGGAATACGTCGTTCTCCGTGACATCAGGTACCTGCGGTTTTTAATCTTTTATTTCGCTTTTTGCTCTAAAGCGCCATGATAAAAGAAATGAGATGAAAGTGAAAACAGCGCACAATAAATATCAAACTTTTAGAAACTTTATACTGGTGTCTTAGGCGACCTCATTTACAGTATTTGCAACTCTGTAATTTTATCGTTCCCTCCTAAGTAGATATTTAACGACCTCTACTAGCAAAGGAGGTAAAATTCATAATCGAAGTTGCTGCGAGCTACTGAACTCAAAAATGAATTTGCAGGGCGAGATGTCGAGACCATTGAAGTGACTATTATTGTTGCTATGAATATCATTTTTTATAATTTTTTTTTTAATTTTACTCCTAAAAGGTTTATTTCATACACCAATTAAAATTTAATGCATTTTTTAATCTCAAAAATAAGCTGTTGGAGAGAAACTGAGAGCTGTGACTTAAGCCTTTACGTCAAACTTGTGTTTTTTGTGACATTCACTCGAGAAGAAGAAAAGGGAGGTAGATCTCCTACTGCAAAATTGTACAGAAAGTATATCGTTTGCAAGGATAATTTAAATGTCGGTTGTCCGATGAAGGGAGCCACAAACACATAAATATATCTGTGCGTGAAAATAATTTCATGCGCATGGACTGAGTGACTAATTAAAGATGAGAAACTTATTTTACATCTGCAATCTGCACAAAGCTTTGAAAAAAACTACTCATTTTCTTAGTTTGCAGAAAGTTTGAGCTTTATGGATGAGGGACACAAATTCGTATTTTTTTGTTTTTGTTTTTTTTTTGTTTTTTTGCATCTTATAAGCAAAGATAGCTTTATTGTGCCAGAAGTCAGGATAGTTTTCTACAAAATGCACTCAGACTTTGAAATTCTTCAAATTTAAATCAGCATATCCTTAATTCGCCATCACGGCATATTTAACTTTTGAAGAACTACAGGTAAGCCTGGTTCGATTTACAAGAATATCTGCACTATGTACTTGTTTCGCCATATAATTTTTTTAATGAAAACGGGTAATAATGTATCGATCTTGGGCTTTTTTTTTTGGTCTCTAGGAACATACGAGGGAATTGAATATCTGAGCCAAGAGCTGCTGTGCTCACAGTCATTTCGCCTCAGGGAAGTCCACAGGGGGTAACAATTCAGAAAGCTTTATAGTTTACCGAGTGTTTAAATGGGCTTCAGTTTAGTTGGGTTACTGTAGTTATACGGAGGAAAAACCCACCGGGAAAGACCCTGAGGAACTATTTAGTATCTCCAATAGGTAGGTTGAATGATGCGGCATTCCAAAATATGTGATTTTGAGATATGAAAAATTGTCTTCTAAAGTGCAGAAAAGAAAAAAATTACCATGCTCCGCAATTGTACCCTGTAACCTTGATTATTCCCTTTAACCTTTGTTGCATAGTATTGAACCACGGTCTCCATTCCAAGTTCCGTCTTTCTATTTCTCTCTACATACTGAAGTTATAATTCAAGAGCTGCAATCAACGCACGGTTTCCTTACTTCGTCTTACTCGCAAGTTTAGGAGCACAGCATCTCAATTCCAAAAGAGATTGTCCATTCGATTGCGAATATTTTTTTCGGTCGTTATTCCCGAAGTATATGCCATTCGAAAAAGATTTTATGACCTTCATTTTTCAATTTAATTAAAACTAAATTGTTTGGGTAACACGCCAAATGAAAATCTCACTTATAAGAGAGAAAAAAACGTAAATCCCTCGCTCTGTGATGATTTTGGCCAAATGTGATTATTCGAATGAAGAGTCAGTATCTTTAAACTTACTTCTCTTGAGATGTTTATTGTAAGTTGTTGTAGATGTTTGCTTTTTGATAGCGTAAAATAGATCTGCTGCAGCAACTGAATGTGAGTATCATCGGACAGCCTGATAAAGAGTCCATATTCCAGCCCTCTTCTTCTTCATTTTTAATTGCTTGTTTATTTTTGAGGAAACGACTTTTTATTGTCAACATATTCTAATGAAGAAGATTCATCCTCTACTTAGTAAAACAAAAACTAATAACAAAATATAACAACAAAAAGTATGGAGTACAGAATCTTTGCCAAACTTCTCATCTCATCCTCAATCCACTGTATTTTCAAAATTCCCACATTTGAGTCGTTCAATTCAAAAACCCAAAATCCGCTGAATTTTCAAGAGTTTTTCTTCTTCAGTTTGATTACCGAGTCACCTTTACCACATCCTGTGATTCAGTGTGCTCCAGAGCCCACGCATGAATTACTATTAGTCAAAACTTGATCCCGTCACTAAAACTAATAGCAAACATGGATTAATACAAAGGAACCGATGGAGATTGAAGAGCCTAAAGGTGGCTGATATTCCATCAGAAGAGATGTTGAAAATCCTCAATTTAAACTACCTATCTTCACTTTACCTATCAAGATAGATTGGAAAATGACGCCATATTGATTTAACAATCGATGTGGTGCTTTCAAACTTCAAATTGCATGATTTTAACCGACAAATTAATTTTAAAACACTCTCTGCCCTGCCTTCTGCCCGTTCTTTCAAGAACTTATCAAAATAAGTTATATTTAGAATATTGGAATAAAAAACAAAATGAAAATGATAATTAAAGGCAGTTTATTTCTTCTTGTCAAGGTCAAAATCGTATCTGCCACGAATGGCTTGGAAACAAATCAAAGCCCACATTATAATACTGTTAATGGTGTCTGTCGCTCTCCGACATCTTACCAGCCAGCAGTGTGGGACTGATCTTCACTCAGTCTACCAGATGATGCTTCAAGGCCACACCTTTAAGACCTTGAAGACCCAACCAGGTACACTAGAATGCAGACAGGCCTGCCTCGCTGATATCAGATGCCAAAGCTATAACGTCGTGTTCAAAGGGATATGTGAGTTAAATAACAGAATTAAGGAGGCTAGACCGGACGATTTTGTCAAAGACTTGGAGCGGTATTACGTGAAAAGCTCAACAAGAGGTAAGAAAACTAATTAAAAGTAAACTATTTATGAGAAACGAGTTACTAACTTCAGAAAACATCTAGCGTGGATTATGCTAAACCTGTCATTCGTATGATATCCATGATGTCTTCTCCATAGAGATGTCCTCTCCATAGTTCTCCATGGTTTAGTCGCGTAAAGAGGCCAACAAGGTCGGACATGACTCGCACGAGCCTGTTATTTTTTCGGTTCCATGTCAAAACTTACAACTTTATTCATCACGAAATCATTATAATTTATACAGAGTGCAGTGCTCGTGCTTATGTTAATTGCATAGTTGTGCGTGCTGTGCGAGAGCGAAGGTGACATAGTGTAACAAGCCAGCAAAAGGCTGAGGTCAAGTAAAAGAGTAATGGAACGCTCAAGTACGATGGAAAGTTACTCTATTCAAAGCTGGATAACTGCAATTCCGTTCTCTGAAATAAAAAACAGGACCTCAATTTCGCAATAGTAAAGGAACATAAAAAACTTAAATTGTTCAGTTTTCTGTTGTAGGGCCAAGGTAAGAAGCGCTGTGAACGAAAAATACGAAAAATGGAACTCGTGCATTATTTTCCTCACGTGGGTTTCCAAAAACCTAACGTCAAGCAAGTCCTGAATCTCTAAGATTTTTCAACGAGACGCGCGCTGGAGGCTTGGTCGAATCTCAAAGTTTTCCTCAACATCCAATTGGCTGCAAAAGCAAAACAATACAGAAACACAGATTGCCTAGAGACCCTTTCGTTTAACATCTTCCGGGCCAAAACGGCGTTTTAAATTTTGTTTCGTTCACACCCAGTCCCACTAGGTTCCGTTCCTGGGGTGCCAGCCGATTCGTGTAAAGAAATCAAGGCGAGTGAGGGTGGACAAGCGATCAGCGGTAATTATTGGTTGGATTCCACCAGATCTGGAAATTCTATCTTAGCTCGCTGTGACATGAAAACAGAGGGTAGGGAAAACAAAACACTTTCTTCTCTCACATGTGCGTAGCGAATATTGACAGAAAAAAAGTCTGGAATGTCTATTGATCATTTGTTATCATTTTGGTTTAGTTGCAGACTATTGCATCAAGCATAAGTGTCAGAACAGTGCAGCATGTGTAAACAGGAATGTGAATTACACATGTGCGTGCACCTCATCAGGATGGACTTTACCCTACTGCGAAAAAGGTAGAATCTAAGTACTAAATCTGAATAGGGTTTTTAGTAAATATCAATTGTGTTTATTCTCTTTCCTATGACCTTTTAGATATCAATGAATGCAAAGCAGGCATCCACGATTGCCATAGCAACGCTGAATGCCAAAACACTAATGGCTCCTACATCTGTAGCTGTAAACCAGGATTTCAAGGAGACGGAAAACAGAATTGCAATGGTGAGAAGAGCCTTCATGGCTATGAGCTCATTATTCCAAAAATTTGGTTTCTTTCTTGAAAAGGAAATCCTCAGAAAAAAAATTCTTATTTTCGAAATTGATAGCTGCGAGCAGAAAAAAATTGGCAATCACTAGTGTATTTGCAAACAAGGATTTCATGGATATGGAACAAAAAGCTGAACAGGTCAGAAAGAATTTGGAAAAATAAAATATCCATATGTAAAGAAAAATTTGGGTGAAGTTTTACTTTTCGAATAGAGGGATGTTATTAGTCAGTATGTCAAGTATGTTTTGATTCTCCGTATCATGTGGTTAAAACTTAGAACACCGGCCTCATTTAACTATTTTACTTTAAGGACTTCAACCAACTCTGCTCCTTGGAGGGTCCATCAGACACCCTCTTTCTATGTTTACGAGACTTTTTGCTGGCCTCCCTACAGATAATGCCATTTTTACCCCGGTCAGTTTGTTAGAACAGCTACGCCTTCAGTATTATCTTAGCGACGTAGTGCTTAATGGTTTTAAGCATGGGCCTAATATCATTTCCATTCTTCATTCTCGATCTGAACCTGGTCCAAATTATAAACCTGCTCTCTCTCTCTCTCTCTCTCTCTCTCTCTCTCTCTCTCTCTCTCTCTCTCTCTCTCTCTCTCTCTCTCTCTCTCTCAGTGCTCCTCTCTCTCAATGAAAGTGTGCAACTTCTTTGTCAGTGCATTCGTTAAATTCCTGGTGTCTGATACGTCAAACTCAAAATTTTTAGTCATAAATTTAAGCATTGTTCTTAACTTGAAGAACATTATATTTAAGTGAAGAAATGGTCCTCTTAATCAGGTGAGCAACAACTAAGCAATTTACCACTGAGACAAAGTTGTTCTTTCATCGTTGAAGCCGTTCCATCCCTATTTCTAATCGTGTGAGTTTCCGACTTATTATTTTGGACTTATCTCTGATATTTAGATATCAACGAATGTACAGAAGGATCTCACGATTGCCATCGTGACGCTACTTGTCAGAATACTGTAGGCTCGTATAGGTGTACGTGCAATTCAGAATACATTGGTGACGGACTGAATTGCGAGCCTAAAGGTGGGTAGGACTATTATAAATATGCCAAGAGTCTGGCATCAAAAGCTCACGATCACCGCTTTAATAGGTTTTTATCTTACTACTGTAGTGCCCTTTTGGGCATCTTTCAGTGTCGTTTTTGCCTTCATCATGACTTAACACTGTTGTTTTGGAAAAAATCTGGGCGATAACCTCTGAGTATGAATGCAGCTTAGTTAATGACTGCGTTGGCACAAGGGTTACAGGCAAGTTTCACATACAATCATCTATTATTCTAAGCTGTTTGTCTGTCATTTTTATACCCAGAATGTAGCAGCTACAAGATTTTAAATTCTTATCGAAGGAACAAATCTTATAAGTCAAGTTCACCATATAAATGCGACGATAAACTGAATACGAAGTGGTTCCGTTTTACTGGAGCCGCAGGTACAAGAATGCCAACTTCATGTGTCACTTTTAAAAGATGTGGCGGAAAGAGACCAGGTTGGTTGAGTGGTGGTCATCCCAACAAAGTTGACGGCAGAGTGTCTAGGACGGTTTATTTCCGCTCGTCCAATGACTGTAAAGTTAGATCGAAGACTATTCAAGTTAGAAACTGCGGTTCTTATTATGTCTACTACTTAAGCGCTGTAGACTCTGGTTCAAAGTGCCATCGTTTCTGTGGCACTTGATAAATCACTTTTGCATTCTGGGTAACTTGCGGAACCAAGGCATCCTGGATAATTGGACCAGGCTGTCTTAGGCTATCTACAATTTGGGACTTCTCTCATGAGCTTGAGGCTGGATACTTGTACTCGTGTCTATAGCCTAGCTACGGTTTGCCATTGTATTTAATCAAAAATATTTACGACACTTAAGCCAAAATCGTGCGAACACTTTTGTTTGAGGTTCTAAATATGGTGATAGCTTTTACGGCTAACGGTTAGAATTTCGGCCATTATACGGCTAGCGGTTGCTATCATTCCATCATGTTGTCACCGGGAATGGATCCGCAGATGTGCATGATTGACTAAAATCAAATGGGTCCTTGTCATTTTTTGAATGAACACAAGACTTGACACAAAACATTTCTTTGTGCACAGAACATGAACTTCTAAAAGGACAAAATTCCCGGTTTTCGCGCCCAAAGGAAAAATCTATAGCAGTGTCCATCTTTAAACTTCACTTCTTAGTAAAACTCGAAAAATATAATTTTTGTTCGTTAGAACTAGTTAGGTTAACTTTTCTTATTTGTCAATGAAAGTTGTGTGGTTTGCTTTTGGTCTGTGTTAAAGTTTCTCGTTTTTTCTGATTTTTGATTTATCTGTGTTTTCATTTATTTACTCATTTATTACTTTCACTGCGTCAAGCATTAGTACCCTTAGTACTGTACGTAAAGTTAGTTTTGTACGAATAATGTGATGCTTTTGAATTGTCTAGGCGACCTGTGGGTAATGTTTCTCTCATTGTGTACTAGTAAATATTTCATCAATATGTAGTATGTAAATATATCATCACTATGTACTGTAAGTGAAGTATAGAGCGCTTTTCAGTTGAGTGTCGTAAGGCCAAAACCAAAGGTATTACAACAGCCAATCAGAATAAGGGAAATATCACAAGGAGCCAATCAGAACTCGAAGTAAAAACGAACAAACTACCTGAAGCGTGGGAAAACGTGAGTGGCCAAGGCGCGACTGCTTTGAGGTTTGAATTTGATTTTTTGAGAGAGTGATGCGAGTTTTCAATACCAATCACAGAGTGAGGTAAAGGAACCCTAAAGCAATCCCAGATTCCTTTCGATACATAGTGTAAAATGACTCTGTATTTAAAAAGGTACCAACGACAATGAAAGTACCATCATTGTAAGCAAGAATAGTTATCAGTCAGCATTGTTAGTGTCGTGAGTAATGTAAGTATTGCGACTAATGGTAGAATACTAATAAATATTGTAGCAAATGCAAGTGCTGTTCGTAATGTAGATAAGTGAGTAAGTTTAAGTAACTAAAAAAAATACACTTTGTCAATCTCTCCGTCTCGTGCTTATTAGGTTGTGTTTGTTTTTCCCCTCGCGAACATTTCAAGGTCCACAGCAACGCTTCTTTAGATCAGATCACTGAGGCCTGAAGTCCAAATTGTCGGCCTAATTTGAGAAATGATGAGCAACGCTTAAGCACTATTGTCATTCAATGAGATGTAAATAAGAGGCCCTGTGTTCCCTAGTTTTGCCTTAAATTCTTCTTTCCAGATTTTTGTTGGTTTATGCCTGTTTTTCCACAATGCCCAGAAATTTATTGACATTTCTGAAATAAAATATGAACTAAATTTTCCTTGCATTCTAAATGTATGGCCAATTCAGTAATTGTTTAAGCAGCTTTAAAGCGTTATCCCCACACATGCTTTTCAAACAAAAAACCGTTCTATTGAGATATTTTAACCACCGCCACTTATCGGCGAAGGAAAGCAAACCTTGCTTGTCTCCTCCAGAAACGGTTTTAAATATCACTTTTATACATACTTCTGGTATTAATGTTTGGATGAGCTTTTGATTAGTTTCAATACTCCGACCTCGTGTCGCCTTTGACATGGTACCTTGTCGCCTTTGATTATTTCTATATTCGTTTTATCAATATCTGAAAGAAAAAAAAAGACGAATTATTAACAATTCATCCGAGAGATTAATTTCCCAATACTCCCCCCGACCTCGTGTCGCCTTTGATAACTAATTTCTATATTCGCTTGTTATCAGCAAATATCTGAAAGAAAAAAAATTATTAACAATTCATCCGAGAGTCTAACTCACCCACCCACTCTCCCACACTCTCTCCCCCGAGGCACAGGGGCAATGATGCTAGTGAGGTGAATTGGAATATTGGTGAATACTGAAATTATCGCATAACCTTCAAGGCTGGAAGCTGTTCGGTGATACTCCACATGAATTAGGTAAGCGCACATTGTTTTGCATTTTCGTTGGATGTCACCTCAATTTTTGACGGCAATTGGGTAAGTGTTTACACGTAGTTTACACTTTGCACAGGAGCCCTGCTTTGTGATATTTTCCTCCCAATTTTCTTATTTTAGAATAGTCATGAATTTGTTAAAAATAGTAAATTCAAAAACGCTCCTAACAACAAATTTTCTATCACCAATATTCAAATTATTATAAAAGTATCTTTGTACAACTGCTAGACACTGCAAGGAGGGTTTTATTTTCAATCTAAAAAAAGAGAAAGTTGAAGAATATCCTGTAACTATGACGTTAGCCGTCGTGAAAATCTTATGTTTCATCACAAACTGAGGAAATCGTGCGCAAAGATACGTTAAATGTCGTTTGCGTGGTTACCGATGTTACAAACACATAAATATATCTGTACATGAATAGTAAATATATGTGTGCAGACTACACATTAGAGATAAGACACTTATTTTGCACCTGCAAACTGCACAAAGCTTTCAATACAATACAGCTACTTTTGATCACCACAGGTAAAAGTTTTTATGATAAAACAACACAATAGCATAGCACCTTCCTCTCAATAAAACTTGTAAGGGTTTAATATTGCTCCTTGCGTTTTTTGTGAGAGTTATCGAATATTTGAGCCTAAAGCTACAAGTTATACAGAAAAATGAAAAAATTCAATGCACTGAAAGTTCTAAAAATTTGAAGAAGGTGCTTAGAGGAGGAAGATAAGTTGAAACTCCTTTGAACGGAAAATATCCTTCATTCTTTTTCGTTTTTCGGATGAAGCACGCAAATTTTTACTCGTGATCATCAGTTGAGAAAGGATGGCTTCATTGTGTCAGGAGTCAAGATAGACAACTGTGCTCACAACCTCTTCGCTGCAGGAAACATGGAACTCAGACAGGGGATAATCAATCAGCTAGAAAAGAGTTTTTTCCCTTTTGAAAAGCTACTCACTCTGTATTTTCTGGGGTGTAATCTCCCTTGTGGGAACGCAATTCCTTTCCAACTGTGACCCACCTTTCTGCTACACTTATCCTCCATTATTGGGTCGTGTATAGTAACGGCAATGTTTCTCTTTTGATATTAAAACAACCAGTAAATACTCAAGTTCCTCGATTCATCTCAACATTCTAGGAAAGAAAATTTACTCCCACAGAGAGGGATAATACACCCACGACTCGAGCCGTGGGTGTTTCGGTAATGGATTTCATAAGTTCATAACGAATCAACGCTTACGTGAGCTTTAGTGGGGTTTAGTAACGTAGTAATTATCTTTTTTTGTTATAGCCATTATTATAATTTTTATAACTATTTTCTCTATTTTACTCCTAAAAGGTTTGTTTCACACACCAATTAAAATTTAATTCATTTTGTAATCCCATAAAGCAGCTGCTAGAGAGACACTGGGAGCTGTGAATTAAGCCTTTACGACAAACTTGTCTTTTAAGTGACATTCACTCGGGAAGAAGAAAAGGGAAGAAAATCTTCCACTGCAAAATTGTACAGAAAGTATATCGTTTATAAGGATAATTTAAATGTCATTTGTCTGACGATGGAGGCCACAAACAAATAAGTGTATCCGTGCATGAAAGTAATTTTATGCGCGCGGACTGAGTGACTAATTAAAAGAGAGAAATTTATTTTACATCTGCAAACTGCACAAAGCTTTGCTGAAAGTTTGAGCTCAAAGCATAAAATTTTATAAAATGATAAATAAAACACAGTTTACCCAAATTTTGACGAATGCAAAGAAGGAGGGAAGAAGGGAGTAAGATAAATGGAAGACCTGAGGGGAAACACTCGTCACTCTTTTTTTCCTTATGGATGAGGGACACAAATTTGTATTCTTTTTTGCATCTTATAAGCAAAGATGGCTTCACTGTGCCAGAAGTCAAGGTAGTTTTCTGGAAAATGCACTCAGACTCAGAAATTCTTCAAATTGAAATCACCTTATCCTTAATTGGTCATAAGTATGTCGCCCTCAAGGTATTTTTGATAAAAGAACTTCTATATGTTATCTTTCACTTTTGGAGAACCACAGGTAAGCCAAGCTCGATTTACAAGAATATCTTCACGGTGAAGCTGTTTCGCCAAAGGATTTGTTTGATGAAAACGGGTAATTAGATATCGATCTTTTCGGTCTCTAGGAACATACGAGGGAATTGAATACCTGAGCCAAGAGTTGCTGTGCTAACAGTCACGTCACCACAGGGAAGTCCACGGGGGGTAACAACTATTCAGAAAGCTCTATAGTTTAACGAATGTTTAAATGAGCTTCAGTTTAGTTTGGTTACTGTAGTTAAACGGAGGAAAAACCCACCGGGAAAGACCCTGAAGAACTATTAAGTATCTCTAACACGTAAGTTGTATGACGCTGCATTCCAAAACATGTGATTTGAGATATGAATAATTGTCTTTTAAAGTGCAGAAAAAATTAACCATGCTTCGCAGTTGTACTCTGTAACCTTAATTATTCCATCTCACCTTTGGTCCATGGCATTAAACCACGGTCTTAATTCCAAAGTTCTGTCTTTCCATTTCTCTCTACATACTATATTTATAATTCAGGAGCTGTGATCAACGCACGGTTTCCTTAGTTCGTCCTACTTGCAAGTTTTGGAGCACAACATCTCAACTAAAGAGAGGTTTTCCATTCGATTGAAAACATTTTTTTCGGTCATTATTCCTGAGACATATGCCATTCAAAAAAGATTTTCTAACCTTCATTTTTCAAGTTAATCAAAGCTAAATTGTTTTGGTAACGCGCAAAATACAAAGGTCACTGATAAGAGAGAAAGAAACGTAAATCCTTAGCTTTGGGGCGATTTTGGCCAAATGTGATTATTCGAATGAAGAGTTAGTATCTTTAAATTTACTTCTCTTGAGATGGTTTATCGTAAGTTGTTGTAGATGTTTGTTTTTTATAACGTAAAATAGATCTGTAAACAACTGAATGTGAATATCATCGGACAGCGTGATAAAGAGCCTTTCTTCTTCATTTTTATTTGCTTGTTTATTATCGAGGAAACGACTTTTCATTGCCAACAATTTTAAACGAAGAAGATTAATCCTCTATTTAGTAAAACAAAAACCGAAAACAAAATACAACAACGAAGATTATGAAGAACAGAATCTGGGCCAAACTTCTCATCTCATCATCAAGCCACCGTATTTTTAAAATCTCCAAATTTAAGTCGTTTAATTCTATACAAAACCCAAACTCCGTTTAATTTTCTAGAGTTTTTCTTCTTCTTTTTCTTCGTCTTCTTTCTGTTCTCTAAAGAACTCATCAAAATAAGTTACACTAAGAATATTGGGGTAAAAATAAGATGATAATTAAAGAAAGTTTATTTCTTCTTGTCAAGATCAGCAATCGTGTTTGCCACGAATGGCTTGGCGACAATTCAAAGGCCACATTACAGTACTGGTAATGGCGTCTGTCGCACTCCGACTTCTTACCAGCCAGCAGTGTGGGACTGATCTTCGCTCAATCTACCAAATGATGCTTCAAGGCCACACCTTTAAGACCTTGAAGACCCAACCAGGTACAACAGAATGCATACAGGCGTGCCGCGCTGATATCAGATGCCAAAGCTTTAACGTCGTGTTCAAAGGGATATGTGAGTTAAATAACAGAACTAAGGAGGCTAGACCGGACGATTTTGTCAAAGACTTGGAACGATATTACGTGAAAAGCTCAACAAGAGGTAAGAAAACTAAATAAAAGTAAACTATTTATGAGAAACGAGTTTCTGCTTCAGAGCACATCTAGCGTGGATTATGCTAAACCTGTCATTCGTATGATATCCATGATGTCTTCTCCATAGTTCTCCATGGTTTAGTCGTGTAAAAAGGCTAACAAGGTCGGAGATGACTCGCGCGAGCCAGCAAAAGGCTCAGGTCAAGTAAAATTGTTATGGAACGTTCGATTACGATGGAAAATTATTATGTTCAAAGCTGGATAACCACAATTCCGTTCTCTGAAATAAAAAACAGGACCTTAATTTCGTAATTGAAAAGGCACATAAAAAAATCAAATTATTTAGTTTTATGTTGCAGGACCAAGGTAGGAAACGTTGTGAACGAAAAACACGAAAAATGGAATTCGTGCATTCTTTTCCTCAAGTGTGTTTCCAAAACCCTGATGTCAGGCAGGCTGGGGGCCTGGGTCGAATCTCAAAGTTTTCCCCAACATCTGATTAGCTGCAAAAACAAAACAACACTGAAACACAAATTGCCCGGAGACCCTTTCGTTTAATATCTTCCACGCCAAAAACGGCTCGTTAAATTTATTTGTTTCGTTCACACTCAGTCCCTTTAGGTTCCGTTCCTGGGCTGCCAGCCGATTCGTGTAAAGAAATCAAGGCGAGTGAGGGTGGACAAGCGGTCAGCGGTAATTACTGGTTGGATTCCCCCAGAACTGGAAATTCTATTTTAGCTCGCTGTGACATGAAAACAGAGGGTAGGGACTGACAAAATAATTTCTTATCCCGCATGTGCGTAGCGAATATTGATAGAAAAAAAACCTTGAATCTCTATTGATTATTTGTTATCTTTTTGGTTTAGTTGCAGACTATTGCATCAAGCATAAGTGTCAGAACAGTGCAGCATGTGTAAACAGGCATTTGAATTACACGTGTGCGTGCACCTCATCAGGATGGACTTTACCCTACTGTGAAAAAGGTAGGATCTAAGTAATCAAATCTTAGTAGGGTTTTTAGTACATGTCAATTGTGTTTATTCTCTTTCCTATGACCTTTTAGATATCAATGAATGCAAAGTAGGCATCCACGATTGCCATAGCAACGCTGAATGCCAAAACACTAATGGCTCCTACATCTGTAGCTGTAAACCAGGATTTCAAGGAGACGGGAAACAGAGTTGCAATGGTGAGAAAAGCCTTCATGGCTAGGAACACATAAATCCAAAAATTTGGTTTCTTTCTTGAAAAGGAAATCCCCAGAAGAGAAAATTCTTATTTTTCGAAATTGATAGCTGCGAAGATTCAGTGCATTTGCGCCTGGGAATTATGTTAAGAGTTGCTCTGTTTCCTTAGATACTGACGAATGTAATGAAGGCCTTCATGACTGCCATAGCAACGCCAAATGCAAAAATACAGAAGGCTCGCATAGCTGTACCTGTAAACCAGGATTTGCCGGGGATGGAAAAATTATTTGCAACGGTGAGAACATAAATAGTGATATAAGTTACAGATGATTTTTTTGTTTAAATGTGGATGGAAATAAAAGCTTTCGAAGCTGTCGGTGTTTTGGACACTCGATAAAGTGAAAGTAGTATAACTGTAGAAATGACCAGCGGTGCCATGAGCTAGTCTTTCATCGCCTCAAAGCGAAAATTAAACTGTCAGTAATGTAAGCTATCGATACCAAGCCAAAGCTTTTCGCTTGTAGGGAAAAATGCGTCATTCTTGTGAACATTCAAGATCAATTCTCGTAAAAAACTTGACCGCTACATGTATTATGAGTTTCTTTTTCTTTGTAAAAGTATTGACCACGATTTTCAATTTATTCATAGGCCATAAATAGTGATGTGTGAAATAATTACTCTTAATATTTCTAGACAATCAAACTTTTCCACTTTTTATTTTGTTTGGGGTGCATTTCTATGAAGCCAGATTTATAGAAATTATTTCGTCAGGAAATAACGATTTTCTTCGCATTCCGCGTCCTTTTTGTAATGTGGTGTCACAAGAACATCAAGGTTATAGATTGAGCTGTGGGTCAATCAAAGTTTTTTTTTTGAAGGAGTCTTAAGAAAGCAGGGTCATTTATGTTTTAAGTGATAAGAGTGATTGGAAGGCTTTGGCAGCTGCACAGTGTAAAAACACATATCTCTGAACTGGGATTGCCTCGGTTACTTCTTTTTAACCATTTTTTGTTTTTTCATCCTCACCGTCATTCCACATTAGAGACTTCATGAATAATTCAGACTTGATATTATTTTTCTCTTTCAGATATTAATGAGTGTACAGAAGGCTCTGATGACTGTCATAGCAAAGCCGAATGCAAAAATACGATTGGCAATCACCAGTGTACTTGCAAACAAGGATTTTATGGAGATGGAAGGACAAGCTGCACAGGTCAAAAAGAATTTGGAGAAGTCAAAGATCCATGTCCAAAGCATTGACTTATTCTTTCTCTGGGCTTTTCTCATTTTTTTTTCTCAATTTTTGTTTTTTCATCCTCACTGTCATTCCACATTAGAGACTTCATGAATAATTCAGACTTGATATTATTTTTCTCTTTCAGATATTAATGAGTGTACAGAAGGCTCTGATGACTGTCATAGCAAAGCCGAATGCAAAAATACGATTGGCAATCACCAGTGTACTTGCAAACAAGGATTTTATGGAGATGGAAGGACAAGCTGCACAGGTCAAAAAGAATTTGGAGAAGTCAAAGATCCAAGTCCAAAGCATTGACTTGCTCTTTCTCTGGGCTTTTCTCATTTTTTTTTTTCTCATTTTTTGTTTTTTCATCCTCACCGTCATTCCACATTAGAGAATTCATGAATAATTCAGACTTGATATTATTTTTCTCTTTCAGATATTAATGAGTGTACAGAAGGCTCTGATGACTGTCATAGCAAAGCCGAATGCAAAAATACGATTGGCAATCACCAGTGTACTTGCAAACAAGGATTTTATGGAGATGGAAGGACAAGCTGCACAGGTCAAAAAGAATTTGGAGAAGTCAAAGATCCATGTCCAAAGCATTGACTTGTTCTTTCTCTCATTCAATGAATGCGTGCAACTTCTTTGTCAGCACACTCGTTAAATTCCTGGTGTCTGATACGTCAGACTAAAAATTTGAGTTGTGAGGACTCAGTGTTGTGTGGATTCAGTGCATTTGCACCCGGGGTTATGTTAAGAGTTACTCTGGTTCCTTAGATATTGACGAATGTAAAGAGCAACGCTATGACAATCATGGAGGCCTTCTTTAAATGTTTTCTCTGAGCTCCTCTCTCCCAATGAAAGTATGTACTTTCTTTGTGAGTGCATTCGTTAAATTCCCAGTGTCTGATACGTCAAACTCAAAATTTTAGCCATAAATTTAAGCATTGTTCTTAACTTGAAGAATATTGTATTTAAGCGAAGAAATGGTCCTCTTAATCAAGTGAGCAACAACTAAGCAATTTACCACTGAGACAAAGTTGTTCTTTCACCGTTGAAGCCGTTCCATTCCTATTTCTAATCGTGTGAATTTCCGACTTATTATTTTGGACTTATCTCTGATATTTAGATATCAACGAATGTACAGAAGGATCTCATGGTTGCCATCGTGACGCCACTTGTCAGAATACTGCAGGCTCGTATAGGTGTACATGCAATTCAGAATACATTGGTGACGGACTGAATTGCGAGCCTAAAGGTGGGTAGGACTGTTATAAATATGCCAAGAGTCTAGCATCAAGAGCTCACGATCACCGCTTTAATAGGTTTTTATCTTACTACTGTAGTGCCCTTTTGAGCATCTTTCAGTGTCGTTTTTGCCTTCATCATGACTTAACATTGTTGTTTTGGAAAAAATCTGGGCGATAACCTCTGAGTATGAATGCCGGCTAGTTATTGACTGCGTTGGCACAAGGGTTACAGGCAAGCTTCATATACGATCATCTATTATTCTAAGCTGTTTGTCTGTCATTTTTATACCCAGAATGTAGCAACTACAAGGCTTTAAATTCTAAGCGAAGACACAAATTTTATAAGTCAAGTTCACCATATAAATGCGACGATAAACTGAATACGATGTGGTACCGTTTTACTGGAGATGCAGGTACAAAAATGCCCACTTCTTGTGTCAATTTCAAAAAATGTGGCGGAAAGAGACCAGGTTGGTTGAGTGGTGGTCATCCCAAAAAAGTTGACGGCAGAGTGTCTAGGACGGTTTATTTCCGCTCGTCCAATGGTAACTGTAAAGTTAGATCGAAGACTATTCAAGTTAGAAACTGCGGTTCTTATTATGTCTACTACTTAAGCGCTGTAGGCTCTGGTTCAAACTGCCATCGTTTCTGTGGCACTGGATAAATCACTTTTGCATTCTGGGTAACTTGCGGAACCAAGGCATCCTGGATAATTGGACCAGGCTGTCTTAGGTATCTACAATTTGGGACTTCTCTCATGAGCTTGAGGTTGGATACTTGTACTCGTGTCTATAGCCTAGCTACGGTTTGCCATTGTATTTAATCAAAAATATTTTACAACACTCGAGCCAAAATCGTGCGAACACTTTTGCTTAAGGTTCTAAATATAGTGATAGCTTTTACAGCTAACGGTTAGAATTTCGGCCATTATACGGCTAGCAGCTGCTATCATTCCATCATGTTGTCACCAGGAATGGATCCACAGATACGCATGATAGACTAAAATCAAACGGGTCATTGTCATTTTTGAATGAACACGAAACTTGACACAAAACATTTCTTTGTGCACAGAACATGAACGTCTAAAAAGACAAAAGTCCCGGTTCTCGCGCCCAAAGAAAAAATCTCTAGCCGTGTCCATCTTTGAACTTGACTTCTTAGTAAAACTCGGAAAATATAATTTTTGTTGGTTAGAACTAGTTAGGTTAACTTTTCTTATTTGTCAATGAAAGTTGTGTGGTTTGTTTTTTTGTCTGTGTTAAAGTTTCTCGTTTTTTCTGATTAAGTGGTTTATCTGTGTTTTCGTTTATTTACTCATTTATTAATTTCACTGTGTCAAGCATTATTTCCCTTAGTACTGTACGTAAAGTTAGTTTTGGACGAATAATATGATGCTTTTGAATTGTCCAGGCGACCTGTGGGTAATGTTTTGCTCATTATGTACTAACAAATATTTCATCAATATGTAATATGTAAATATATCATCACTATGTACTGTAAGTGAAGTATAGAGCGCTTTTCAGTTGAGTGTCGTAAGACCAAAACCAAAGGTATCACAACAGCCAATCAGAATAAGGGAAATATCACAAGGAGCCAATCAGAACTCGAAGTAAAAACGAACAAACTACTTGAAGCGTAGAAAAACGTGGGTGGCCAAGGCGCGACTGCTTTGAGGTTTGAATTTGATTTTTTGAGAGAGTGATGCGAGTTTTCAAGACCAATCACAGAGTGAAGTAAAGCAAATCTAAAGCAATCCCAGATTCCTTTCGATACATAGTGTAAAATGACTCTGTATTTAAAAAGGTACCAACGACAATGAAAATACCATCATTGTAAGCAAGAATAGTTATCAGTCAGCATTGTTAGTGTCGTGAGTAATGTATTGCGACTAATGGTAGAATACTAATAAATATTGTAGCAAATGCAAGTGCTGTTAGTAATGTAGATAAGTGAGTAAGTTTAAGTAACTCAAAAAAAATACACACTCTGTCAATCTCTCCGTCTCGTGCTTATTAGGTTGTGTTTGTTTTCCCCCTCGTGAACATTTCAAGGTCCACAGCAACGCTTCTTTAGATCAGATCACTGAGGCCTGAAGTCCAAATTGTCGGCCTAATTTGAGAAATGATGAGCAACGCTTAAGCACTATTGTCATTCAATGAGATGTAAATAAGAGGCCCTGTGTTCCCTAGTTTTGCCTTAAATTCTTCTTTTCAGATTTTTGTTGGTTTATGCCTGTTTTTCCACAATGCCCAGAAATTTATTGACATTTCTGAAATAAAATATGAACTAAATTTTCCTTGCATTCTAAATGTATGGCCAATTCAGTAATTGTTTAAGCAGCTTTAAAGCGTTATCCCCACACATGCTTTTCAAACAAAAAACCGTTCTATTGAGATATTTTAACCACCGCCACTTATCGGCGAAGGAAAGCAAACCTTGCTTGTCTCCTCCAGAAACGGTTTTAAATATCACTTTTTATACATCATGGTACTTCTTAATTATTAATGTTTGGATGAGCTTTTGATTAATTTCAATACTCCGACCTCGTGTCGCCTTTGATAACTAATTTCTATATTCGCTTGTTATCAGCAAATATCTGAAAGAAAAAAAATTATTGACAATTCATCCGAGAGTCTAACTCACCCACCCACTCTCCCACACTCCCTCCCCCGAGGCACAGGGGCAATGATGCTAAAAAAAACCGTTCGCCGTCTCTCACAGTTTTTATCTTCATCACATTAAGGAAAAAAGCTGAAGATTAACTAGGAATGATGTTTTACAATAAAATAAATTTCAAATTGCAACTTTTAGTTTCAAATTTTTGATAATAGTTGAATATTTATGCAGCTATCAACGACCCACATTTAATATTAATGGCACCAATTAATACATTGTATTTGTCATGACCATTGTCTCAAATCCTACCGTCCTACGATGACAGCAGCGGGGCTAGTGAGGTGAATTGGAATATTGGTGAATACTGAAATTATCGCATAACCTTCAAGGCTGGAAGCTGTTTGGTGATACTCCTCATGGGTTAGGTAAGCGCACATTGTTTTGCATTTTCGTTGGATGTCACCTCAATTTTTGACGGCAATTGGGTAAGTGCAGCTGTAGAAAGATATTTAGACGAATCAGCCAAAAAGAGAGAAAATATGGAAGCTGCTAAACTTCGTTAGAAGTTGTATAAAAGGCGGGAAAACAGCATTACAGCTCACTTTAAATTTTTGCAATTTCTTGCCGATAGCCGAGAGGCTGACTTCTAACATGAAAATAAAATTTAATGAACTGGATGAATAGACTAAGAGCAGTCCTCCCTATACACATAACTTCACCACTCGAGTTGCTTGAAAATGTGTAGAGTTTCATAATATTTTCCCACTTGCACTAAAAATCATGTTTGGAAAAGGGGACTTCTTTGAATCTATCAGACATTTTGCTTTTACAGAAGAAAAGGAAATTTTAATTTTAACTTCAAACTGAGAAAAAATTATTTTTTTGATGATAATGAGGATTCTGATCTTTTTCCAGCTACCGAAAAAACTGAAGTTTCACTAATTATCGTGTAAACTTGGGCTGTTAAGTCTCTTTGTGATGGAAACAGCTCTAAAGATTTGTAACACCTGACAAGCTTCTGATATGAACATCCGCAAGAAAATTTTTATCTGTCCCAATACTAAGCTTCAAAAAGTAATTGTGAATTCTGACATGGAAATAAAATTTAATCTTATGATTTATCACGTTAACAGCAACTCCAGAAGACCAACAGGAGAACAAGTGCATCAGTTCTTTCAATTCAATTCGCATTAATAGCAGGTCAAATTTCACCATTCTATTGCAACAATGAAACCATTTATCGCCTTAGCATCTACCTTTTTCAGAGTAGGTAGTCCATCAATTGTCGGCGTTTCGTCATCATGAATGAAAAAAAATAACGAGGGAATAGAAATCCTTCCTCGTGATCACTAGATTAGTTAACATTCAGAATTTTCCTGGGCAAAAAATTTCTAATTTCATTTTTGTCCCGATTAGAAATCGTGTCGACAACCAATGGCTCGGCTTCATCTCACTTTCTACATCAATGTATTTTTTCTGGTGTCTCATGTTCTCCACTACATCACCTGCCAACAGTGTGAGACCGACCATTACTCTATTTATCAAAGGATGCTTCAAGGTTACACCTTTAAGGCGTTGAAGATGCAATCAGGTTCCCTGGAATGTAGACAAGCGTGCCTCGCTGATATCAGATGTCAAAGCTATAACGTCGTGTTCAAAGGGATATGTGAGTTAAATAACAGAACTAAGGAGGCCAGACCAGAGAATTTTGTTAAAGACCTGGGCAGGTACTACAAACAGAGAGATTTTAAAAGAGGTAAAAACCAAAACGAATTGAAGCATTTCTTTGAAGCTGATGTCAAAGCTGATGTCCCATTCATTAAAGTCTGGATATTATTTCGATTGTAAATAGAATTAAAGAAATGATAAGTTATGAGCTCGGTAAAGAAATGGAGAAAGATGCTTGTCACGAGCGTGAGAAGAAGAAAAAATTCTGACGTAATAGACCTCGCTCTCTGTCGGCTAAGCGGTAGAGCATCGGAGCGCGGAATTCGAAGGTCTTAGGATCGATTCCTGATGGGGACTCAGAATTTTTTGTATGTCCCACGCTCGTGACAAGACGAAAAACATCTTTCTCCATTTTGATTGTTCCAGTTGTCACAAGTAGTTAGTAAGAATCGTGTCTTTTTGGTTATTCAGGGTCTTTGCCGTGTAAAAAAGTTTAAAAAAATGTAAAATTTTCGGTAAAACTAGTTACCTGGTCAAACAATAAGAGACGATAAATCTCTCCCACAGGTAACTCCGTTTTCAGACAACAAAATCTGTCGCTGTGACAAAAAACTGAAAAGTATCGGTTCTCTTGGGGAAGATTAGGAAGGACGTATTGTTACCTCGGATGAGTTGCGCCTGAAAAACTAGGATGCGTTTTCTGTTAAAACTCATGGGCATAGAGAACGACGATCTGGCTTCCAAGGCCCTCGTTGCTAATTTCCAGCGGAACAGTTGCTCGAGGCTTAGATCAAATTCAACATTTAATTTTGACAAATAATTTGCAAGCAAAACAAATGATATAAGGAAAACACCAACCGAGACACGAGTGATTATGATTCGAACCAAAACCTCGTGATGGCTGATGACCAAAAAGGATCATGAAGCTTACCTTAACAACACCGAAAGACCTTTTCATTTGTAAATTACCCGCAAGAAAACAAATCGAAAACAACTCGTTTATTTAACCAGTCTATCTCGATTTGCCCCAGCTCCTCTCGGATCCATTCGTGAGCTGCCAGCTATATCATGCAAAGAAATCAAGGCGAGCGAGGGAGGACAAGCGGTCAGTGGTTATTATTGGTTGGATTTAATCAGATCTGGAGACTCTGTTTTAACTTACTGTGACATGGTAAAAGAAGGTGAGAAAGAAATTAGACCACCTGGGTTCTCGCTCACATTTTTTTTTCATCAACATTATATTCTGTTGTTTTCGCTTACCGTAGTTTACACTTTGCGCAGGAGTCCTGCTTTGTGATATTTTCCTCCCAATTTTCTTATTTTAGAATTTTTTTTGTACAAATTTCATCGCTGATATATCTTATTCACGTTTTAATTTTTGCAAGGTCAACTTCGGTTATGTTTCAAGTTCTCCCGTTTTTTCGTCCATATCGAGTTCAATTGCTGAAGCTTTTGTAAATGCCTTTACTTTTTCTATTCTTTTTCCTTTTGTATTATATCGTTTCTGTTATCTTTCAATTTGAGTCGCTCGGTAACTCGTCATTAAAAGTTTTTTTTTGTTTGTTTTTTTTTTTTAAGGAAGGCCAAAATCAAAGCTATATCGTTTGAAACAGTACATTTATCGAGTTGAAACAAATTACAGCTTTTCGCTTTAAAACTTCATTTTCCTATTTATACCCGACAAGCATTAACAGAAACAAGACTGAAGCTCTGTGGGATTCTTATCATGCGCTATATCTTTTGAAAAAGTTGCAGACCAATGCTTCAAACATCTGTGTCAGAACAACGCAACCTGTATAGAAGGTCACGTGAATTACACGTGTGCATGTGATTCATCGGGATGGAGTGGAACCTACTGTGAAAAAGGTAGAATCTGATGGCGTATTGCTAAATCTTGACACTGTTATCAATTACATACACCACTGTTTTTCTTCCCTTCATTGTCTTAATAGACGTCGACGAATGCGTAGACAACCCCACTGTCTGCCATATTAACGCCGTTTGCCTAAATACTGAAGGATCCTATATCTGCAGTTGTAAACCAGGATTTCAAGGAGACGGGAAAAACAATTGCAAAGGTGAGAGAACCTTCGTAAATATGAGATCTGTAAAATGAAAATTTATTTTTTTCCTTTGACATAGAGTCTTCAGTGGAAAAGAATCTTATTTATCCAAATTGGCAGCTCGTGGGATGCTTTTAATCGTAGTAATTGTGTTAATCGTACCGTTAATCGTAAATAAACTTAATCGTTAAAATTTTCCTGACAAACATTGAGGACAAAATTTTAATCGTTAGCCGTAAAATTAAAGTCATCATCAGGTGTATAAATGTGTGCCGGAGAGTTAACGTTGTTATGGAAGTCCAACCAAATACTTATGGATAACTTTTTTAAATTAGCAATACTTCTAGTCGCCTCTTCCTGCAGCAACCGCAAGGAGCTCCAGCTGAATGGTCCTCTAGGCTCGTGTGCACGCTTTACCTTGTCTAGGTCTAGCAGCACTGATTTAAAATGACTTTTCTGCTTCTTGGTTTATTTTTGTTTTGTTGTAAGAGGCTATCATCTCTATCTGTAATCATAAGAGTTGTTACTATGTGAGTTGCAGTAATATTTGGGAATTTATCCCTGTTATTCAAGAAATCAACGAGTGCGCAGACGGATCTCACAATTGCCATAGAGACGCCACTTGCCAGAATACTGTAGGCGGTTATAAGTGCACCTGTAGGTCAGAATACATTGGCAATGGACTGACCTGCAAGCCTAGAGGTGGGTATCGATAGCTGCAATAATAACAACAACAACAGCAACAAATATGTTTATTTTTACTCTTTCCTGTCCTGCCTACGCTTAATTACAAAACCGATGAAATTTAAATCAGAGTGTTGGCTGCCAGGAATAACCATAGGGGCTAGCGAAAGAGTAGTATCGAGAGAATGCCGAATATCTCTCACCAACAGCTCACAACAAGCTCGTGTAACTTTATATAGTGGAACCTCGATTCAACGAAGTGCCAAGGGACTGGGAAACTGATTCGTTATATCGAGGCTTCGTTATATCGAGGTTCTTTCCAATACATTTTACTGCAACTTTAGCAGGGCTAAAGAGTATCGTTCGTTATTCCGAGGACTTCGTTATATAGAGGTTCGTGAAAGCGAGGTTCCACTGTATATTACTATTTATATATTGTTATGAATTTGTCTCCCTCCTAACATAACTCGGTTGGTGGCATTCGATTCGATGGTTTCTTAGGTTTGAATCTAGTCGAAGCTTGTTTTTTATTAGAATTCTTTTTAGCTATTGTCAAAATTGCAGACCATTTGTGAGGATCATTTCTTTGCTCGAGTTTCATATGCAGGTCAATTGAAATTTTCCTATACATCATTCGAGCTCTTGTCCAGCGATGCTTGTTTAAGAAATCTTCGCTTGCGCTGGAGAACAGTGTGGAAAATGCAAATTTTAAAATATTAGATTATCTTGTTCCAAATTGTTTGCCTGTTTTTTTTCTTGTTCAGAATGTATAAACTACGCAGTTATTTTTGGTAGTAAAAGGAAAAGAACTTATAAATCAAAACAGCCATATTTGGACGACGGTGACCTGAATGGCTGGTACCGTTTCCAAGGGCAGGCAGGTACAAAAATGGCCACTTCATGTGTGCCTTTCAAAAGGTGCGGTGGACTGAGACCCGGCTGGCTCAAAGGCGGTCATCCCAGCAAAGAAGATGGAAGGGTGAACAGGAAGGTTTATTTCCGCTCGTTTAATAATTGTGAAGAAGTATTCAACGTCGTTAAAGTTAGAAACTGTGGTCCTTTCTTTGTCTACTTCATACGCGGGACAGCACCAGGAACGTCAAATCCCGAACGTTACTGTGGTTCCGATTAAAATCAAATAGTTATTTTGGGTAACCTGTGCCACGAACGCACGCTTACCATTATCGGATGGTGGGGAGGGAGGGAGAGGGGACCTATTTTTAGTATTAATCGCCTCCAAGACAAGATGCCACGACTCATTTTCTCGGTGCCACCAAAGGCGAGAAATTAAAAAGTTTTTATTTTGTGGACTTCATTTCGGGTAAAAATTGTGTCATCGGGAGTAAGAGACCGGTCATTAAGATTTTTTTGGTTGTGTCATCATAAAATTTACATGATCTCCCTTAAGTCTCTGTAATGCTCTTATGATCCTCTTCATTTGCAGTTAATAGACAGTCCATGTCCAATAGTTCCCCCTTTAGAAGCTGTCGGCGACGAATGACCACCCCCATCCTCCCCCCCTTGAAAACCGTGTCATTCCACTCAAAAAAAATTATCCACCGCCCCCCCCTTAGGCGACAAATAATGACCGCAGGAACTGGTTGTATTCTGCCACTCACGATTATGAGCGTAATTTTCTTTTTAAAAAGAAATACAGCCCAAGTACGGAACCGATCAGAACGATGGAATTTACCTCAGGATTACCTTGCCATATAACTATGATATATATATATATATATATATATATATGTATAGTATCGCGATATAGGAAGGCAAACATTTATCAAATTTTTTCCGAAGTGAATCATTTCCTTAGCATATACCTCACATGTTGAATAACAAGTGAACAAAAAATCACTTCATTTTCGGTAATAGAGTATCGCCATATGGTCCGAAATTAAAATAGCGAAAATATCCATCAGAAGCGGAATTTCAGTTGCAATGTCAGGAAAGAAAGTCCACGAAAAAACGAAACAAATGTCAATAACAATGGTCAATCAAGACAAATCATATTTAATTGTATTGTAACTCATAAAGCTGTAGGGAAGTTTGCTTAAACCCTTTACATCCTATCATCAGTATGCATATTCTCCATACTGTTCTCTATACATTTCCATGGTGCTGACAAGGAGAATTTGTTTAACAATCAAGAGCCTCTTTAGTTGGTGATCATCTCCTTTATTCCCGTGACCCTCATGTTTGATTCAGGGTGATATTGTAAGGAGAAATTAGATGCTAGTCACTCTTCGGCTAGGGTCAAAGGGTTTAAAATGAATAGCAGTAATGAGTGAAGGTAAATCAACGAAACTCATTGACACTGCATTCAGAAGGTTACTCAGCACATAGGCTTCGTCTAGCATGAATTGCATACAAGAAATGAATTCCATAATTAAAAGAACTTGATTTGTAAATACCTTAATTGAAATAAATCAAAAGCTTTACAATTATGCTTTCCTTTAATCTTTAAGATATACACCGAAAGAAAAATAGGTTTTTTAACAATTTGTAAAAAATTAATCAGTATTATAAGAACTGTATGGTTTATAGACTGTTGGCGTTTATAACGATAAAGAGAAAACCAAATAATTACTTTTTCAAGTGTTATAACATTTTTAACATTTTGGTGGCCTCTGCATCGCAGAAGTCAGTAACTAACAATCACAAAAAAGCGTATTCTACTGAGGCAAATTCATGTCTCCTTTTAAACTGAATAACGTGGCTCAGTAGAAAATAAACAGGTGCAATTGGAATAAGTTCTTATCAGCCAAGATTTTGCTGACAATACAAACAGATTCCCAAAAGTTCAAATTTCCAATTTATAATCTCGTCTATAATGAAAAACGAAAACCTCGTTACAAATAATTAACACCCTTATCAAATTCTTGATTTGGCTTAATGACCAGCTGGAGTTAAAGATAAGTTTTTTTCTGTTTTATTCTGCTTGTTGCATCACATAATACCGACATTTGGGGAGTTATCTTGATGGAGTAAACTTCACAAAAAAACCCAATGAATCGCCAAGAAAATCTTATCATCTACATGCTGTTTATGGGGTCTTTGATGTTGCAAAGAATTGTAAGCCAGCATTGTAAAGGCGACATTTACTCTGATTATCAAATGATGCTCAAAGGCCACACGTACAAGACTATTAAAGTTCGACGAGGTTCGCTTGACTGCAGACAAGCCTGTCTCGCTGACACCAGATGCCGAAGCTACAACGTGCTCTTTTTCCAACAGATATGTGAGTTAACTAACAGTACCAAAGAAGCCAGCCCAGATGATTTTGTGCAGAATAACGAAAGATATCACATGGCAAAAAGTGGTAAGAATCCATGACTCTTATTGTGAATGGTACGAGAAGAATGAAACAATTGCGGGACTGGCAAATTCAGTGTGCGGGGAGAATGTACATTTTGCAGGATTGCGTAACCTTTCTTCAAATAAATCATTGCAGAATGATAATGATTGTTTGCAACCAGTTCACTCACAATTCTGATTGTTTTGTTAAAAATTTTGATTGTTTGCAAATTTTTCTTTGCCATGTAATCGCCGTTTTAATCTGAAATATGATTCACTCATCAATTCTATATTTTGTGCGGGTGGGGAGACGTGATTGTTTTTGTTAAATTAACTATTTAATTAAACTGTTAACAATCAAACAGTTATTAAATGTCAGCAAACCTGCTATAAAAGCTAAACTTGGCGGACAGCAGAAGGGAAACTAATTGACGCATTATTTTTATTGTATTTCTAGTATTAGAAGATTTCTGCATAAAACATCGATGTCAAAACAATGCCACATGCCTGAACGGAAAAGTGAACTATACGTGTGTGTGCAATTCATCGAGATGGACGGGAACCTACTGTGAAGGTAAAACTCAACTAGGTTAGCATATCAAAGCGCGAGAGAAAGTGTTCTGATTTAGTTTACTTTCATTTATCCGAGTTATTCTGTGCTGTATTACCACGTGTGAATCTTGTACCTTAGATATGGATGAATGCGCCGCAGGGTTTCATAACTGCCACAGAGACGCGATCTGTGAAAACACCGCAGGGTCGTTTAGATGCAAGTGCAAGCCAGGCTTCGACTGCACCCACGAAGGCAAGTAAAAGTAATAGTACCGGTAAGAGCTTACTTAAAAGAACCGCATCTGTGGATAAATAAAAACTACGGAAGAATGGAATCTAAACTCGATAAACAACCGCTGTTCGGGAAATGAGCCCGCGCTCTTCATTTTGGGCAAAAGGGACTGGACCCTAGAGAGCGGTGAAAAAGTCTCAGACATCTTTTGCTTTTCGCGCCGGTGATTGGCGCTGCTAATCTGGTAACTTGTTTCTTTGTCCCAGAGGTGGTAAGACGAATAAAATCTTTCTTAATAAGCAAATATTTTTTTTATTAGAATGTCTCCACTATGTGACATTGCAAAACGCTGATAGAAAAGCAACATACGTTGCCTCTCAACAACCGTTCTTGTGTGATTATGACCTCGACGCAATGTGGTATCGTTTCGAAGGAGCAGCGGGAACAAAGATGCCTACCACATGTGTAGGACCCAGCAGCTGCGGTGCTACCAGACCAGGTTGGATGAACGGTGCTCATCCCACTGTTGAAGACGGCAGAGTCAACCGGGAAGTTTGCTTCAGGAGTTGGCACGAATGTTGTAAATATACAAAGTCGATTATGGTGAGAAACTGCAGTTCTTTTTATGTTTACCATCTGGATCGCATAGCGACCAACTGTTCCGAAGCCTACTGCGCTACTGACTGAGTCTTACCTGGGATTCCTGCGGCAACCATCTCTTCTGAAGTGTTCTGCACTTGAGACTGAGCTATATTTGGGTTTCCTGTGGTGCCAACTTTACTGGACTGAACAGCACGATTGTTTATAATTCATGTAATTTAAACCGGGTCTTAATTGCATAGTAATACCCGTCCATGTTTTGCAAGACTTTTCTGAAAAGAAAGTCGTTTAATGATTGCTAAGTTTTTGCAGTTTAGTACAGTGGAACTTCGATGTGATGAAATGCCAAGGGACTGGGGAAATTGGTTCGTTATATCGAAAACCTCGATTTAACGAATTTGCGAAAAAACAACCAAAATGTTCGTTATATCGAGGGATGGTTAATAGTTGTTGTTTTGTGTGTTTTTTTCTTTTTATGTGGTGCGACGCCGCACTACCCAGCATTTTGTGATCGGAACCATTACTGTAAATGACATTTGTGCTTTTATGTCTATATGAAGCTACAGTACACTGTTTAGGTTTATACATAGTAACAGCTTGATTTTAAAGCACGGAGGACAAAGCTCAGTGGAAGTCACTGGCAAACGGAGAAAGACAGGGAGGATAAAGGGGATCTGTAGATGTATCGATAGTATCAGGGTCGGCATTTAGAATGAGCTGTTAACTGTGAAGTTGTTTTTTTATTTTTTACAGAATTGAAGGATTTTGATTCCGTTGATCTATTACGCATTCGTCTTTTGTCACGTGTTGACCTTTGTTCGTTTCATCGGGGTATATTATACGTTTGGGCTTCTGGATTGTGTTTGTTGTAACGAGGATTTCGTTATATCGAGGTTCGCTATATGGAGGTTCTGTACCATACATTTTATTGTAACTTAAGTAGAACTGAAGAGTATCGTTCGTTAAACCGAGGACTTCGTTATGTAGAGGTTTGTTAAATCGAGGTTCTGCTGTACTATACTGTACTGCGTGTGTGATTCTTAACTTGAAAAATATTTTGACAGTATATAATGCATAGAAGTTTTCCTTGTGTATTCCTTACTTCAGAATAACAAGTTTTATTACAGCGTAGTAAAGTTTTTAAAGTGTGATTTCTTTTATCTTAGAATATCACATTTTTTCACCTCGGAGTACCCTGCGATTTTTCTTGATACTCAGCTAATGTTGACTTGACTTGTCCAGTTGTTGTTTTCAAATGGTGGGCAAGATTTCTCTGTAGAAACTAGTAATGGATATAGGGGTCTCCATTCAGAAGACTTTTTACGTTGCAAATACTGAAAAGCACACCTCCTTGATTAAAACAACATCAGACACACAAGGCATCAATACGCCGTACGTAATTGTGTCGCTTCGATTGACGCTGGACGCTGAACTACACGCTGACGCTGAACTAAACAGTGCTACAAAGATATGTGCAACCAAACGTGTTATATTCAGTTAAAAATATCATCCAGAGATAAAAAAATATGGTGGGAAGGGATCGAAAGTCACTGGCAAGAGCCAGCGTTGGAGAAGAGGGGTGAGGGGGGCCGGGGAACTGAGGTATAATGAGACACTCAATATCATTACACCTTGAAATTCTAAAATTCTTCCATCAAATAACTACATTTTCTAGAGTTGACTCGTGTCAAAATACAAATTACCAAAAACTCAGGAAGAATGAGATAACTCACTGCATAATGAGATACGTAAATATCGCACAGGTATGTATGCCAGAAAGAAAAGAATGCCATAAATCAGGATAACCAACACCCCACCCCCTGCGGGGCCTAATAAGCGCATAACTATCGTGCGTTGCGTTATAATCCATTCACCCAGTCAATCATATTCCAGAATTAAGTGCAGTGTGCAAAGATCCCATATCAAAAATTTATCTTTCATAAAGTGTATTCCAGAACTTTCACCAGATTTGATGATTCGACCTTTTAATCTGCACACCTATGTGGGCGACAAGGTACATACAGCACGGATATGGGAACACATCAGTATAAAAAGGGATGGGCAGGTCAGTTCGAAGTGAGAGTCACTTTATAATCCTCATCTTGCTCATTAAAAGAAATCCTGGCCCTTCAACTGATGGTACATGTGTTCATTAAATAACCTGAGCTTAAGAATCACGTTACAAAAAAGCTCTTACGTAGCAAGACAGCCGTCGATGTGATCATTTATCTCAACATTTTTCACTTCTTTCGCAAACTTTACGCCACAAATCGGACAAAAAATCTCTTTTTTCTTCGTCTTTTCTGCAGGTTTATTTGTCACTTTCCCAAACGACGATAAAATACTTGACTGTCTCTGTCGTTTATTTGACCGTGATGTCGCTTCAGAGTTAGTTCTCTTCACAGACGTCTTAAGTTGTACGTTCTCTTTTGAACGGGGCGTGGAAATATGGTGCGCAACGTTCGTACTTCTACCAGGATCAGAAGTGGACGTCCCACTCTCTGAGAAGTCCTCTCCTTTCGACTCCTTTGATACAAAGTAGCCTGATTTTACTTCTTTCATTCTATCATCAGACATTTCCTGTTCGTTAGAAGTACTTGAATTCGACAGACACGGACTGTTTGTGATCTCATCCTCAATAAAATATGCTCTACATTCTCCTTCATGACGACCTTTATCAACACATGTCTCTTCAACAGGTTCTGTTTCGTTTCCTGTGACCTTGGGTCTTTCCTCCAAAGATTTAGGTTTAAAGAAATTTTTAATTGTAACAAGAGGCGTTGTGGCCTTGCTTAAAGTTCTCGGGTTGATTGGAGATTCCGCTTCTTCATACCCTAAACAGTTATTTGACGTTTCTTTCGAGGAAGCAGCCAAATCTAAGATACCACTTCGTTGTTTTTCCTGGGAGAGGAATATTTGAATATTATCTTACATTTACTATGAACTCAAATTAGCCAACGTCAAAAATCGACACTACTACCCCAGGACAATTAACATGTAACTTCTCATTGTGATTCCAATGTTATCCTTTAAACAGGTTATGAGAACAGACATGGTAATCAGCTAATCGGTGTCATCACTAAATTCTCTTGTGTAAATTGAAAGGAAATGTATGGCAGTCAGTTGGGAAATAAACTTACTGGATGTTGGGAGTCAAAGGTTAAAAACAATTTTACAGATTCATCTTGCAATAACACCTAATGCAGTTTGGAATCAAAATTTGTTATCATTTGTTTTTTTTTTTTCAACGAAAAATATCATAATCTTTGATTAAAATCACTATTTAAAATCTTCATTTGAGCTAGCATAGATTTAGAAGCCGACCAAACGAGCATACTACATAATACAGTTCCGCAGAATGACAGGCTTAATGTCAGTATCTGACCAACTGCACACCTACTCCTCCCCTAACCCAACATTAACCCTTGCTTGTTATCAGTTGACTGTTGTTGGGTTAGGGGAGGGGTAGGTGCGCAGTTGCTAAGATACTGACATAGATTTGAATGAAACGTACCAAAATAGCGTCGACTAGTTTTTGCTCTTTCAGGAACAAAGTCACTTCCGGTATAAGTTGCTCTGGGTAACGTAAACCAACAAGCCGCTGACCACTATCCAGTTCGACGCGGACTACTCTCAAAGAGCGATTGTCCTTGCTGCGAGAGTAAGATAGGTAAGTCAAGCTAAAGTGTTTCAAAGCTCCTAAGCCTATAACTATTACAAGACCTTATCCAGAATGAGATAAACAAGTCTATAGCCAGGATGAGATAAACAAGTCTATCACATGTACTTACCCAAAAGAACTTCAATAAAATCCAGGCAAAGTCATACATAATCATGAGTCGAGAGGAAAAACAAGGGTGAAACATTACACATTAAGCAAAACCAAGACTTAAACCAGGAATCCCACTGAAGTTTTTACCAAAGCACCGAGAAAAAAAATAGCAGATATAGTCGTGCGTCTTTGATTCCTAAAGTGGGGAAATGAACATATAACCAATCATTTACTGTTTGTAGAGTTAATTCAAAAGTACTTTACTCACGTGAGTCCCAGTTTATCAGCATGTTTTTCCATAGCCATTTCCAAGGCAGACAGTAGTGGAATAATTCCTCCGCATAGCAAATGGATCTCAGTTATGCGACAACCAGCTTTTAAGTCAATAAAAAATAAAATCAATCAATCAATCCGTGGTTCAACCTTGATGAAGTAGCTAGCCAGAAGAGCTGGGCGAGCAAGTCCCTCAGAATGTAAAAACTTGTGCATTTCCCTCAAAATGTAAATGTGTACGCGTGAAACATTCTGGCATAGACTATGGTTTATAGTTATCATGGTTCGTTAGACTCACTTTTACAGGACGATCCATTCTTACACCCTAAACCATGGATGCAGTTATTTCTTGTTCTTTCGTGCTGCGATTTCCATCCGGCCTCTGCCAAAGACGAGACAAAAGAAAACTCAGAGCGAAACAAAGATTTTGTGTTCGCCTGCTGTGCCTGGTTACAAAGTAGAAAACTGAATGAAAGTAGTTTTCTTTCTTGTTATTCTAAGAAAATGCATTTTCACCTGCATCTTGGAGTGAAATCTTTCTATACTTATGTAACAATTCAGTCTTCTCTTCTTCAAATGGCGACCGGCCTGTGTTTGGTCTGCAATTCAAAACGCAACAATCGTACGATTGAATATCAATTGAAATTATTATTGAAGTTATTCAAGAGAATATCAATTGATATTCTCTTGTTTACCGTTTCACAAGTAAATTCAAAATTTCCCCCACATAGCCTCCTCGCTCCACTTCCACTGCAATTTTAGATGAAATGTTATCTTTCTTTTCTCCCTCTACAAAAGCCGGCCTGACCGAACGCGGCATCCCTGTTCAGTTATTTATTCAATCACATTTTACGCTCTAAAATCTTTAGTGGATGTAATCAAATTACGTTCTGTGAAATGATTCATTTGACCGAATTTCGTTGGAAAATGCTTTGATTGTGATTTCCTTAATGAAAGCAATGAAAATGAAATTTTACATCCCACCAGACAAAAGGGAACAGGACAGCGATATCTTCCCTTACGACAATAAAAATGATAACAACAAAAGACTGAGAACAGAACAACAAGGAAGACTTCTTTACACGGAGCCCCTCTTCCATCACTCTTTTTTTGTCTGTTATCATTGCCACCACAAATTCGAATGCTACCGAACCAGAAAATTACTTAAATATTTAATCCCTGTTTACCTTGTAATGTTAAAAAGATGTGTTGAGGACTCCTTCAGAATCGCTAACAAAAACAGCCGCTGTCCTCTTTGTTCGCGTTTAGAGCAGTAAAAGCCATCCAAGTTATTGGAGCCATGCTCTTGAAACAACTTCACGGCCGTGTCCCAGTCTATCCCACGGTCAACGTTTAGAGTCACGTGCCTTTCGAGAAAAACATATAGAAAGTTTTCTAGTTTAACTTTCATGATCTCGATCGCAATTCCCATATTTAACAAGATAACAAGTCACGTCTCTGTTCACCACTTACTTCGTTTCCATGACACCTTTTCGGAAGTCGGTAAAAACCGGTTGAGGACTGCGAACCATTGTGATTGAGGACCCAGATACGTCTGTCACGCCTTCATTATACCTATGTAACGTCACGCAACGTTAACAAAATTATTACTCAGGGTGAAAACGTGACTCAGGTAGTGTCTGCAGTACAGTCCATCCACCCAGCGGCGTAAACAAATAAAGTAGATCCATGACTGTCCTGTGGTGCAAAAGACCTACATCTTAAAGTTTTAACGCAGAATTTTCGTGAATGATACCGCACATAATAATTTCCAAATAAGAGTGCAAAGCAATTGAAGAATTGTCTTCTTTCTGCTTTACTTTCCTGCCCCTTGATTGGTCTAGAAAACTTGCGACACCCTCACCACCAATCAGTGGTAAAATGAAAATCGATCGCGTCTCTATCAGCCAAGTTGTTCCGCGCTTAAGTTTAGTTTTTTTTTCTTAACTTCTCAGAAGTTTTTTTTATGTTTTTTACTTTTTATGTATTCATTGGACCTTGCGATTTCTTTTGGTCGTGATTTTTACGACGCTTAACTGAAACGCACTTTATATTCCACTTTATAAGGCGCCAGTTACGTAAGGTTATCCACTGTGTATTATTTTCCATGTGATAACATCAGAGTGCAGAGTGAATATACAAAATACACTTTGACCAAAAACTAAGGAAGAGCATACGTACTGTACCTTCCTTCGCGTTTTGAAGTTTCAATCGTAGCATGTAGACACTCACAGAAATATGAAAACATCTGTAAATAAGAGAGTTCAAATATTAAAATAAAAAGATAGGTATTTTAAAATCAGCTTAGGATAAATGCCTGGATGTTTTAGACTTTGGATTATTCAGACTAATTAGTCTTGTCCAAAACTTTCTTTAAGGTTTATAGGCTGTAATGCTAACTATTTAAACCTGCTAGAAGTTTATCAAATTCAATATTTCTCATCAGGTTCAGGACATCCCGACCTGGGAGTGAATGACAACAAAGTCCATATAATATTTGTGATTTTCTCATTCGATGGTCAGAATCGAAACATTTCAGACATCTTAGAGAAGACTTTTCGATGCCTTTATTCATCATTCCGGGAGTAAAGAGTTTACATTTAGTTTTGCTGGATGAAAAAATTTAACTTGAGCTTTTGCTGTAAATGCCAACATATATTGGGATGAATCATGAAATTTCACTCTGTCGAAACTTCAGCCGCTTGATAACATTTTTCTGTTTAAAAAGAAAGGCCACTATCTACGCTTACCAAATTCTGTTTTTCAACGCTTAGACCCAAAATACGATTTAAGAATCGTCCAACATCAGTAGCCTCTTTGTCTTTTACCACAAAAGTGGTGTCAGTTAAACCCATGGATATTAGACATTGCTACGACAGGAAAAAAAACAAACACGAAAACACAAGGACAGCGCATGGTTAGAGTGCATTTCCATACAATGACGTAAAAGTAAACGTAAAATAATCACAACGGCCAATAGAAAAAAAAAGAGATGTTTAAGAGGATTCAGATTAATAAACACAAATTGACTTTCGCCAGGCCATCTGTCTTTTCCTTCCCGGCTGCCTGCCTCTCCGTTTGTCCATCTATTTCAGTCTGTCTCTGTATTTCCCTACCAAGAGATATCTATCTCCTCATTTGTCCCTCTTTTCTATTTGTCTCCATCTCTATTTCTGTGTGGTCTCTCTTTGTCTGTCTGTCTGTGTGTGCGTCTATCTGTGTCTGTCTGTTTATCTATCTGTCTGTCTGTCTGTTGTCTATCAGTCTGTCTTTGCCTAGAGCTACTCTTCTTTTCATCCCAATCATCCAAATCATCCCCAGAAACAATGCGTGGCTCGATAAACGTACCCTGGCTATCGCGTTGAACTCCGTAAATTCATATTTGTCGGGAAGTTGTGCTGCAGTAAGGAGCTTGGATAAAGCCACTCCTGGACAGATGGATTGCTGAGTAAAGAGTATGTGACAATTAAAACACAATGGTAGTAGCAATAACTAAACTAAAAATATTAATAATATAATTAATAATGATGAAAGTAAAAAATTTTTAAAATTCAAAGAGGAATAAACCAAACCACAAAACAACAATCAACGCAGCAACTAAAAGGATCAATTTGTTTACAGCAATCTTTCCAGCATACCAAAGTTATAGACTGGTACATGTTCCTGAGAGCAGATCGGCCATAGGTAGTGTCAAAATTAAACTGAGTCAAGTCGGCACCAGTCGCTGCTCGTCTGTCTCCCTTTGTAAGAGCGCCTGACAGAAAAAAAGCTCACACAGTGAGACTCCGCAATTGTCTATTATCGCAGTAGGTTAAAACAAAAAAAGCATTTTTCAACTGACGTTCGCCAGGTCTCCATGATAGTTCGCCAGTGTCCTTTTATACCCACGTGTGACGAAAGGCATTATGGGAAGGTGTCTTGCCCGAAAAGAAAAACAACGGTCATCCTCTCCCCCCCTCTAGAGGGCTCACACTTGGACCTATCCTTCGGGAATCCAGTGAGCAATCGGTAATCTCCCTCCCCCGCCCTTCCCCTCTCCTTGTAGGAAATATCTAAATTGAAGATTACTTCTCAAAGCAAAAAGTCAGGACCGCTGCTCGCTGTAACACTTTTCTGTTCTTTTATCATACTTTACCTAGAGATTGGAGCCTGCGAGCTACAGCAGCTGCAAATCTTCTCTCGCCGCCCAAGTTGGTAGTAACAAGTTTATAGATTGGTCCGCTGAAAAACATTAAACATACATTTATCGATTGCCTCACCAGACTTGGTGTCTCTCTGGAGCTAGTTTCATGTGAAGTAACGAAAAATATCGCAATGAAAAAAGTATATCTAAGAATTTACCTATTGTCAGATTTCCAAGAGTTATCTAGCAGTTGCAACATTGTTGGTAAATGCGCTAAAAAGCAACTATAGACGTTGCTATTTTAAAGCCCCCTTAGTAACCTGGCCGTACATGCAAAATTAAACTTTGCCACCCGGCTTTTGGAAGGGCAATTTTACAATACCTTGATTGGTTCGACCGATGTGACCTGCCTAGCTGCTGCACAGCTTTATCAGCGCTCCAAGGCAGCTCAATGGTCACGTGAACACGGCGACGCTGATTGGCAGCTCGGAGATCGGCATGCAACGAGATACCTGTAAACGAAAATTTAACGAAGACACTGTGAATTCTTTACATGGTTGAAAGATCACTTTCACAATTAAGTACAACTTGCAGAATTCATTTATTTCTCACTTTCATATCATATTTGGTAACCTCAAATAAGTTTAAACAAAAACATCCCAAATCTCCTTTCCTTCCTTTTCCGAAAAAAAAAGGGAGTTTTGCTTTCTCGCTAATTTCATTTACCAGAGAATTTTCCCAAGTTCATAATTTTACGCTGATATTCACTCCTCGACATACCTTAATTGACGGGGGACAAGCTTAAAATATCAACTCTCCTTACCTGTGCTGGCTGCATCTGATATGATGGCCACAAGTTTGGTTCCATTCATGAAGCTGTTTCTCTAAAATATGAAAATAAAATAAGGGTGTAAAATTGCACTTCTGTCGAGGGTGTTACAAGAAAGGCGAATAGACCACTAGAGGCCGGTGATCCTCTAAAACTTTCGTCCTCATTTGGATGATAACCCTATATTGTTATTGTTGAAAAGACTGAAAAGTGTAACCTTAGAAACGAACAAAATGACTATTAATTGCGTAGCGAGAAGACGAGATGATTATTTCCCGAGCGTATTTACACAGTATTAAGGACTTCAAGAAGAGTTCATTTATGCTCGAGTTAGTGCTAAATTTCTTCCGATCCGGTGAAGTATTGTGAGCAGCGAGACCGTAGTAAATAAAAAAACGTTGTGATAGACTGCCTTCCGACGGCTGTTCCTTTTTTTTTTGGTATTTCGTCCAACCAGTTATTAATCATTCTAATCATCAATATCATCATCTTTACTAGCAGCATTATCGTTATTGCAATTCACCTCAGGAAGCAATCATGACGTTTTGGTCAATGGGAAGCTGGGACTGGCTGCTCTCTTACCTCTTGGATATTCAAACTGTCCACGTTACTATTGTCCGACTCTCGAGCCTCGTAATGAGGATGAAGTTGTTTCTCTGTTTTTACCACGCGACCGCGCCTGCCCGTCATTTCTGCAACCTTCTTTGGTCCTCCTAATTGATTTATGAGATCATCTAGAGGACTGGAATAAGAAGGAAATTGTTTGGACGCGTTCACACAATGTAATCAACCTTGAAGTAGGAGAAGCTGGCTTTTCGGGGTTAAAAAGAGACTGGTAAAATTATATAACAATTTCTTAACCCTTTGCACCCTAATATCAGTATGCACATTCTCCATACTCTTTCCCATCCATTTCCTACCCTACGGATGAGGAGAATTCCTTTCACAATCAAGCTTCTTACAAAAGGTTTCTAAGGTCGACGATCATTTCCCTAATTCTCCTGATCAAAATGAATAATTTAACAGTATCACAGAAAGGGGAAAGTAGATCCTGGTCACCATAAGGATTTTAAGGATTAATTGAATCAGTGTTGAAAAAATGGGAAACATGGCCAGCAAAAATAAAGACAAGATGTCAGTATAAAATGAAAGCAAACCGTAAATCGTTAAAATCGTTATGTCCCGAGAGTGGGACATTGAAAACAATCTGAATCCCCAACAAGGAATCGAACCCTTAACCGTCAGATTTCGAGTTCCTATGCTTTTTCGTTGAGTTCCGGAGGCCTCGATGGTAAGCCGAACTATTACAAGGTTCCAATGAGTCTTCAGTGGAAACGGCTAGCGTACAAACCTTATTGGAAGATTAATTTTCTTGACAAAAGAGAGCAACAGATCCTTGGCTTGCACACTCCACTTGTCTTCCACAACATTCCCATTCTAAATGAGGCAATAATTCGTATGACAAGAGACCACTGAAGAAGATGTCGTAAATGAGCGGCGTTACAATTTGCGTATCTTCAAATTTCAAAATTTCAAAATTTTTCAATTTTGCCTTTCGTGTCCCTTCACTCGAAAGAAAAACAAACAAACAAACAAACAAACCCAGCACCCCAAACTACAATTCAAGCTGGCAAAAAGCGGATGGAGATCTGCACATGGATGTGTAACTAGTAAGATTCAATTTATCAATTTAATCTAACACATTTAATCTTCGAATGAAAAAAATAATAATAAATAAATAGTAGAGTAAAGGTGTCGATCTCGGGTATCAAAAACTACTCAGAGGTTTAGTGTTTAACTGCTGCCTCCCTACAAGAGAAATGGAATGGTGAGGAATTTCAATTTATAGCTTCAAGTGACACCGTTGAGATTAACTCACCGTTTTTGTAACCTTTGTCGGAAAATATTGCATGATAAACCTGGTCAAGATTTCTTCCGTACTGGAAATAAAGTTATTAAGCACGCCACCACCACGTGATATTTCACTCTCTAAACTTGCCTAAAGTACAAAATAAAAAGCAAAAATGAGACGAAACAGTCAGGGAAGCCTCAATTTCATTGAAAAATATAGAAGTTCTGGAACACAATAGGAAATGATCGCATTATTACAGTACTCCCGCACTGTATTTTTTTTCTTGCAAATAAAACGTTGAGGTAAGTTTGTAAGGGCTACGTTTGGTACAAAGCAAAGTAATCAACAAAACTAGTACTTGAGGGGTTTTCGGTTGAGCGCCGTGAAACCAAAACCATAGTTATTAAAACGGCCTCTTTGAGCCAAAGAAAATATTACAGCGGCGTTAAGAACTCAAAGTCAATACAAGCACACGACTTGAAGCGCGGGAAAATGCAAGTGACCAAGACGCAATTGGTTTTATTTTAGCGTCTGATTGGTTGGGAGAGTGGCGCGAGGTATTTAGACCAATCACAGAGCGTAGTAAAGCAAGTCAATGCAATCTCGGATAACTTGATTTATTCATTTGAAAATTCTCCAATAATAAAGACGTAATATAACTCAGAAATCATACAGACCTCGCCAGTTGTCTGTAGACCAATCACGACACAATAGCCATCCTGTATCGCTTGCTGAACCTCCCGCACAATCTGAGGAACTTTCATACTCATGCTGTGCAAAATGTAAAATAAAAACAATAACAACGGAAACGAAGCTAGTCCAGCATAAAACTAGAATGTTTTTAGTTACACGTGTCAGGAAATAGTACCGTTGGTTTTCGTTTTTCCTTGGACACGGCTACAAAAACATATCGACCTTTAATGCAAGCTTCCCCTCTACCGAACACCAAGGACTATACAATAAAGTGTTTACTTTTTCGCACTGCGGGACCATTCACAATCCACAAAAAAGCGCTTTTTCGTGGCATACACTCGACTAACAGTTTTCATAAAAGGCGGGACCCAGGTGCTAATACCACGATACACGAAATTCAGTATCCGCCTACCATCACATGGGACAAAGAGGAGTTTACTTTCCGTTTTTCTCGGCTAGTTACCTATGGGTGCCCTCCTCCTCAAATTCTAAGTGAAAAAAGTAACTAACCCAGGATGCAGTGAAAAGCCCAAGAGTGCCTACAGCATGTAGTTACCCGATAATAATTTCAATTTTTTTTTTACCAGAGTTGTTTGTAGAACCGCTGATGACTTGACCAAAATATGGACCACACCCTTGGAGTTGCAGTGTTAGTTCGACCCAGGGCGTATTCCAGTGACTTCTTCAACTCATTCCTTGAATTAAAAAGAAACATAAGAAAAAAAAACAGCAAATTACGCATACAGATCCGCGCATAAAAGCACACTAATGGATAAAATAAGGACGCGCGCTCATTTATGCCACAATGATCGAAGTGAACTGCGTTTGCAGACCCATTGAAAAGGTGTTTCTTCCCTAAGCAGTTTTTCTCCCAAAATTTTATATTCATAGTCCCCATCTATGACTTTTAAAATAATTAGGAAAGTATTGTATAAAAAAAAAAAAAAAAACTTTAAAAAAATGGTAAAATCTAAGAAGGATAAGTGAGCTTCCTGACGCGGGGATCTGGGTCCAAACATGACGAGTAGCAGAGCCCTGGGATTTCTTTTCCTCATCTGGATCTACATGTATGTTATGCAATCTTTGCATCAAGAGTAAAAATTTTAATTGATCACTACTCACCACACATGAACTGCTGTGTCATAGATCTTAACCTGGTCTGGTGTTAATGGTGCCTCTACATTTACAAACTGAAAATAAATAGGAAATTAAAAGCAAGTCATATCAGTTGGTGAGAAAAAATTTTTTTTTTTTTTTAAATTTTTATAAGTCTTTATACATATAAAAAATAAAGCTGCATAGATGATTTGTGAAAGGGAGTTCATGACGTCAAAAATTGAGCAGATTTCAGATAGTTTAGGATCACTCACTCCATAATACATACAACAACAAGCAACTTAAGGTTGTTTCATAATTAGGGCTTTGCCAAATTTTGCACTAATTAAAAATAAACATCACTAAATAAAAATCAAACTTTTCATTTGCTGCTTCTTTCTTCTTAGTGCAGTAAGTGTAAATATCAAGGTATACCTCAGCTTGTCTGAAACTAAGACCTCTTGACACATACATTCCAGAAGCCTTCATCTCCATGGCTAACATCTCAGCAGCACCTAAAGTAAAACGTTGGCACTATCAGGAAATGACAGTTTACAAATACAAACTAACTGTCAGTTTATTGCATCAATCCCAGAGGCTTATATATGTAAGCAATGGCAAATTGTTATAGCAAACTGAAAAATTCAGAAAATTTTTACCCAATCCCCTCTTGGTTATGCTGCCAAGGAAAGTATCAAAGGACTTAAATGCAGTTCCATCTCCCCAAAGGCCAAGTCGCTCCATAAATGCCTGAAAAAAAAATTATACCTCTTCATCAATTTTTTCGTTATCAACTCTGATGAACCATCCTTCCCTCTTTTGCTATGTTTAACCCCATACCCCTCCCCTTCCACACAATCATCTTACCTACCCTACCCCACACTCTAATTCTTTTTTCTCAGCACCAGACCCTCCCCTGGCATTGAAGTCTGAAACCAACCCCAGCTGGCTTAACAATTCTTGCAATGCACATCTGCATCACATTAGCAGTTTATCACAAAGTTAACTACAAAACCCAAGTATACATAAATAGTACATACCATATTCTTAACATCTGTGACTCCAGTTGCACTGCAGTACACAACACGAGCTTTTGGAAGGATCCTGTAAACACATTGAATCATGAAATCATAATTTCTAGAATCTACATGTAGCCTAAAGGATGACATGTATGATTAAGAACATTCACACAGAACTCAAGGAGAAAACAGCATATTCTATGTTCCTACTTAAAAAAAACTGTGATCAATGTGATCAACCACAGAGTTATATAATTGTAGTACTCAGTAATACGCCAAAAACCCTTTTATTAAACAAATTTTTTGGATTCTAAAGTTGCAACAACTACCTCCATATGAAAGATACAATTCAATTTTTCTTCATTTGAATACCTTTGTAAAGTAGTGACAGCCAGAGCTATTTTTGTGCTATTTTCTTCCTTTCCCTATAAGAAAAGAAAAAACAGGTGCACTAACTTGCCAATAATCATCCATTTATCCAATAATATCAAAATGGCTCTCAGAGTGCAAATGAGAAAGAAATGCTGTAGGTAAACAGGTGTGTCACACTGCATGACCACCTTAAATATGCAAATGTGTAGATGGAGCAAATTACCTGTATCCTGTTCTAAGGTCACTGATACATAAAAAAGAAATATTTGAAAAAAAAAACTATCAAAGATCACCAGGTCAACATTTATCCTATACAAATCACTTACTGGTACAAAATGCTTTGCCTTGTGGCATTCATCAAATATGAGGCATCCACTAAAATGTTCTCCACCACACCAGTCAATCAACTGCTGTAGTCTGCTCTGACGATTGGTACCTGAGGAAATATGACAAACCATTTTCCCTGAAATGATACGATCATGTACAGCATTTGTAATTACAACCATCAGGAGTGATATCATAAAGATAATCTAGACACTAGTCACTGTTAGGGGTTAAAGGGTTGATGACTTACAGATCTGCTTCTCACAACACTATGATAAAAATACCTTTCTGGACAGATGATACCAATGTGGCATAGGTACTAAAAACTACACCCTCTTTAAAATCAGCAGGCAAACCAAATACTCTGAAATATGTAAATATAATACCATGTATAAGAAATTATTTTTCCACAATTTCATCAAACTCAAAAAAACAAAAACTTCATGATCACAATGTAACCAATCAAAAGTTAAGAGAGGAATTTCTGCAAAGCACCAGCAGTTTCACATTTTTAATGCTGCCAGAGGTGTTAATTACCTCGTCTCTTTGTCAAGCTGTTGACAACCATCAATAACTTTAACATAGCAACCAATGTCTTCTAAATCTCTGTAAAACAAGAGACCAGAGTTTTCTACGACATCTTTTTAATATCATAACTTTGAACAAAAGGGACTGGACACTAAACGCAGTGATCCAATAAAAGCCAGTTACTGGTGGTCTAACCCTGCCATGGTAAGGGGGCAAAGCTGCCTATCACATCATCAGTGGCTGCTTATTGAAAACATTGCAACCCCTGTATACACATATATGAATAAAGAATCAAGAATGTTCCAGACAACTTTATTAGTAAACAAATATATTTTTTTATCAGTGTTTTAAAACATCCACCAAAGAAATTAAAATATCCGATTGAGATCACTACAAGGGTAAATATTCCAGGAGGGGCCAAAAAATGGCCTAGAGCTTAGATAAACACCAAATACCATTAACCCTTTCACTCCCAAGATCTGATTGATAATTCTCCCCTCTTGCTACAACACAATACCTTGTTAATTAGTTATGAGAATTTGTTGTCAGATCAAGATAACATCTTCTGCCTGATTAGTTAGTGTATTCTTATTACCTTTTTGTTGGATTATGTATGGATACTTTTGGGAGAAGTTACATGTTAATCATTTCTGGGAGTTAAAGGGTTCATCAACTTCCTTGAGTGACCATGACAAAATTTTTGACGACAAACCTTTGTGCATCTAATCTCAGATCAGTTGAGATGCTAAACCACACATGTTTGCATCTTCCACGTGCAAAGTTGTCCAACAAAATTCCAGAGATCTAGGACAGTAATAAGCTTCAACAACTATGATAATCAACATAATTTTCTAAAAAAAACAGACCAGAAGCCTAGAGAAAAGATGAAATGTTCCAAACATGTAGTGAGAAATGTTATATTTGATACTTGTTCTAAACGTGAAGTCATGCAAATTTTTTAATACTTCACATGGCAAAATGGGGTTAAAGGCTGGGGAAGGTGGTTCAATTTAGACATACCAAAGCAAATGATTACCTGTCTTCCTTTGCCAACACCAGCACCATCTCCGATAAAGAAGCCCGCCCTTTGTCCATTGGCAAGGATCATCTGATGTCTCTGACACTAAATACCATTAAGAGCAATAAACAATACATTTTATCAGCACAGAGAAAGAGAAAAGTTGTACAATACAACAGAGGAAGAAACACACAGGAAACACAGCTTTTGTCAAAGTTTTTCCCACCTTCAAAACAAAAAGCCTTCCAAGCCCTATTTTGATTTCTGGAACATGGCACCTATTTAAATTCTTCAGCTGCTGAGCATAACCCACCTGCTAAATTTCTGCAGTCTAAGCTATTTTTTATTAACAGAATATTTTCCTCACACTTTACCCTCCTATAATTGTTAATAGAAACCCTCTGTCTGATTCTGTAAATGTATGTTACTATTATATTCACTACATAACTGAATAAAACCCGGAAGAAATGAACATTTCTGTCTTCAGCTGTGATAGAGAAACAGTAATTTTTTAAGTATACAATCCAAACATAGAATTACACTTCATGTCACAGATATACTTACAGCATATAAAACACCCTCTAGCTGTAAATCACTCAGTTTACCTAAAAAAAGTTAAATGTAAATAATTGTAATAATCATCTGTTTTCAAATAATGTCTCATACAAAAAAGAAATTGAAATCAAAAGACAGTACCAGTTTTTATCAAATCTTGTGGGAGTGACTCAAACAATCTATACTTGGCCTTTGGTAGCTGCTGAGCCTGATAGGTAGAAGACATTTGAGTATAAGAATGTTAACCAACGCTAAGCAAAAGGTTCCTCAAATTAAGTGACAAATTAAGGTGCTGGAAATGCAAATTGAGGTTTAATTTCCACACCCTAAAAAAAAAATAACAACAACAACCAAAAGGAGTGCAACAACTGACAGACTGAGTCAATGCAGACCTATTTCCCTGTTAAAAATAAACTGCTTTGAGTTATTTTGCTAACTAAAGCTGGAAAAACACACTTACCGCCAGACAACCAGCTTCTACTATATCTCCTGGATGATTTTGAATATCCTCATGATACAATGAACCACATGTATAGCTAGAGAAGACATCTGCACTGTAAATGACAAATATGCATGGGTGTGAAAATTAAGAAATTGCAAGAAAATGATGTCAACCCTTGAACTCCCCGTAGTTAAAACCAGTAACTTGTATGAATTTAAGAGATCCTTGCAGTTAAGAACACTACTGAACTAGTAGTTGAAAATAGGACCTGCAGTGCAAATATATGAATTTCATATATCTAAAATCATTATTCATCACTTGGATGGTTTATTTGGACCCAACATATTGACCAGCTCCCAGTTGGCTTGTTAGCTTAGTTGGTAGAGTGCTGCACCAGTATCGCAGCGGTCATGGGTTCAAATCCTGTACAGGCCTGAATTTTTTCAGGTCCTATTTTCAACTACTAGTTCAGTAGTGTTCTTAACCGTGAGGATCTCTTAAATTTGTTTCTTTGCTGCAGTGCAAATATTTGAATTTCATATATCTAAAATCATTAAGTAACTTCTACTCGTAATTTCAATATCTGATCTAGCATATAGGTTGGCAAGCAAGAGTGTGTAATCTTAATATAACACCAAAGTCTTCCTTTCTAATTTACAAGGAAGAACTACCAATGGCATCTTAGGAGTTAAAGGGTTAATTGTAGCAATCTGAAATTTTAGTAAAATTATATCATGCAGTTAAAAAACTAATATTTTATCTAAATGTTAATTCAAGTTACAATAATGATTTTTAATTGAGTTGTATCCTCGTGTACCGGTACACAAAGGAACGAAACATTAACGAACTGCATCACAACTCCATGTATGGATATGAAAACAATAGGAATTCCCCCGTGTACCGGTACACCAGGACAGCCCCTTTAATCATGACCTCATCCTATTTACTCACACTCAAACATGTCAGTACAACTTATGTCGCAGGAGAACATGATAGGTGCCTAATACAACTAGGTTGACATAGCATATCCAGGATTAAACTGTGAGATCTTTCAAGATTCTGAAATCGTTCCACGTTTCATTACCATAAACTGGAAACATAAAAGCATACATTCGAACCCCTCCCCCCCCCCCCCCCCTTTTCCCGAACCCCTTCTCAAGACTAAATTTGACCTGCTGCGGAAAGAGAAAAATAGATGTCCTCCCATTCATAACTAGCACTGGCCGATTTTGCGTGAAGCTCGTTCTTACGGTATACTGTTTCCATAGGCACCCTCTCTTAGTCTCGTTATAGTTTTATCAAGAAGAACGTTAAATTATTTCAGCCACGACTTCCATGGGAGTTCGTAGTCAGCTTACCTCCTACTCTCTGCAACCCCGTGCGCCATTTTGTTGAGCTCTTCATGTTCTTCGCTAGGATTTTCAACACGGTTTATAAACACACGACGTGGTGCTACAGGTGACTCTGGACTAGAAAACGCCATCAATAACTGTTGATCTAGAAATCAGTCAATGAATTCGTTACATACGTGTTCCTCACGAATGTGTTCAATACTTCTACTATCCGGTTCCCGCATTTTTATTTTCCTACCGCTGAACAGCACGGGCGCATACATCAAGACCATGGTGCATTGCCAGACGAGCCAATTCTTTTCAATCGGGAGCCCAGCGTCATTTTGGTTCCTTGTCAAGGGTATGATCATCAAATAATAACATAATTATGTCATAATTAAGGTAGGTACGTCATGTATGAGGAATTATTAGGATATGATATATAAAGTTAGGACATAATATGTCATAACTCCCCACATATGACGTAGCTATGATTATTATTATTATTTGATTATTTGGCGACCGTACCGCTGACAAGTAGCCGAAATGACCCTGGGCTCGAGATTGTTTCACCTGAAGTTCGTCGTTGCATTTTCGAGTTTTGTTTCGAAAACAAAAAAACAAAGCGAGTTCAGACCAGTGCTCATGGGAGGAAAGTCGTATAAAAAAAGAGATAAGGAGATTTAAGCGGTTTGACTTCGGGGTCTTCAAGGACCCGATGGACAAGGTATGGTAACACTTTTGTTTGGGATAAGTTCCGTTCTGATCGAGTATGGTATTAAAATAGTTTGGCGCGAACTTGTCAAAACCTTTCAATTTCTGAAAACTAACAAAAGGGGCCAGCGCGTAATGAGTAAAGTCAAAGTCCGGAAATGTCCTAATCGTTTTTAGAATGTTAAAAAAAAAAAAAAAATTTTGACCAGTTTCTAGTGCTTGAAGGACTTAATGGTCCTTAGCCTTTGAATGTATGTTTCCGTGTTAAAGGTCATTTGGGCGCAAAAACTAACTGATTACTTCATGACTTAAGAATTTGGGACACTTCGCAGCTCAAGTAAAATTCTCGGAATGGATTACCCCAAGCCGAGGTGAACTAGCATTGCTGATGAACAAGCAAAACCCTGACATATTCCGGAGAAGTCATACTCATATTTTTTTTTATACTCTCGAAGATTAATTGATAATAGTTTCCTGCACAATTTTACCAGATCTGGCGGATACTATCAAGGAAAAGTGGCCACAAAAGCGGGTTTTATAATCTGTAAACACGATTAAATCGCATGTTGCGAAGTGTCAGCCTCATTTTATAGTAGCAAATGTTTCTAATATTATTTAATGTGTCATGCATGCAGAGGCAAGATTTGTAACTCTGAGAACCAGCCCGCCCATGGGTTTGATTTTTATTACTCGCCCCACCCTACAAGAGACAGTCACGAACATTCCAGTCTACAAACTGATGTCTTTTGAGAACAAAAGAAGGGATGATCCTCACTTGACTGAATTCGAAATTCCAACTTAATTTATCCAGACTGAGTGACTCGATCCGCCAAGTATTATTGATTACTAGAGGGTCAGACCACCACCGGTGTCAGAGGATGACATTTATCCCCTGGTTTATCTGGCACAGCTGGGAAATAATGGCTTTCCGTTTCACCTTGCTACGGATGAGTTGGCAAAGAAAATGTCGCTACTTATATTTTCAATTTGTTTCTCAGCTGCGTGAAAAAAATCGATTGGCTCAGAGGAGGAATTTCATAAATCCATGTAGCCAAGATGCCTCAAAGATGGGTCTTTGAAAAATAATATTCCCAGTGGTGTCTCCTTTCACGAAACCTACTTAGATGTTTGATTGATTTTCGTTAATTTGTAACGAGCTTGTTATTTAACACCATTGTCATTACGTTCCGAGATTTTTTCAGGGTCATGCCTTTCTAAAAACATTATATTATATTTCACGTATTCGTGTCGTGGGCGCTTCATGAATGCAGAGTTACAACGAAATTATCGCCAGCAATGAGCGAAGATTTAAATGCAAGTTCTGCTGCTGGAATTAAAGAACTGTCACCAACAGTCGTCGGGATTCAGTCCACAGCCATCTTTTTGCTTATGGTTTCTTCGTTGATATGCAATGCACTGGTAGGATTTGTTCTCGCTAGAAAACCGGAATTGTTGTCACATTCTTCCAGCAAGCTTCTCATGAACTTGACTGCATCTAGCTTCATCTTTTCGCTTATCGTTTTGCCATTTGTTTTTGCTTCGTCTGTGAGACAGGACTGGTTGTTCGGCAAGGCTTGGTGTCAAACTAGCGGTTTTCTAACAGTTTTACTCTCCGCAACATCTTTGGCAATGGTAATGTTTTTAAGCATCGATCGTTATCACTGCATAGTGAATCCGTTAACTTACGCTACCAGAATGTCACCAGCACGCACAAATTTTTTCATTTTGTTTTCATGGCTGGCATGCTTGTTCTTGGCTTCGCTGCCTCTCGTCGGCTGGGGAAAATATGGCTATGAACACGCAAAATTTTCTTGCACTGTTATTTGGAGTGACACGATAAGTGAGGGCTATACGAAACTTTATTCCGTTGTGACTTTGTTTGTGCCATTGCTGGTCATGATAGTGACCTACTATTATATTTTAAAAGCTGCTCGTCGACAAGCTCGAGTAGGGCAAATAGCGGTTCTGCCTGCGACAAATGTGGGTCCAAGGACAAACCGCAACTCTATAACATCAAACACGAGTGCGTTTAGCGGATCAAAAGCCTTGCGTACAACTTTTCTCGTTCTAGGGATGGTAATATTTTGTTGGGGTCCGTACGTGATAGAGATTATTCTAGAATCGGAGCGAGTGCTTGTGCGGTATGAGATACAGACTACGTTTGTGATGGTGTCTCATTCAAGCGCATTACTGTATCCTGTTATTTATGGATTTCACATAAGAGCGATCAGACGGAGTATCAAGAGACTTGTAGCCTCGAACTTACGGTGTGGTAATAATTTTGTTCGACCCTCCAGCGAAACGGGATTTGTCGTATCACCCCAGGCAATGTTCAGAAATAGATCGGCTTCGGAGGGTTCTGTGAATTCGTTCGACATGGCCTGGTCGCCCCGGCGAGAGAGCGAGAGTCTGTGGACATTGCCAGCGATCAAAGAAGAGATTGAAAATCAACCCACAAACAGAACTCATTCGACCGAAGTCACAGACCTAGAGGTTTTCAATCTTCCGGGTAGCTGCGTCTAAAAACAACTCAAGATTTTCTGCGCTATTTAAAACTGACAAATACATAACTGAAAAATAGAAAAAAAATTTGCGAAGAAGATTAACATTGTTATTAACATCCCTGTGATGTTTGTCGTGCCTGGAGCCCGGAATGTTTGAAATATTCTTCACGAATCCTATTGAAAACTACTCGAGAAGTCAATCAGTTTCTCTACAGCTTTCAAAAGCATCACAGAGAGATGTTGATCCATAGCTATAAAAGTAAAAGCTATATTTCTAAACACATGGCATTAGTTGTTTCCATCACATATACTAGCATCTTCACACCGGAAGTGTCTGGGTGGCCTTTTCCCGCCAAATTGGCGTCCACGGAATGTTTAGATTGGACGCGGGAGGACACGTTTCCTCTTTCGGTGTCAGGTTCTGCTATTTGTCACACAGACCACCCAGTCTGGCGTGAAATTCTTGCCAAAACGGATAGGAAAAGGCGTGCGGTCTTCTCAATTTTAGACTTATCCACTAAGTTTAGCCTGTTAACCACGTAATTCAATCTCACTCCAAGGATTACTCTTCTCTGCTTCTCTTCTTTCGGAAGTCGGGGGAGGAAAAAGTAGAAGATCGGCGACCCTCAGGACTGGGTCACTTAACATTTTTAAAATTTATGGGTGACTTTCCGCTTTTTTAGCGAAAAAAGCTGTGCAAACTGATGATCTAACCCTCCAACCACCAACTCCCCCCCTCCCCACACACACACACACACACACACACACACACACACACACACACACACACACACACACACACACACACACACACACACACACACACACACACACACACACACACACATACACACACCCTCTCACCCTCGTTCCGAACCTTTTCCTTTTCCCAAGGAAGTCTTCATGTTTCTCAAGTCTTAAAAGAAATAGATTCAGAGGGGATTTCTGCAGGAACGCTTAATATTTCTTAAGATACTTAGATAGTACCTGTTGCAGAGATTCCTGTATACTACTGCCACAAATTATCTATGATATTCAATGAGAGGTTCAGCTCGGGCGCTGACAAGTTTCCTGATCCAATGTATTCTTTACACAGGAACGACTGGGTTCAAATTCAGACCCGATGCTTATCCAAAATACGTTGGGAAAAGTCAAAGCCAGTAACACGTCAACCCTGGGGTTGTCTTTTAGTTTGAAATGAACGATTTTGTCACAATTTAAGTAATTCGCGAGGAATGTAAGTCACACAACACCATCACGTAATGTGACGATTTTAAGGTTTTTCTCGTGACGCCACAAGCCCCGTCACTGTCCGTCATTGAGGGAAACAACCTGATTCCTAGGCCCCTCTCGTTACGTCATTTCGAGCGAGGACCCTTATGACTAAAAGGCAGCAACACCAGGGAAGGGGTCATTGATGAGGCGTGAATTGAAGGAATAAAATTTTCCCTTTATTACTCGGGCTTTCCAAAGGAAATGCCCGATTTGAAATTCCGGCTTCGTTTTTTTTTTTTACGTCGGCATACAAAGACAGAAAACTGTTACAGGGTAAATCAATAATTGCATGAAAGACTTGAACAAATGTAGTCACAAAGAAAAAAGCAAAGTTTCTTTCCAACAGAAAGCCTGAGTGAACGCAATATGCGTCTAGTTCTATTGGAGAAATGATTGTTAACCTTTAGGCCAAACCGCTGATTACGACGTGTCCTTTAATTTTCATCGCAACGGTTGTTTACGATATATACACACAAGCATCGATATATTTGCCCGGGTGCACACAAAGACACCTCTTTTCTATGTTAAGTTTTACGTGGAATTGCTTCAACTTACCTCGTGTGAAGTAAATTTTAGTACTGATGCATATCTAAAATCAAGTTTGAAATTACAATGTAGCTTGCAGCTAACGTCAAGAATTTCGGTATTCCGCCGCCACGGATTCTCAAAGCAGACTACAAAGAATTATAGTAAATTGAATCTACAAGCGTTCTTAAAAAAATAGCCGCAACCTGATTGGCTACGCTCCTTACTGTCTGTGTCGATAGTAAGTGGCCAAGCAGTGGACAGCTATAAAAATAATAAATTAAAAAACACGAGCCTGCCTTGTCAAATTTTCAAGGGTCTCAGGGGGTTTAACTACCAGTCGTCAAACAGTCTGATATGCTGAAAATAGTGCTAGAAACGAGCCAATGTTTGGTGGCATGAGTGTCATGTCTGAGACCTGATTCGAAGCGGCAAGTCAAGTAGATATTTCAGTGAGTTATTTACGACAGGTACCGCTGGTCACGTGTTTTTGCAGTCACGATAGGATATAGAGTTTCCGAGAGCATATGGTCTGTGTTTGAGTGTATGTTTTAGCTTCTGCTAAGATTGTCGAACAAGGTTTCATTTGTAATTAGCGGAACAAGGCACAAAAAACCTTGTAAGTATCGATCAGTTTTTGTTTAGCTTTCTTATCATTTGTGATTTGGTTGTTCTTTTGCTTTAATCAGCGGATTTATGCATTTGATTTCAGTGAATCGTTGTTCATGTAATAAAACTGGAGTTTACAGTTCAGCGCATCTCAAGCTTTCTTGTTGCCGCTTTCTAGTAGTGAACATTGGGTTCCTACAAGGAGGCTACGAGGGGAAATTGCTTGAGGCTGTTTCTCAAGTCGACCGCAGATCAAAAGAATGACTTCTTATCAATTGAAACGTTACTAACTTCCAGGTCGGTCAAGGTTAGATCGTTTTTAGTCGAAAACCGTGAGAAAACGAACTGAGCTAAAAGTGAGTCAGGAAATAACGGAATCCATTCAGAATCATTAACCCTTTAACTCCCAGAAGTGATTAACATACATTATTGAGCAAACAGGTAATGAGAAAACTCAAACTTAGACAAGTAGAAGTTGTTATCTTGATCCGGTATCACCAAATTCTTGTCACCAATTTACCAAGGAATGAGTAGAAGTAAGAGGGGAGAATTAACAATCAGATCTTGGGAGTTAAAGGATTAAGGAAGACCGTTGGGGACCTGGACCTTGTCACGTTTCACTGAACACAATAACAAAGAGTCACTGTGAGTTTCTCGAAACTTGAATTTTTATCAATTTGCCCTCAGGGACGTTGCTTTTTAAAACATGCTATAGCTCGAAACAAGTCGATAATGAGTGGGCCAGCTTACAGTCGACCGTGTGTTGACCTCGAATTTGCTGAGCAGTTAGTAAGGAAGTTGTACAACTTTGAAAGGATAAGCGAAATTAAGGAGTTAGACAGCTTCAGCGACCGAAACTTTTACGTTCGAGGGCATAAACGCATCACAGGTCAAGAAGAAGTCGCGAGCAACTTTTACCCTAATCATCTCGAACAAGGGGAATACGTCTTAAAAATTTTAAACTCTGATGACAGCAAGCATGGTGATCTTGTTGAAGCTGAAAACGCAGCAATGTATTTTTTGAGGGAAAGAGGCTTCCCTTGCCCGCTGTTGTTTCCTTTGGCTGGAGGTGTAGATACAAAATCACTCGTTCGAATTCCGGTGAGTTCGAATGCTAAATGTGGCGCGAACAAAAACACCCTTCAAACTGCCGAATACGAATGGTGTATGGCTCGTCTGATATCCTTCCTTCCAGGCCAAACGGCAAGGAGTTTAGAGAGGAAAATGAGCTTCGAAAATCTTTTCATGGTTGGCAAGTTTATCGGGAATTTGAGCAAGGCTTTTCAGGTACGCTACCACGTATATAGGCATAAAACAGCGGTCTGCGGCAAACGGTTTAGTTCTCGGTTCGAACGATGATGTTAAATGGATGTAACTTTTGCTCCCCTTTATTTCCTGGAGACGAAAACAAGGGTAGTAATCTCACGGTATAAAAATTGACCAGAATTAATTTGCACTTAATCGACTCTGAAATTTTTGCTTGTAAACTATGAGTTACGTAAACAGTATTTACTTGTGCTATAAATAAACAGATAAATTTAGCTTTCAGCTATAAAATGATTCCCACGTTTCGCGCTTACGGATGAGGCAAATTTTAAGTTGAACTAATTTTTTGTGAAAGTGTAATATTGTCGTGACACTTTAATATCATTGTTGGATTCTGAAATCATCTTGATGTACAAAGGAACCATGCAACCAGAAATCGACCCATCTCAAATCAATTAATTAATTCTCATATGTAATATGTTTTTGTCCGTTTCTAGGATTTCAAAAGTCCTGTATCACTCATTAAGTCAGACAGATGGTGTATAGAAAACCTAGCTTCCCTCGAGTCTTGCGTTTCTTCCATTGAAGGCGAAGAAAATAAGAAGCTTGTCCGTGATGTCCTGGACCGATTTGCGACTAGCGTAACTCCGAAGATTTCTCTTTTACGGCTCGGCACAATTCACAATGACCTAACTGACACGAATCTGCTTTTCGACACGAATTTTGGTGAGCTTAGAATTTCCGGACTGATCGATTTTGGTGACATCCGCTGGTCATGTTATCTGTTTGAATTGGCGACGGCTGTGGCCTCATTCACCAAGGAAGACGACGTCTTTGTGTCCAGCGGTTACTTTATAGCTGGTTACGAGGCTGTTTTTCCTCTCACTAGTCAAGAGTTTGAGCTGTTGTACGACGTCATCTGCGCTCGATTGTGTCAAGTTTTCCTTATAACGTCAGAAAAAGAGAAAGAATGTCCAAACAACGAATATGTAAAGAAATTAAAGATGGATTACCTGATGAAATTGAAAGCTTGGTCGTCAAACTCGAGGGATGAAGTTATGTCGGTTTGGCGAAAAATTGGGAGACACAGACACAAGCTGTATTAGGCTTACACAGAATAAACCTAGGTTATTGCATGTCAATACTCCTGACTAATCATTCCTGCACACGTAGCTGACCAATAAAGCATTTCTAAGCAGTGCCTAAGAACGTACGCATGCAAGTGCAAATTAACCTGACCGCCGTTCCTATCCCGATTCTAAGGATTTATTCAGTGTCAAAAGAAAAAAAACGATACCAGACAATCGAGATAGAAATGTTTAATGTATCATTTGAAATTTTCTACTGGTATGCTGACACAGCTACCATGCAGCTCTTTCAGTTGACGAATGAAAGTAGACAAAGTATGTAACCAATCCTCTCTGTTAAGGAAGCTGTTCCTGTAAACAACTATTTCTTTCATCTACCGCAGTTTAACAATAATTCTGTCGCCTTATTCGTGGCAATTTTTATGTTGCAAATCCTTTGTTAGTTTTCTCAGACCCAACGAAGGATATAGGAAATCTAAGGAAGAAAGTCCCTTATAAAGTGTGAATGTCTCGTATTTTCGTCGGAACGAAACCTGAAGAACATAGTTGAATTTAATTCGCTGGTTAAGTGATACACTTACTAAACAACTCAAAAGGCTGGGGAAGCTGTTACAGGAGAGTCTGAGCGAGTCAACAGTGATATATGTAGTTTACTGTACAAAAATCTAATGAAGAGCACAGGAGAATGCAAGTGAAACAGACCAGTGATGATGAAATAATTTTGCCTTTCAACGCTTTACTTAATACTGGTTTACCGACTGAAGTTTCTATTTGTAAATTATCGGTGGCGAACATCTTGATGGTTGCAAACTTCAGAAAAACATTGTGACCCATAAGACATCGCTCGCTTTCTTGAATGCTGCACTTTCGCGTAGAGTGTGGGCACATCTTCATCACCATAATTATGATACAAGTATATTTCCAAATTTTCCACGCTCTCGATTATCATATACATATTGTGCTATGTTGCCAATAATTTTAATTAGGGTAAGAGAAAATGATCATGTTTTCTGCCTTTAATTTAGCTGGCAGTGGTTACTTTAAGCTTTCGTGTTTGTTTGAAACTGTTGCCGTCTATTTGTCGACAACTAATACCTTTCACAGCAGGTGGTACAACTAAACATTGCAAATTACAACGATGTTATTTGACCGTATTACGGCGGTTATTGTTCAAGCCTTAGCAAGTGAAATTGACTATAAATTTAGAGAAGCTATTATTTGCATGGTAAATATTATTTTTCACCTGTAATAATTTATTTAATTTCACTGATCCGTACCTCGACCTAAGAAATGATATTTTATGACATCACTGTTGCTTGCGTGCAGAATCCAAGTTTCACAATTATTTTAAATTTTTATAGGTCAAACTCGATAATCAAAGACAGCAGAATTGAAGTCTTTTTCGAAATTAAGAGGCGTCGAGCTTGCGTTTCATTTAGTTAATTTGCAACCTGCTCTAAAAGTCTTCTTTAATTGGGGTCCTCGTCATAGATCCTCAGCGTTCAAAACAATAGCTTTTATTTGCTCACCGTTAACATATTGTATGAAATAATTATCTCTGTGGCGTAAATTGCTTTTGTATAGTAAATCATAGAATTTCTTCTCGTCTGGAAACTGTCCGTTCGTTTACTTTGTTCGTTATAAGCCTTCAATGTAAATTTAGTTCAAAGTTAATTCTCAAGCTTTAAATGTCAAAGTACTCATTATTAAGAGAGCTAGTCATTGGCTGTTTACTTCGAAGTACCTGAGAGGCTTATCCATATTTCATTAAATTACCTCTCTAGTAGCTTTCCTTGTCTTCTTGATATTCAAAACATCCCTGCAGCTGTATTCAAACAAGAGCGCCTGTCAAGACATTTTAAACATACAAACGTTCTTGTGTGCCATTTAAAGAAATCAGACGAATCACTTGCGGAAAAATTGGCGGAAGGCGCCCACAGAATTGTCGTGATAATTTCGGGGACAAACAAAATTCTGTGTATATATCACACAAACTTCAGATGCATTCGTAAATTGCAGTTAAGTCTGGAGCTTGCCCAGTGGGTCTTTTTCTTCATCGAAACAAAAAGGATGTTTTTGTAAAATGGACGACCGTGTTGTTATCAACGTCAGCGGAATGACATTTGAAACGAAAGAGGGGACATTGAACCGTTTTCCAGACACGCTTCTTGGAAGTCCGTCGAGAAGGCAGCAGTACTATAACCCTGTAGTACAGGAATATTTCTTTAATCGTCACCGAGTGGCATTCGAATCAATTTTATTTTATTACCAGTCTGGAGGACGACTTATTTGGCCTGACGATATTCCTGCCAGCGTTTTTACGGAAGAAGTTGAATTTTTCCAGTTAGGGGAACAAGCTTTGAAGAGTGTTGCAAGGTGTTTGTATCAAAATCGTCGTGCGCAACACGCTGAGCCACCGCAATGGACATTTCAACGCCGAGTTTGGAATTTATTCGAACATCCCGACACCTCGAATTTTGCCAGGGCTATTGCGTTATTCTCAGTACTCATGATCGCTACCTCCGTGCTTATCTCATGCCTTGAGACCTTGTGCCAATTTAAAGGATGCTGCACCGAGAATAAGGAATTGATAGACGACAGCAGTAACGCAACGTTAAACAGCGAAAAAACTGATCTGCCAAGTAAAGAACAGAAAATTTGTACCCACGAAACTCCGGAAGTGTTCATAGCCCTCGAAACGACTTGCTATTCATGGTTTTTACTTGAATATATAGTACGCTTTGCGGCGGCACCAAATCGACTGGAGTTTCTTCTATCGCCTTTGAACTTTGTGGATTTGATAGCTATTATACCTTTTTTTACTATTATGATCGGTGGGAATCGCCGACTAGTGTCTTTGGCGGTTCCCCGAATCGCTCGGCTTCTGAGAATATTTCGCATTTTAAAACTAACTCGATATTCGAACGGACTGAAAATTATGATGTATACTTTACGTGCGAGCCTTAATGAGCTAGAGATGATGATATTGTTTATGTTTATGATAGTGATTCTTTCCTCGAGTGCCGTTTTTTACACAGATCTCGGAATAGATGGAAGTCATTTTTCCAGCATTCCTGACGCATTCTGGTGGAGTGTTACGACAGTGAGTACCGTTGGATACGGAGATTATTACCCCATGACAAGTTTTGGAAAAGTTGTTGGTGGCGTTTGTGCTGTGTTTGGCGTTCTGGCGTTTTCTTTACCAGTCATGGCCTTCGCGAAAAATTTCAACGCTTATCTGAAAGGCGAGCCGATTCGTAGACACATCGAGAGTAAAACTAGACGCACTCCAGGGAAGCGCAAAACAAATGACTTATCTTCCTAACGGTGGAAAACACTTCCGTGTACGTACATTTTAAAAGAAAGAAAATTCGTTCTCATCGCCATGTAGATGTTTTGGAACACCAATCCGCTAACGCCAAATTTTGTCAGTGGTAAAGTCGATTGATTTACCATTAAAAAAAATTGAGGTGAGAAGTCGGTTTTAATTTTGAATTTCAAATCCGTCTATGCGTCGAAACAAAACAATGGAACGAAGATTAATTTCATCCACGCTACTGATTCACCTTAGTATATCACAGCACAAACATGTTTACGAAAGCAGTTTCTTCCTACGAAATATTAAAATTAGTTCCTTGAATCATTTGCTTTGTGTTTTTACTATTGTTATGACCCGCTCCAAAGGGCCATGTTAAAAATTTTACTCCAAGAGGCAAGGTTGTGTTTGTAAAACAATTCGATTGTGAAGAGCTAAACACGGTTACGCGTCAGTAAAATTGAAAAGGGACTTGCTGCTTTTAATTATAACAAAGAGGCGTTCTTTGGGTAAAATACTGAGAGCTTAGCCTCAGACCATCTCAACGCCGCGACAAGATGCCGGTGATGCGTTACTGTACACCTAATTTACATTCACTCTGCTTTAAACAGCCACGTTGCAGAATAGTATTTTCACAATATATGTCAGGCAAAATGCATAGCAAGAATTGTAATATATTGAAAATTTAAACCTCGTTTAAAAGCGAAGAAAATCATAGGCAGAGACTAAATAAAGAACTAATTCAATTTGATTAAAAAGCTGGTTTCCTGATCGGAGCCTTCTAAAGTACTTTGAAAGCTGTTCGCAAAACATATGAAGTGCTTTAGAAATATATCTGCCCCCGCAGTAGAAAATATTCATATCGTGGCATCAATCTTGGAGAAGAATAATCACTTTTACAGCGGTTTAGCTAAAGGGGTGTAATTACGACATCAGAGAGAGAATTTCGGGTCTACAGTCGGCGGCTGGAGCGGAAACATTTTTACCTTAGTTTATAAAATATTTACCAGTACTACATCATAAAATTTTGGGAAATTGAATAAGGTGGAAAGCCTTGTAAGGTACGACGATGATTCGTAAAATCAATAATTAGGCGCGAATGTTTTTAAAAATTGATATTTGTACGTGCTGAATTAACGAGATGCAAAGTGAAAATGGTCAATTTGATCGAAGGCCGACGATTTCAACCATCTATAAACAAAAGATAGGCTACTTGAATTTTATAGTGTTAACACCAACAGAATATCAAAAGGACTAAAACTGTGATTGATATCAATAAAAATCCCGATAAAAATGATAACAATAATTATAATTGTTATTTTTATTATTATTATTGGAATATTTTCAATAAATTACAAAGCTACTGAATCGTCTCCTCGAAAATGATTGATCGCACTGAAAAAACCGCGAACGTTCAACCCTTTATATCCTGAAAATTTGTCCTCATATTCTCCACACTAGTCGATTCACTTTTTTTATGTTACTGAAGAGGAGAATTTGTTTGACAATCAGGAGCTCCTGAAATTGGTTATCATTTCCTTTATTCCTTTATTTTAGACGCCAGGTACTCCCAAGGGTTCGACTGTTGAGGCTTAGCACTTTTGACAGTTTTTATTTGTAAATTGCAGATTGTATTGAATGTGAGTTTATAAAATTTCCTTGGGACATCAGAATAATTCACCATCGCTCTTTGCTTATTCAGAATAATCTAGAATTCTTTAAGTCCTCCAACGCTTAGCGGAATATGTGGGCGTTTTATTAGCAACAGAGTGTGCAAAGATATTGTTAGTGGGCGTATGCAATTCTACTCTTTTCTCATTGGAAACTGGAAAACTGCTTTTAGGTAGGAATCGTGATTTTTTCAGGACGCCATAAGCGCAAAATCTTTTCCTATATCGCCGATGGATTCTGCGTTTTTTTTTAAACACGCCAATTTGACACAGCTTTGCGTGAGGCCACCAATACAAAAAATTTTAACCTGTAATCGCGGTTTCCTTACAATCTGCAGATCTGTGACAATAAAACATCACTCGGAAAACATAGCAACGGCACCCAAACAATTACACGAAGTAGTCATAGAAGAGTGTGCCGCTATCCGCATTGTTCTAGAAATCGTGTGGGCTTTTTAGGGCAGCGCTTTTCTATATTTAAGAAACTAGGAATGACCGTCCAATATTTGGGTCCGGCGGCGCTTTTTCAAGGTAAGACATAAAGGGATCCCGGGTGGCACGATAAGTTCTTTGTTTCAGTAGTTTGTTACCGAACAAAGTTATCTCATGTCATAAACCATGGGACAAGAGAGCCTTTCAATTACATGTTGTAAAACCATAGCCAAAGTGATCACTACAGCCAATCAGAGCACAGTCCGGGAAAACGAGAGAGACCATCACGTGATTAATTACAGTCTTTTCATTTGATTGGTTGAGAGGGTGGTTCAACTTTTCTGGACCAATCAAAGAGCAAAGTGAAGTAAAAACTAAAGAAATCCTGATTTACTTTAGACACTAGACTAAAAATTGCTTTAGTTTCTATAGAAGCTACTGTGTAACTCTGTAAGCAAGTCAAGAAACTCAGTTGATTGTTAAAATGAGGTTTTGCCCATTCACATATTTTAGCCAGCAAAGTTATCCCATCTTCATCAGGTAGTTAAAATGCAAATGTTAACCATCCAGCCATAAGGAAGTATGCACCATACGGAGCTAACTTTCCATATGATCTGTCCTTTTTTAGTCCAACTAAATAACAACTGAAACAAAGAAATGGTAAAATATTTTTTAGTACAAAATAAATCAAAGTACAATTACAAAAAAAGTATATTATGAGGTACAGTTATAAAATTAAAAAGTTTCTCCAGTAATGTGCCAATCCCAACTTCTCCAAAAAGGCACAATCATTACAATTAGACTGCAAAATGTTTCTTGTGAAAATGATTTTTGTTTGGATGATAACAAAAATTCATATTATAGACCTAGCCCTTGGTCTTCTTCTAAGAAGAGTGAAACAAGATGAACAGGACAGGACAGGGCAGACAAGGAATTATAGCAACTTCTATGCCAACACCACACTCTAATTGGATAAAGCCAACCACCACCATGGCAAAAGAGGCAAGGAGGGCCTGGAACCAGACTCAACAATGGTCATCTGCTATACAGCTCTAGCAATTGATGCACTAGGCGTCATGTGGAGCTTTTGCTCAAACAGGATTAAGTACATTTAAGTAAGTAAAAAAGTAAGAAAGCAGCATTTGAAAAAAATCCATCTTTGTTATAAGGCAAACACGATATCAGGGGTTGAAATTGTTACAATTTAAGTTTAAAGAGCTTTAAAAAAAATTGACATAGTAAGCTAACTTGCAAAGTTGATGTACATTTACCTGCCAGAAAATAGAAGAATTCCAGTACAAATTAAACTGCCAGCCTAATTCAGAAAAAAAAAAGCCACTTACTAAATTTAGTATTTGATTACAAACATAGATTCTCAAATTAAAGTCCCAGGCAACTATTTCAAGTCTAGCTTACTTTTGGAGGGGAGGGGGGTGGAGTGTTTCTCTGAATTCCCACAATGTGTGGCAGGTTACTTCCTTCTACAACTTCAATTCATTATCCACAAAAATGATGAGAAGGTATGTTGTGGTTCAAGGCTCAAAAAGATTAATCTTTCAGCATCACACCTAATTTGTAGTTAAGCTATTAGAACAGCTTTATCTTACCAGATTGGGTCTTTTAGTAAAGGGAACAGCTAATAACACCAAATTATGAAGATGGTGATACAGGTTACCAGTCATGAAGGACTGAAAAAGAAAAGATGTCATAAGCCTTCAAAATGTCTCCATCCAGGGAGATGTGCAAGTGCATATGAACTGGGGTATCCTTTTAAGTAAGCAGCTAATTACAATTTTTTTAATCACTGATTTTTGTTCCTAACATTGCACCTAAATTTAAGATCAGGGATATGTCTTAACTTAAGAAAAAAAACAAAAGCAGATTCCCAATATTGTTTATTTGAATTTACCTCTTTGTATTTTTTGGCGTCTTCTTCATTAAGGAACGAGGCTGTAATAAGATTGTAAATCAGAAAGTTTCATGGTTGTACGTCCTATATTGATCGATTCACATGTCGTTTAAGTGATTCGACCACTGTTTCATAAAATTTTACTCAAAACAAGACATTAACACAGTTTGCTAGTGGAGTACGTAAAATGAAAATGAGTATAATTACCATGAGATCCGTATGCACCTAATGCAATAGCCAATACTCCAGATACACCAGCTATTTTGTGGAAAACAGTTGGAGAAAAATGGAGCATACTCGACAACATTTTGGAACAAAATCTACGATGAAACGACGGCGCAGGTTTAGTCAGCGGTAATACACACAAAGAAACGCGCGAACTAAATTATTTGGCGGGAAATCAAGATGGCGGACGAAGAGGAGCTCTACCTTGCAAACCTTGATGAATTTGTAAACGATGAGAATAGAATTGTAAGCTTTTTGCATAGCACTTTTTTAAATGTACCTGCTTAATTATTTTCTTAAAAATATTTTTTTGATATAGTGTTATGTTTCTTGCTTGTTTTATTTCAGGTAACTTACAAATGGTTGAGTCGAACGTTGTCAGTATCCGCTAACAGAGCGAAACAGTAAGCTAGATTTAAATATATATTCTTAAACAGTGATTATGTTATTTCTTCTACCTTTGCTTTGTCTATGCTTCAAAGGATTGAGTTTTATCTGCAAAATGTCACGGACGAATCAACTGAAACGAATGTCAATTGCAATGCAAGCTTGTATGTTTTTAGCAATCTTCAAAGAGACTTTTAAAATCACTGTTTTTTTATCTATACGAATTATAGTCGGTCACTCCTTTTTGTTTAAGCTTATTTGCTTTCTTTGTGGAAAGGATGTGAGCCTGTGTTTGTTTGTAAGAGATCATTCACTCTAATTTTCCGTAGACGAAGAAAAATAAAGAATATACGAAAATAAAAATATGTACTGAAGGATTCCTTGTTTATGAATTTTCCTGATAGGACGACACAATGTGAGTCAGATAATTTAGTGAATACAATATTTGGTAAAATTTTCGCACAGCCCCATACCATTGTAAAACAAATCTGTTTTTCCAATGGCAATTAATTGTTTTTGTCATTGTTTTCTCTATCCAAGAACTGAATGCATAATGTAGGATGGAGCTGTGCAGACACTTTACCCAATATTTCCTTGATATGACTGAAGCATTGTTTTGGTTTGTTTTGTTTTTGTTTTTTCATATTGTTTTTTTATTTGTTATTTTTTTGACAGAATGCTGTATGCCTTTGTTCAGAAACAGAAGAGGTCTAATTCTGGATCTGATATTAATGTAACTTACTTGATTGGAGGAAGATGTTCAGTGGATGGAGATATGGTGAGATTTTCATATCACATGTTCCTCTAGAACTCCCAAAACCTAAAGATGTTTGTTATGATGTTATCTCAGGGAATTGTGATGAAAGGGCTATGTGGAAATATGAGATCTACACACTAATTTAACATTATGATCTAAAAATTCAAGCCTCTATTTTCCTATGGTAATGTATAATTTCCATCTTGTGGCTTTCCTGTAACCTTTCTTTTTCTTGTCCCCTTTTTGTCTAAGATCAATCATTTTATTTATTATATTGAACTCAAGTTTGCATCAGTAGAAACAAACCTCAATACAAACTGGAGGCTCATACCATGAATTGAAAATGCTCATTTTGTTTCAGGTACATAGATTTGTTATTACTCAGGATGAAAAGCTAGAAGGTACCAAGTAGACATACCTTCAGTATGAATTACCTGGTTGATTCCTATTTAAGGGTGTTAAACAATCTGTAAATCACTTATGGGAAATGTCTGTTTTTTTGGTTTAAGTTTGCTGCCTATTCTCCTGTAGAGTTTGGGATTGGTTCTTCTTTTTGTCCCAAGGGTTTTGATTTTGATTATGTGATCTTCTTCTCTCCACAAAACCTAACTCTCCAATTTCCAATTCACTCCATTAGTAGTGGTTGAAGAACCAATTTGTGAAATACCATGATGAATGTCAATTCATTTTATTCATTTATTTAGTTAGTGATTGTGATATTTAAGGAATTGTTATATAGTAACCAATGTTGGTATTTTTTTTACTTATTTTTAGAAACTAAGAAGAACTTCTCTTTTTTGACTTCTTTACACATCTACAGCGTACAGAAATGTAAATTAAAGGTGATGTTATTTATTCACTCTCATGGTCATTTATTTAGTGTGACAGAGCAATTAATGTCTTGTCTAAGGAATCTTAAAGTGTCAGTAATGAAGAAGTAAACTTTCATATTCTATTTCTAGGATGCAAATGCATTATACACTGTTGACTATGATGTACAGCAGCAGTATGGCAGTGAAACTAATAGGTATGTTTTGCTCTCTAATTTTCCACACGAGTGTGAATTTTCTTGACAGTATTGATAGTTTTACTCATCTGATAGATAAGTAATGTTGACTTGGAGAGTTTGGTACTTTTGTTATCCCTTGAACTCAAAAGATCTAATTGTTAATTCTCCCCTCTAGCTGCTACACATTTCCTTGTAAATAAGTTACAGGAATTAAGTGTTAAATCAAGATAACAACTTTTATCTGATGAGGTTGAGTATTCTCATTACCTGTTCACTGAAAAGTGTACAGATATCATAGGGAGAAGTTACATGTTAATCACTTTTGGGGTTAAAGGGTTAGTCTAACTGTGAGTAGCTTTCATATTGGTCAATACCACAAAGAAATACAAAGTAGCAGAAAGGTATTGTGAAATAATGACCAGTTTGTCTTTCACATGTAGGTGGAGCCATATCTACTGTTCAGCTGCAGTACCTTTAGCAGATAAAGGTGTTAACAGAGGTACCCACCACGTGAATGGGGCGACAGATGGTCATGGTACCAAAATGACCAATGGAACTGGTGAAGTACACTCATCTTCAAGGGGTAAATGTACTGTACTGGTATAATTATGAAGTTCACTGTTGATGAGCACAATTAGTGCCAAACTGTATTTCATATCTTATGCCTCTGATTTAAAAAAGTTGTGTTAGTTGTACATCACTAGTGGTTATTAAAATTTGAAAAATCCTTTTGTTTTCTAGGAGCTTCTAATTCAGCATTTGACCAAAAAACTAAGGTTTGTATCTGTTACCTTGGTGAAAATACATGCTGTTAGATAATATTTAGTTAAAAATTAGTTCCATTTCAGTATCGCTGCAGAGTGATTTGATCTGACCTTCCTTTTTTGACAGACAGACATTCAAAACCACAACATATATAACTTCTTTGTCAGTTTGTCTTTCCATTCATCAATAATTTTCTGCTATTCATATGTCCATCTATCCATCCATTCATCTATCTGATAATTTTTTTCTCTCATTTGTTAGTTTTTGAAATAACTTTATCATTTCAATGTCCCTGTAAGTATCTAAATTTGTTCTTGTGTGTAAAACTGTTCAAAAAATAGACAGCAACTTCAAAGCCAAAGAAAGGACAGATGCCAACCATGGAGATGTTCTCAGCAAAGTCTACCACTAAAAATGACAAGCATATTGGTGAAAATCCACCTGCTGAAAAAAATGGAAGAGATTATCAGGTGTGTGTTACAGTAATGATGCCTGACTCACAGGAGTTTTCATAAATCCTCTAACTCCCAACATCTAAATATCATTATATATGAAAATCATTTTGATTGGCTCTCCCCTATCCTCTATCGTAGGAGAGATGCATAGATGACATTATCATGTGCACTGTTTTGCTCTTTTATCATACAAAACAAATAGATTTAATGTTGCCATGGGCCTTTACAGTAAGATATCACAGAACATGGTTAAATTGGCCAAGTACATCAGTTACACACTTAGTTGCAAGTCATGTGGGGCTTCTTTGTTTTTACCAAGTTTTGACATCATCTGTGATCTATTGCTGAAGAGATTTACAGCAACGCGAAATCTATTGGTTAAATTTTTTGCAGTGTTTGCCGTACAGGTTAAAGCAGGAGGCAATGAGAGGGTAGCAACAGAGGTTCTGATCCCATTTCACGCAAATTTTAGAAAACGTTATGCATCTTGATGTAAAGGGAAAACTAAAAACCCCACCTTATCTTGCCTTTCTGTAAAATTCACACATCACTTATTAATTTTGGCCATAATCACATGTCATGCATTTACCCTTTGCCACCCTCTGATGAGAGGAAGATAAAAATTTCAAATGCCAAAAGAATTAATGCTAAATTCTCTGAATTAAAATTAAAAGAAATGCATGGCACACAGTGAAAATGATTCCTGTTAGATCTTGGGAGTGAAAGTCTGAATAAGAAAATAGCTCAAGCACGTAAGCCCATTAAAATAATGTAGAAGAACTCTGGACAATAACAGTAGAGATCGGTAATAAACACTCTGACTGACTACTGTGATCACTGAAGTCTCAGATATTATAGAATATATCTGACATGTGGATGTAGTTATAGTTTATTTAAGGCATTGACTGAGACTTCAAATCAATATCTGGCTCTGACTGTGTTATTCTTTATTCCAAGAATGATCAAGCAAAGCCCAACAATAGCAACAAAAGTGGTAGCATGATGTCATTTTTTGGAAAATCCATATCAGGTTTGTAAATTAAGTTATTAGCTACCACCAGGGTCCTTTCTTGAGAGAGGAATGGAGAGGACCTTGGAAACGAGGTTGAAGATAGTGCTAGTACTTTGATTATTGAGTGTTAACCTCGGATTACATAGCTTTAAATCAGAGATGTAACTTTTTTTCTACACTCAGCAAAAAAAGTTTCAGAAAAGCCAAGCAGTACAGGAAATGAGAAAGAAGTTAATCGACACAAAGGCAAAAAAGCTTCAGACACTGCAGGAGATGAGACAGAACTTAAACCAGCAAAATCTCAAACAGCCTCAAAGAAACAAGATCAAGCTGTGGAAAATCAAAACTCAAAGAAAAGGTATTTACTTGTTTGCAGATTGGATTACTTAGCATGTCATATTCAGTTCAAATGGACTTCAGGGACACATCAGCCTGTCTGATAAAAATATTAATTTATGTAAATGGTTTTTCTTTCTTCCAGGGAATTGTCCTCTGAGGATGAGGAGGTAAAAATGTTTATTTATTTATTTATTTATTTAAATTGAAAGGTTGTGGATGAGTTGTTGATGTTTTCTCAGTTTTTCTTTTCATAGAGCAAATTAAGTCATCGTTCCTACTCCCTAGACGGATTTCTAGATGATGTGCATGAAAATGTTTTAGAGTGTATCAGGAGATCCCTCAAGAAATGATGTTTCAACGAGAAAAAGGACAATTTTCGCATACGTACATTTGATAGGCTTCATGTTACAAAATGTATATGGGCCATTGATGATATATTCTTATAGGAAGGGGGAACAAGACACTATGGTTCCCTACCCCCCCCCCCTGCTATAATATAGACATAAACATTTTTAACATTTCGACCCCTAAAAGTGACTTGCATCCAACTTTTTCCTCACAGTATCACCTTTACATCACTTTAAGGTCACAAAAGAGGAAATGATCACCAACTAAAGACTCTCTTGATAGTTAAACAAATTGTCCTTGTCAGCACCTTTAGAAATGTATCAAAGTCATATGGGAAATATGAATACTGATGTTAGGGTGTTGGGTTTTAAGGTAGTTTATCTGTTGTCAGTCGGGCTCGGCAGGTGCAATGCCGTTTTGGAAACATCTGGTTTCAGCGTATGTTTGAATGCATGTGCTTCAGCCGAAGAAAACCAGAGTTAATATTGATTTCAAATTTTGGTGAAAAATTTATTGTAAATTTATTATTCTGCGATTTGTTTGCAGGAACCTTTGCCTCCCAAAATTTCCAAAGTTGTGAATTCAAGTGCTGCAGGTATGATACACTAATTATAATTTTGAAAGATGTTTTTCGTCTTATCACGACCGTGGGACAAAGAAAAAATTCTGAGTCACCCTTTACCGAGCTCAAAACTTACCATCTCTGTGGCTCAGTGGTAGGGCATAGGAGCGCGGAATCCGAAAGTCTGAGGTTCGATTCCTCATGGGGACTCAGAATTTTTTCTTTGTCCCACGCTCGCGGCAAAACGAAAAACATCTTTCATTATTTCTTAACCGAACTCAAAACTTACCATCTCTCTCATTTCTAATTATAATTTTCTCAAATCATAATAGAATGAGTCAAAAAACCAAGTTTTCGTATCAAGACCCAAACCGTCCAGAGAAAGACAATTTCACGGGCTTTGTTAATACCGGAAAATTGAAATTCTTCTTACATTTTGCCGAAATAGGAAAAACAGACTTCGTGCTCGCGGGAACATCGCTGATTATAGAGCAAGCTGAGATTTTATTGTTTTGTATTTAAAAGTTGATTGGCTGGATTTGAAAATGGTGGAATCTTTGGTTTAATCGGACTGGTTTTCGTTGTAAATGCATCGTTCGTTCTTCTCTTTCTCTCTTCTTTCCTTACCTTTCCTTATTCGCCTTTCTTTTCGTGTTCTTTCGTTCTTTCTTCGTTCGTTTATTCGATCTGTGCTGTCGTTTCCGTTTTGGTTTTTTCCTGTTGTTTTTCATTTCTTTACTTCCTTTTTCTTTTCTTTTCAATTGTTCTCTCTTTTGTTTTCCTATGTTTTTCAGGGAGCAAGGATTCAAAGAATGACAGGCAAAAGGTTAGGCTGCATTCATGATACTCGGTCGATGCAATTTTTTATTTTCTTTGGGCTGTTATTCACGGTTTTTGTTGCCATCCGAAATAGCAGGGTACAAAACTGGGCCAGAGGAGCCTCTGATGTAAAAAAAGGGTCAATGTACACCCAGGCGCAGAGTAAAGAAAATATTTATCACCAAAATTTCAATAATAATAGAATAATTGATCTTCCCGGGGTCCCAGTCCCGTGAAGAAAAACCCACTGTCATTCTAAGTGTGGATGCCATGTAATAATGTCTTCTTCATCATCTAGTTACAGCAGAAAGAAGGAAAGCAGGTTGATATTTCCAAGAGGTAACTGGAACTCCACGTGGACATAGTTCACAGTGCTTTTACCTATAAAGTTGTGTGACCTTTTTTGTTAAAAACTGTTAGGCCATACGTGTGCTAAACCGTCCGCTCAGAGCCAATGGAAGAGAGCAGTAGTTCACCGATAGGTCTAAAGCAAGCTTGAAAAGGGTGGAAGGAAACTGAGGCGGAATAAAAGACATACTTATCAGGCTTTGGTTTTGCTTTTCTTGCCTTGTCTTTTCTGTTTCCTTTTGTTTACTGTTGTTTGTCCTTTTTTTTTTCTTTTCCCGCACACACTGGTGTTTGAAGTTCAAGGGATTTTACTGTTAGAAGTTGCTTTATAGCCAACGTTTTCCAATCTTACTCTGTTGCGAATATGGTCGATGTTTTGAGGTGTTTTTAAAAGACCCTTTTTTTTTTTTTTTTTTTGGTAGCAAAGCGGGGAAAAAGAAAGCTGTGACAAATGAAGAGTCAGGTTGGTACTAAATTCAGCTTGTGTGATCGTGTCAGTTTGTCCGTTTTGTCAAACAGTTGGGATCCAAGTCAAAGGGCTTGTGACGGGCGGTATATTTAGCGTCACCATCCCTTCAGGTTTGTTTTTCTTTATTTATCGGTCAGTTTATTTGCTCGTTTTTGTTCGATTTCCATTTTGTTCGTTTGTTCTCTTTCTTTTTTACTTGCATTCCGGTTGGGCGTACCGCTACGAATTTTGCTTCGTGTTTTTTTTTTTAATTTTTTTTTTCACATTATTCAGGGTTTGGGGTTTTAATCATTATTTCGAATAGATTTATCACACTTTCTTTCACTTGCACTTCAGACGAAGAACGAGAAGCTAAGCCAAAAAAACGACGAAAACGAACGAAAGAGCTTCCGAAAGAAGACAGCAGCGATGATGGTAATAATGATGTAAACATTTTTAACATGGAACACCGCCTTTTCCTCGTTATGTGCTGGAGCAGCTCATGTGAGGTCGCCGTCATTCAAAAGACATTTAAGAAAACTGCACCTCGTGTCTGTTCAGATGATAAGCGTACGACCTAAATTTCAAATGAGAAGAAAATTCCTTTCTCCTGAGTGAGAAATTATTCTTGGGAACACTAACATTTGAGGAATTGATCGTCGGAAAAAAAAAAATTTGTTGCTTAGAACGTCTTCTGGTTTGCCGAATCGTTGTTTGTTTGAGGCGCTTGTTCTAATACGAACTGGCAATGGAATCGCATGCAAAATGTTTCGTTCGGACTGAAAGTAACGACGTTATTTTTACAATATTTTCTTTCTGTGAGAAGTTTTTTTGTGGATGGACGACAATCCGCAAAATTTCCATGGCATACTGTTATTTGATCTTCAATGTTGAATTTTCTATTTCTCGAAAGAGCAAGACATGCCGAACAGGGACGTGATCAAGAAGGTCCCCCCTGACCAGAGGTCTTCAGTCAGTGTCAGTCCTCCGCCACAACAGCTGCCTCAACAAACAGAGAGTGGAACAGCAAGGCGACGGAAGAGAACAAGGGCACTTAAAGATAAAACATACATGAATGATGAAGGATTTATGGGTACGTGAGCAAGAATATCCAATGTTTTGATGACTGAACGTTCCCGATTAATTACAATAACTACTTCAGTGTCCGTTCTTCCGTCTGTCCGTTTGTTCGTCTACCTTTGAGTCCTTCTGCCTGTCTATTAGTTGGTCTGCTTTTCTGTCTTACTGACTTCCTTCGTCTGGCTGTCTGTTTGTTTTTATCTCTGTACGTCTTTCAGTATGCATGTTTTCCTTCCGTCTGCCTGACTATTTGTCCGTTTCTCCGTCTGTAATACCGTCTGTCGGTCCGTCTCCACGTTTGTCTGCAAGTCCGTGTATACATTAGTCTTTCTGTCTGTCTGTTCAATTTTCTGTGTCCCGTCTGTCATTCTTTCTGTCAGGATAATTTGGTTTTATCAAATGTGTTTATAATTAAATTGTCCACCGTAAAGAGTTTCTAAAGCTGAAGTTTCAAGTGTTAACCCTTGGTCGGAGCGAGTCATTTCCTTTTCTCGATACGTCAGCTTAAGAGACACTTTACGTTGGTTAATTGCGTAATCACCCCCAGTTGATTAAACCAAATTATCGTACAATACCCTCCACCTCCCCCCCCCCTTCCCCACCCGATACAGCGCGACAGTTTGTTTAGAAACTTACCCCTTTATTGTTTTTCTGTCTGTCAGTCTGTCTGAATATGTCTTTATGTCATGACTCCTGTAAGATGCTTTGCCAGACGTCGACTCTTCAAAAGGAACTAATGAAACAGTATTTCGAGCACCACAAGTAAAGCTTCGGTTGTGATTTGTTTGTTTTGCAGTTACCGAGAAAGTTTGGGAAACTGACTCAACCGATGCAAGTGATGGAGAACCTCAAAGAATCAATCCTACTGAGAAAGAGAAACAACCCTCCCCAGCAAACAAAATAATCAAGAAGACCTGTGCAGATGTTAAGAACAAAGCTGCTAGACAATCGTCGCTGACAAGTTTCTTTAAGAAATCGTGAATAAAAACTTTTTGGTTCCTGTAGAATCAGTTAAAAGTATTCTAACCAAATAACACTTATCCCACACCTAATCCTCTCTTTGTTTGGTTACCTGCTGCCACAAACGGTATTTAAGAACACGAATTATGTCAGTCTTTGTCATGGATGTCGTTGTGTTGTGTGACATCATCTCTGTTAACCAACAAGAAGTCAGGGAAAACGAAGTCTCCAGTAAATGAGAACTCATTCATCTTGACCTCGCCTCTTTATGATGAAAGATGCTAGCACAGCTTTCTGTGATTTCGAGGTGCTACTTGCATGTAAGAGTTATAATAAACTTCCGTTTTTTGTCGAAATAGTTGACTTTTGTAGTTTAATTTGTTTACGTTTTTCTGTGACCTCTGTACATCGTTTCCTTCTCTATTGCAAATTTTTTACAAAAGCCTATAAAGTGACTCCAGTCAAAACTATCACATACCATTATTGCGTTCAGCGGTGTAGGTCCACTTATCATCCTGCGCTTCTTCTTCTCACACGCTGTTGAAAACTGCTAGGCCGTCTGTGTGCTAAACCGTCCGCTCAGAGCTAACGGAAAAGAGTAGTAGTTCAACGATAGGTCTAAAGCAAGCTTGAAAGGGTGGAAGGAAACTGAGGCGGAATAAAAGACATACTTATCAGGCTTTGGTTTTGCTCTTCTTGCCTTTTCTTTTCCGTTTCCTTTTTGTTGCTGTTGTTTGTCCTTTTTTTTTTCTTTTCCCGCACACACTGGTGTTTGAAATTCAAGGGATTTCACTATTAGAAGTTGCTTTACAGCCAACGTTTTCCAATCTTACTCTGTTGCGAAGATGGTCGATGTTTTGTGGTGTTTTAAAACGAACTTTTCTTTTTTTGGTAGTAAAGCAGGGAAAAAGAAAGCTGTGATAAATGAAGAGTCAGGTAGGTACTAAATTCAGCTATGTCTTGTGATCGTGTCAGTTTGTCCGTTTTGTCAAACAGTTGGGATCGAAGTCAAAGAGAGTCAGAGACTGACTCAACCGATGCAAGTGATGGAGAACCTCAAAGAATCAATCCTACTGAGAACGAGAAACAACCCTCCCCGGCAAAGAAAATAATCAAGAAGACCTGTGCAGATGTGAAGAACAAAGCTGCTGACAAGTTTCTTTAACAACTCTGGTCAAGAGAGGATCAATTGTATCCTCTCTTTTTTTTTTTGGTCACCTGCTGCCACAAACGGTATTTAAGAACACGAATTATGTCAATCTTTGTCATGAATGTGGCTGTGTTGTGTAATATCATTTTTGTTGACCAAAAAGAAGTCAGGGAAAACGAGATCTCCTGTAAAACTAAACTCATTCATCTTGACTTCGCCTCTTCATGATGGCAGATGCTAAAACAGCTTTCTGAGATGTCGAGTTGTTAGTTGCGTATAAGAGTTGTAATAAACTTCCGTATGTTGTCCAAATAGTTAACTTTTGTAGTTTAATTTATTTACGTTTTTCTGTGACCTCTGTACATCATTTCCTTCTCTGTTGCAAACTTTTTGTAGTAGCCTATATAGTGACTCCATCAGTCAAAACTCTCACATTACCGTTACACTTCTAGTGTAATAATGTTATGTCGGCTCAGAGCTTATTTTGGCAGAAAAAACATCTCCCAACTTGACTAGGGTCTCAGAGAACGGACTTTTCTCCAAGTGTTACTCCTGAACGCCTTTTCCATCACTTGTTATTTTATCACGGCGATATATCTCAATTAAACATTCACTGGATCTAAAAATTGCAGAAAAGTATTGCAATTATTATTTTTACCAAACACTTTAAATCTCATGTTGTCATTCCAATGTGAGAGGTCATTTTAGCTAAAATTTTCAAACTTTACTGATCTCAATGGCAGTTTTACTTCACTGCGGGCTGAAAATCATATGCCAGTACATATGTATGTTACCCACGAAATTGTTTATAACTGCGAGTATGGCGTCTCAAACCATGTGCATGCAACTCATAGAGCACTGTATCACGTGCTGATGTAAAGTCAAAATCAAAACGTGGATTTAGCTTTTATATGTTAAAACTTAGAAGACTTAACTAGTCTGATCTTTATATTATTTGCATTGTTAGGGGGTCGATAATCGTCATAATATCGTGCTCTAACTGGCATGCTTATACTGTTGATACGTAATATAGATTAGTTTGCCAATTACGAGTGCAATACAGTGTGGTCATAAGGTCATGTTTTTTTACAAATGGATAGATCGGGAAACAATTGTACTTCCTGTACTAACAACTCATAATAAACAGGACTGAGAAAATGGCATTTTTATCTGAGTTTGTTATGATGAAATAAAGGCGCGGAAACTTTCCCACTACAGCTGCAAGTCACAAGATTCAGGAGATTCACGAGAACCGATGTCCATTATGCGGAGAATGTTAATTCTCATTTAAATAGAATGCCTTCTAGGCAAGGGACAGGGATTAAATGTGGAGGGAGGGGTGGGAATTGTGCAGCTGAAGGTGAAATACGATGTCAACCCACTCTGGTAAAATATTGTTGTGAAATAAGTTTTCTCTTCGTCGTCATGCTTTTGTTTTGAATTATGCTAGAACAAGAGTATTGATGATGTATTCCACTACTCCAGCCTCTTGACATTGTTTACAAAAATTTATGTTCAGATAAAAGATTCGGCTAAATTGGTCATAGATTAGAACGCAGTTTTGTTGAACATATATGGTTCGTGCAACCTTTACTTTAATGAAATAAAGGTGCTTCACTATCCTTCGCTTTGATCATTCAGCATACTTCGATTTCTCAAGTATTCTTCACAGGCCATACAACAATGCTACTGAACTACAGACAAAAGTGATAGTGTTAAAATTTCGTGCAACCTTTACTCAGCTTCGAAGCGAAACTTAAGTTATAAACCCGAGTCTCAGACACAAATGATAAGCACATTTGATCAACCTTTTGATCAACCTTTTCAACCCTTTATCAACCTTTTGGATTGATCAAATTTTTGGATTGATCAACCTTTTAATTTTTATGCCATAACAGAATAGATAGAGCCAATTCGTAATAAGTTTTGCTGAGAATGAGACCTTTTTACAACATTACCATAGGTCTTAAGTAAGAATTGTGCATAAAAACCCCGATGGCTGGTGTTTTTACATCTAAATGACGCAGTTTTTCAAGTTAAGTTGACTAGAGCTCTGAGGACCAGAGTTTATTTATATTTCCGTATACTTTTTATTCAGGCCGAAAGACATTAGCGTATTAAAGAGCATAGCTTCTCGGTCAACTTCAAAACTTCATCACTGCATTTTGTGTGAATTGGACTCACGATGGAATTACTAATGAATTTTCATGCTGTCTCAGGCTTATGACCTTCTTTCACTTTTCATACACAACGAGATTTCAGAACTGGAAAGAAAATCTGTCATTGCAACGTGCTTAGTTATAAAGTAGTAATCTGTAATCATCGAAAATCAGTGGTAACTGAGCGAGTTAAAGCGATAGTTGCAATTCTAAATGTTTTAGAAGAGATGAATGTGGTTCACTTACATGTCGTTCCATAACAGTGAAACGCTAACTGATTCGATTTACCTAGAAACATGACAGAGTATTGAAAATAGAAACAATATAAAATGAATTTTCATACTAACATTCGCGGCTCTAGATAAGATGAGAATATCCACACAATTGCGTTCAGTAACTCGACTAATCGTTCACTAATCAAGTAACACATAACATCATACGATAAAGAAGATGAAGTCATGACAACACTTCTCATGTCTCTCCAAACCTCAGATATTTAAGAGCTTTAGAAAATGTGAAACAGTGAGTCGTTATGTTTTCAACATACAACATAAAACAAACCCCAGGTTGTTCAAGCTCCTATTGCGTAAGACAAGACGAGGTAATTAAACGAGGAAAACAAAGTAATGTCATCGTTATTGTTAAGTATGTTATGATCAGTTGCTACGGCTACATGTCCTGCTGACATCAAACACGGTTATTTTTTATCACATGAAAAAAGTTTCGAGCTTTTGCATCTTCTCCAATCAATTGAACTGAGATGGTAACCCTTCTTAATCTTTCATCAGCGTGAACATTCCCAGTACTGCTCTCCATATATTTCTTGAGGTACTGACGAAGAGAACTTAGTTCAAAATTAGGAGCTCCTCTATTTTTATTAAATCTTTTGTCTCTGATTCTAATAGAATTTTTGATCATGCTTGTTTTACTTGAACTTGTCGCTTGCTAAAAATTAATCCTATTGAATCTATAAGGAGAAGCCTTGGTGTTGTACCTATCCGTACTAAAATCAATTCCTGATTTACCAGAGTATTTATTTTTAAATTTTTTTTATTGAGTATAGTATTTTTGGTCCACCCCCTCCCTCCCCCCTCTTCCAGTTTTTGATTTGTTGATGACGTCCTGACCCCGAACCATATTTAAACGTCCGCCATATTGGATTGTTTGGATTGACCCGAGCATAAGATTCATGATTCATATGAGTTTTACAGACCCGCGTTCAAAAATAGTCTCTATCTGAGTATAATTGGATCCTGCCGTTAAACGAAGATATTTAGGGAAACTAGCCGCGAAGGGCATGGAATAATTTTGTCCTCGAAAAATCCCAAAGATTTACTTGCAGGCCTTCTTTTCTTTTTCTTTTCATCAAATAGAAGATCTGCGGTACTCAAATTCTATAAGTCATGGTACGAAACACTCTTCTTTGCAGATCAAGCCGTGATCGCCGCCATATTGAATTCTCTTATTCTATTGTTCCGGAGTGTAATACGATATACCGCTGATAATTGTTAGCGGGCTCGAAATGTCCTTGATTTCTGACGATGTCAAGCATTGGTTACATACACATGTTATTAGTATTGGACAACTTGAAGAAATATTTAAGCCTACTAAATTTCATTAGAAAATTGAACTTGAACTGTCGTTGTTAACAACGAATACACACAGACCATTTAAAGATTTATCTGTGATTGAAAACATTTCGCCCTATTCATAATAAGATTCGCTTCGCAGAATCTTTTAAAATGAAACTTAAACAGAAATAAAGCCGAGGACATAAAAGTTGTATTTAAATGGAAATCAGATATCCTAGTAAAGGCATTCTCTTCACAACTTTAAAAAATCTTGCCTATTTTACTGTTTCTTTGAAGAATTCTTCAAATATGTTAAAAGCTCAATGGAACTGATCATACACTGAGTGCATGTGTTTACTGTGTACTCGGAATGAAACACCTGTGTTTGAAGCCGATCTGAAAATAAGAGTTTGGTTTTCACCTCGAGTTTATAAAGATATGAAGCTAGAAATTCCTGAGCCCGTCACAGAGGGTTT